TTTACGCATTGCTGCTTACCTATGGTATAACTTTTTTTTTTTAATAATATTGAGAAAATGGCAATAACATCTTGAGACATGTCTGCTCAGAACTTGCTTTTCATATGTGAATGTGCTAGTTTTTGTGTGTTTAGATAGAGAGTGATCGCCATGTATTCTTTTTAAATTCACGCCATTGGTCTACGAAATAAAAGGTGGGTCTGGTAAAATGACCTTCACTCTTTTGTCATTGTGTTTGGTGGGATAGAAATGTAGCCCAACTGGAACTACAGTCAAATTTTCTTCTCACCGATAAACTGGTCAGGAGCCTCAGGGTTCTTACAGAAGCAGAGGCCATTACCAATGTGTCGTCAAGATTGGGTCCAATTATTCAATATGTACAACCATTAGTAGATTATGGTAGCCTCTTGCATATCATGCTGAAGTTGAAAGCTCACTGAGAAATACAGCACCAATGAGTTCTCTGGTCCAAGTAGATTATATAACTGACCTTCCTGGGGTATATAGTTAGACCCAGAATTGGGACCTCAAATGTACTAGAACAAATGTGATTTGGAATTACTGGTGTCGCCACTGCAGCGTTCGATAGGATAGATAAGGGAAGACTGATCTACCCTACTTCTGGTTTAAGTGAATAATGATACATGCTGCCGACAGGATTGGCATATCGTTAGATACAGAACACAGTCGAATTGCTCCAGCCTTGTGGTTTTTGGGTGTTAGCAATAAGTGATACTAGATAGCCAATAATGCGCTGGGCAGATCACAGGTGTATCCACCAATTTGTGAGCGACAATCTACCTGAGAAAATTCTCCATCATGCCCTTAAGGTTAACCTTAGTAGGGGAACCAGGTCTTCATGAAGTCAGGCCCTCAGAAAATTGGTTCCAAATGGTCTTCAGCACAGGACTAATCAGAGAAACTGTTGTAGTGTATAGGGATTTTCACCATCTTGGGCAGCATGCTGCTCTTCCATGCGAACATGCCGTCACATTAGTGTGTCAGTTGATTTATGTTCAATAATAAGAAGTGATTCATTTCTTTCCTCAGTTTCTCCAATTCATGTAGAATATTGCATATGATATTGTAAAACATACATGAAAGAACCATTCCCTTTTGTTTGTTTGGTACTGCCATGAACCAAGATTGTCTTTTACTTCCATTTTTACAAGGTAACATGCACAGATATTGTAACAGGTAAGCTATTTAGTTAAAGACTGTCAGTATATATTCTAACATTTAACACCAATTGCATTGCACTAGAATGAAGTTAACACAGTATGGCTGGGTTGCATAGCATAACAAAATGTCACGTAAGATCCTATGTGAACATTCAGTTTAACAGGCAAAACAAATGCAACACAAATTATATAAAATTTGTGTGCTCCTTAAGCCAATTCTCCACCCCCCCTCAATAACCATAAATTACATGATTTAGTACAGCTCATGTATTTTTTATTGAAAATGTTGTTCAAAATGCAAGAGAGCTCTTAGTTTAATTTATGGAGCGGGGCTGGTGAGCTACTCACACATCACACAAGCTAACTGCAATCAAGTTGAATTACTAGAGTAACATCACTCATGTTAAAATAGTTTTAACTATTTTGTAATGAGTTTGTAATATATAGGTGCCCTTTCTGTACAGCTCTGCCATACGTTAAGGGACGTGTATAGGTCTCAAAAATCCCTTAAAAAGCTCTGTATGTTAGACAGATACATAACATTACATTTTTGATCTCACCGCAGCAAATAGGTTTTTACTATTATGTTAGAGTCTGAGGCAATGTTGTAATGTTTGCAGACAAGGTATACAAATTGGAAGTCCCTTTTTAAAGGTGGATGAGAACATTTATATCATCATTGATTAATACTCAAACAATATTACATACTGGGAATGGTCTGTTCCTACACAGAGATATCTAAATAATTCTATAACTAAAGAATAAAAAAAATCTATATATAAATTTAATTATTTATTCAGAATAAAAATGAAACAAATCTACTGGATACCAGATATGTTTTTGTTTTTTTTAATGAAAAGTACAAAAATATTTACAAATGATAAGAGCACCACAGTTTTGAAAATAATTACGACAGAAGAGAAATAACAAAGAAAAGGAAAAAACAAGCATACATTCTCTTGGATTCAAACAAGAATTCAATGTAGTTCAACTGTTTATCAATTGTTAACGTGAAGATTTATTGTAGCTCTTTAAGAGAATGGAACATACCATGCCAATCTATGGTGTGCCCACATTTAAATAGATTAAGACACATGTTCAGATCCACTATCATGCAAAGCATATCAACGTTACATTCAAAACATCCTAAACAGAATTTCTCTCTAGAAAACTATTCTGGAAACAAGAGATTCTTTGGAAATGAATTTCTCAGACTCATTTGTTGAAGGAGGAACTGTGTCTAGCTCGAGTCTGAAATCAAATCACACCACCATGCTTTCTGTCCAGTAGGGAAGTCAAGGTCATATACAAGTTTTTAATTTGCTGTAATTTTCTATGATAATAACAAAGTTAAAAAGGTAAGTAGGTATATACTTATATTTGCGTTAAATCGGTCCACAAAAAGTAATATATAGTAGCAGTTAAAGGTCACTTATTACTAACAGTGTGCAATATGGGTGTGGGTTTATGGGTTCCTGCATGTGGCCTAGAAGAATTGGCATTTGAATGGAGTTAAAAATAAAACGGACGACACATTTAATTAAAGTTTTCCTTTTACGATCATAAGTGGATCCAGCAATCTTTGTTTTATTGTCCCTCTCAGTCAACCATAAAAAATTATTTATAGTTTTATCAGGATATCGTATGTAAATTGGGCAGAACAGCCTTAATTGTTTCACAATAAAGTAGAAATATTTCGAATAATGAGTAATCCACATGGGCTTACATGAAAAGGTCCTAAAATGCAATACTGTTTGTGATACTCAAAAAGGGACTTACATTAACGGATCCTGGAAAATCAAAATGTCTTCTGGCTTGTATCATTGAGCCGTGTTGGCCGAACAGGATCAATAGTGACTAGTAGGAAAAACTTCTAAGCAGATTCTACATTTTAAAATAAGGGAAAAGGCAAAGAGAGAGACACAAAAATATACATCAACCAAAAAGGACACAAAAATATTACAGCTAGCCTTTATTGTTGTACCTGTTGCCCTTTCAATTTTAGCTACTATGTGGCTTGGTATTTTATTCTAAACATCAAGGGACAGCATACATTCTCCATTTGTATAATTTGTTCAAGATGTATTCATATGAAATGTTTTGTTTGCCTAAGCAACAGTGTACACAATGCTGTACTACTCAAACACACAAACATCAGAGGACGGTCGCCTATATTACCTTAGAATTCCATCAAGTCTTTGAGTATCAAAGACACAGAGATTGAGTAAAGTGAGTTCACTGCAGACCCCACATTAGTATCAAAACTACCTTATAGGGAGGGATGTTGAAGCAGAAACCCTTGTACTTCTCTGCAATTGTTTTTGGAGCAAATGTTACAGTCAACGCTGTATATTCAACAAACCCTTCTTGTACAGTAACGAGCCGCCCTTTGAAATACAGTCATGCTTTTTGTTTATGTGGGCAGAAGCACAAAAGTTCCTGGGATTTGTTTTGGTGATAACCTCCCGTCGGCCTCCCCTGAGCCAAACTTAACCACATGGAGCTCAGATTAAACCATCTTCCTTTTGTGGAGGAACGGGATACTTCTGCCTAATATGCAAGGTTCTGTCTGATGTCAAGCCAAGTAAAAAACAAAGAAATAACAACAATACAACATAATTTACATATACTTTTTACAATGCCTTTAATAGAGGACACAGAGTGCAACGTTAGGTCCTACAATTATTATTTTTGTCTCCTTCTGTTAGTACAAGGCATGGTAATATGGTTAACAAAAAAAAGAAAATAAGATACCAAAACCCCACAAGGGTCCGGTATCAAATGTCACTCTGACAGTACCAGAACTGTCTAGACGGACTAGTGGTTTTCAAACCAGTCCTCATGGCCCACCAACAGTCTAAGATTTAGGCATTTCCCTTTTTATTCCAATGGAGATACTGACAAACCCTGGACTGTTGGTGGGTCGTGAGTACTTGTTTGGGAACCACTTGTCTAGGACATAAGTCTTCTGTATATAAATTTCGAAAATGAACAAAATGAAAATTACATAGAACAGTAAACAGCTAGTAATGTCATCAGGATTCTCTTGGGTAATGTGGTTGTAACAAAAGCATCTAACTGAACAAACTAATACAGTGAAACAATACTCTCACCCAAAGTAAATATAATGATCCTGTCCTGTTTAGAAACCCTGAACTAACTATTAAAAAGGATCAAGTAATCAAGAGAAAGGTAATAACCCAACAGGCTTTATTTCATGTGCCCAACGGAACTATCAATACAAATGTGTATCTGAAAACAAAAAACAAAAGGATGTCAGAGTTCTGCCATGAGCAGAAGATGACACACACAAGGCATACATTATTCCTTGTGTCATCTCTTCATGATTTATCATGGAGCTCGGGATTATGTATATTTGGATCATGACTAGCTTTAATCTCTTAATTCTTTAGAGCATTTGATAGTAAGGATTTCGCCCTGTGTCTCCCCCCCCCTTATATTTACTGAACACTTTTTTTCTAATAAATATTCCTGTAGGTCAGTGATGGCTAACCTTGACACTGTAAATTGTGTCTGGACTACATTTTCCATGATGCTCAGCTAGCTCTTAGAGTCTAAAAGCCAGCTGAGCATCAGGGGAAATGTAGTCCAGAAACAATTTGTGTCAAGTTTAGCCATCACTGCTGTGGGTAGTTCCCTGCTTAATACTTTTTGTTCATTCAGTTAGGTTTCTAGACAGGATAATTGTGTTCACTTTGGGTGAAAGTATTGTTACACGGTATTAGTTTGTTCAATTAGATACGTTTGCTGCAACCACATTACCCAAAAGAATCTTGATAACATTACCAGCTGCTAACTGTTCCATGTATGTTATGGTAACCGTTTTTGTTCATTTTCGATGGTTATAATGTTATTCCTATTTGGCATAACAGAGTGATACGCATTTAAACAAACTAAAACTATACACTAATTTACAAAAGGCAGCAGTGGGGCTAGACCCAAAACAAATGCCAAAGAATGCTGGGACTGTTGTATTGTTTGAGAAGCCATGGTGTGCATGTCTACAGGATTCTGGGCCTCCCTCTTCAATGCAGGGACACAACAGTTTGATGTATAGTTTACATACTGATCTGTTTATACACACAATGTACACATCATTACTAGTCGCATTGCACATGAATATAAATACATAAACAGGTGCAAATAACTTTTTTTTTTTTTTATAAACACACACACACACTTAGGGCTATTCGCTTAAGTATGAATTATAGGAAAATCAAAGTGATAGTCACAATTCAGGCCAAAACAGACATCTTGAAAAATTCTCCAAGATAGCTATGTTAGCAAATATGCAATATTGGCCCAAATTTATAATTCACAACTCAGTGCATAACCTTGACACATAAAAAAAAATACAGTGGAACCTCGGAACTCGAACGTTCCTATTCAAGAACAATTCGATATTTGAACTAAAATTTTAGTAAAAAATTTCTTGGTACCCGAACATCAAAGAGCCACTCACCAGGGCCATGTGACCCCTCCAGCCCGCTTTCTCGTGGAGTTAAGATGTGCCTGAAAAGTAAGTTTGGAGGTTTCTCTCACCCAGGTGTAACAGGATAAATGTGTTCTACTGACCTGCAGAGAGGTACCTACCTTACTCTATCCCTAGCAGCCTCTACACTCAGAGCAGCCTTCTACCTACCTACACCACCTAGTGCACCCTACTAGCATCCAGTGGAAGCATGGACACCCATATACCCACCAGCAGCTCGCAGGACAGCCCGGTACCCATGTGCAGCAGCCCCCCATTTCTTCCCTGTGCTCCCTGCTGTCAGTCAGTCCTGGCAGAGATGGGCAGACCATCCTCAGTGGGAGCACTATACACCTTCACTTGGTAAATGCCGGATTGCTCTCACTGGGAATTTATCACCAACAGGTAACGTGGCCCTGGACCAGCTTGCTGGGCTTCTCTGTGTACATACTGCTTCTGCAGGAGACCCTGAGCAGAAGGATCCCCATGCACCTTCCCCAAAGCAGTAAGTACTGAAGCCAGACAGGCACGTGTGCAGTGAGTGTACTATGTCAGCTATGTGTGTGTGCACGAACAGTGGTCCTGTTTACAATATAAATGCTGTCATTTTGGGGGTCTGGAACGGATTAATCAAATTTACATGCATTCCTGGAAAATGTTGATTCGGTTCTCAAACAAATTGGAACTCGAACAGCCTTCTGGAACGGATTTGAGTTCCGAGGTTCCACTGTATATAAAATGTGTGGCGGATCCCAAAAAATTAAAAAAAGGAAAGAAAAAAAAAAAAAAATGTTTTTTATCACATGGAAGAGTTCAAGAAATCCAGAAGCTGAGCACGGTTTCTGTCCCTCTGGAAAAGATTAAAAAACAAACAAACTTGTTATGATAAGAAACTACATTATTTATCAGCACAATCACAGGAACTAGAATTGACATAATTTGAAAGTTTATTCACTTCCTGAATGTATGTACTATGTGATGTGTGAAGTGCAAGGCTTCAAAATGTAGTGGGACAGAAGGGGGGCAGCTCATAAATATCTCTCAGTGGGGAAAAAAAATATGAATACATTAATCACTACAAAAATTTAAAATGTTTTGTCTTCCCAACATTCTGTACTGCAAAATTGATGGGCACAGGAAAAGAACAAATGTGAATAGTGATGGGTGAGAAGGATGATGGTAGATTTTACAGTTAATGAAGATCGGGAGAAAGAAAGACATTGTAAAAACCAAGAGACAAAAATAAATAAAACCTTAAAAAACAAAACAAAACATACAATCGCACTTGCCTGCTGGCTACACTTTGACTGGATGGACACCACCAGGAGAGGCCTACTAATGGATAATGACTGTGATTTCAGTGATATTTCATTTTGGGATCACTAATATTTATACTACAATTAGTGCTAATGCTGATTGCAGCAGTAACATGCTCCCTCCGTTCTACAAATATCTGTCCTGCCTTGATTGTACACTGTGGAGGAAAGCAGCAATGGCAGATAGTGGCTGCAGAATCAAAGTGCTCTCTACCCTTATACAGAAAGGCAGATACACACAAAATTTACTCTGACTAGGATTCCTCTTCCTCCTACTGGTTTCATGAAGCCAGACCCTACACTAGACACCGTGTCCTAGCTTTCTCCTAATGTACGTGGAGTAGTAGGGGCATTTAAAGTCTTGTAGACATGGCTAAAGAGGCAATTTTATGGTGTAGGATTCTGCAAAAAACATTTAGTGTTTTTTGTTGTAAAAACTTCATACATACACACACACACACAACGAAGCATGCAAATATACAGCATTCTATTGAGATCCAAAGCTGTAAAATGCATTAAAGTTGTGTTGGTTCTCAGAATGTCCCTTTAAGGTGAGAATGACAGGTAAAAACTTCAGAGAAGGACCCCCTGTTATATAGACTGATGTTTCAATGCCAATCACAGAAAGAGGAATTTACCTCTTTATCCTCTTTAGTTTTTTTCACTTTCATTTTTATCTTCTTCCCTGTTATCATGCTGTAGTTTTCATTTCTTTTTTTGTCTTTCAGGTACTTTGAACAAAACAAGAAGAAAACACATAAGATAAAAACATATATAACCCAGTTATATTCTCTAATTCCAGCAACTGAGTGAAACTACTGAATGTTCTAACTCCATAGAAGCTAATATTTTCCTCATCTATCCAAATAGGTGATCTATTAATGATCGTGTTACTGGAGAACTGTTGGTATTGTCCCTGAATACATGTGTATACTGTTTTCTGAATAATACAGCCCTCATGTACACCTTTTCTAGATGCATAAAATCCATCTTTAAACAGATGTATATTTAAGGTGGGGTGTTACTATTGACTGATAAAGCAGCAAAATGAGCAAATGCATTGCAAAAACGTCCAGAACTGATTTGGTACTTAAAGGAACACTACAGGGTTAGAAACACAAACATGTATTCCTGACCCTATAGTGTTAAAAACACCATCTAGCCCCCTTGGCCCCACACCTAGGCCCTCTAAGTATAGCATAATCTTACAAATTTGTATTCCAGTGTGCTGCTGCTGGCTCTCCCCCTGATCTGCCTGCTTGGCTGACACCATCAGATGTGATGATCTGAGACAATCACAATGCTTCCCCATAGGATTGGCTGAGAATGTCAAGGAGGCAGATCAGGGGCAGAGCCAGGACAAGCTGGCATTTAATCAATGCAACTCTATGAGTAAAGTTCAGTGTCTGCATGCAGAGGGCAGAGACACTGAATGTCAGTACTGCACACCGTGCTGCACTGACCGAGGAAGCACCTCTAGTAGCCATCTGAGGAGTGGCCACTGGAGGTACATTTTGTGTAGGCTAATACAGCCAAGGTAGTCTTATGCTTATTTTAGGTAAGACTTGCTATTTGTGACCTGGGCATTTTTTATTTTTTGGCTGTTCAACACTTGGGAACATGTTCTGACAGGGAATGAGGACGTTTCTTGTGTTTTTCTTTTAGCTGTCTTTTTTTCAGATACCTTAGATATTTGTACAGGTGAAGATTCAGGTTTCCTTTTTTTTCTTTCTTTCTTTTTCTTTAACTTGCTCTGTTTTTTAGACTTCTGTAAAAAATAAAATAAAAAATATGTTTTAAAAAGTGAGATGGATTTGTGATTAAAATGTTTGATATTCTCTATTCTTCAAAAAGTTACATAAAATGTTGCAAATAAAAATAGTTGAGGAACATGTCCAGAAACTTTATTAATCAACTAAAAGTCAGCAAACCAATATGCATAGAATCCCTGTTTTCTTAACCAGACAGTTTAAATGGTTAGCAACCATCCTGCAGAAAATCTCTACCTCAAAATTACTTCAACGTGGTCCAACCAAAGCTTTGAGAAAGGCAATTTATTAAATACGTTGTTCCAGTGAAATGACTGGCAAATGTGTACATTCAAATGCACTCACTGTGGCTGGTGTACTGCGCTGTGTGTGCAACCACATACCGCTCTCAACTCAATACCAAAAAACAACAAGTGCTGTTCTAGAATCATGAGCTGTACACTGAGCCTGGCTGATGTACTGAATGGTTCCCTAGCAAACAATTTGATTTATACATTTCATAGCACAATGCACAGATGAAAATGTATCTTGCATAAGGATTGACTGACAAATGTACAAATCAGAAGTGCAGAGAAAACAATGTGAAGACAATAAATAGTACATCTGAATGGAGCATGCTGGTTATCGACAGATATAAGGTAATTTCCCACTCCGTTGTTTTATAAGAGAAGCAGTGGGAAGGCTTAAAATGGAAAGTGGTTACCAAGAGGAAGTGAGACCAGGAATGAAAACGTGAAAAATATCCCTGGGATCAATTAAGGCAACCAGAACATACATTTCCTGCCCAGGGATATGTACAGAGAAGTGTGTGACATACGCACTAAACTCGTGCTAAAATTTGTTTAGAGCATTTCGACCAAATCAAATTTATTTTAATCCAGGCCCCAACGATTCCATCTGTCTGGGATTTTCTCATTCATTGAATAAGACTCCGCAGGTAAATCTTGGATGGACTGATTCGTTCGGGCCTACAATAAAAGGAATTTGATTCAGACGACGCATCACTAACAGATTTTTCACAACTGCAAGTAGGTTTACTACTTAGGGTATATCAGGAAGATCCAAGATACATTTTAATGGCAATTTCATTTCAGAATTTTAAAGGAATTCACTAGGAAAGGTTTACATTACGGTCACTGTGTAATAAAAAGTTGGTATAAGAGGTACTTGATTGGAAGAATTGTTACAAGGTTGCAAGACGTCTATACAGCACTTACTTGCCTACTTTCCGCTTCCTGTTAAATAGTAATCAACATGTTTCTCAAGGAATTGTATTCACTGTACCTTTTTGTTATGTTTCTCTTTAGAGGTTTTCTTATTTAGTTTCTCTGATTTAGGTTTAGTTGATTCTTGATGATGATGATGAAGGGAAAAAAAAAAGAGGAAGACAATTATCAATTATTAACACAGAGTATTTAAAAGGGTCTCTGCGGAAGGAATTATAAAACCATTAATTCAATATCATCTAGCAAAAAATTGTAGAAGATCGTGAGCGCCAAAAAACAAACAAACATTCTCGCTGTAGAGCAGTTTTTTGTTTGTTTAGGTTTTTTTTTTCTTAAAATTTTTGCTTATAATCATTTTTACAAATCAAGTGCAGCTAAAGAAAAGGAACTCAAAACAGATTCAGTGTCCGTTGAGATTTCTGAATACCTCATAGGTCTAAGATCTAAATCATTTTTAGTGGTTGTTAACACTATACTTACACCAACTCTAACTGTATACCTACCCTAAACTTAACCCTACATTCTGTCTTACCTTAAAAAAAAGCTTTAAAGCTTATCCTAACACTAATCCTAATATTACCCCCAGGCAATTTACTCTGCAGATAGCAGCAGAGGGATATCCCAGCTAAAATCTAAAAATGCTAGAAGAGGGGTCTGTAACTGCCATCTAGCTGCTGTTTGCCGCATGACCGAGAGATCTCCCTGTAATTCTGCTGTTCTAACATTCGGTCTCTGCCATCACACTGTGATTGGTGCTGTTAAGCTGGCAAAGCACAGCATCAATCACAATTATCAGAGTGGCATACAGGGAGACCCTGTGTGTCTCCATCTGAGTGCTGACAGGCTTAGAATCCCCAGAGCGGAGCACGATTGAGCCGAGCTGTAGTGCTTAAAAGGATGTAAAGGACTGTATGCAGCATTCACTTTGAGTGCTGTATGTAGGTCATCTGTCAATCTGGAGCCACTAAATAGGACCCCGGCCCACCCCTTACTGGTATGAGCATGGATTTTTAAAATAACCTTGCTCATAAAAAAAAAAAAAGTAATATGGGATATTCCATTGACATTAGGATATCAAAGCCCACTCTACGGATGACAGAATGCCCCAACAATGTTAGGGGTTAAAAATAGGTCCGGCACTCCAAGAGCGTTCATAGCAGGGCTTAAACTTTGTAGTCCTGTGCTACTAGACCTTAAAAGATATTCGCCACTGCAAGACATCGTACACTTTCCAGGGGGTTAAAGAAAGGATTATATTCATCAGGTCTCTTCTCACAATTATTTGTTTAATGTAGCAGCTGAGCAAATGCAATGTAAAAACCTATGACGTTGGTGGATATAGAGGATCTATTAAGTGTACACTGTGTGTGAAAAGTCTGCCCTCATGTGGCATGTAAGAACACTGCAAGTGTATGTTTTAATTTGCTAAAATATTAAAACCCACAACAATTCCCCCCACACCAAAAAGGATGTACTACATTTTAAAAAGCACAATTTTCTTTTAAATAAGTTCCAAAAAATAGCAAATAATTTTAAATGCAATAATATACACACTGATGATTACGCTTTGCACTTAGATGTCTACAGACTACCTTATTCAAATTGTTCTTTTCATAATGGCAAACGTAGAACTATTGGGCTGATGCAAGGATGTAGTGTGGGGTAGGATATCAATTAGGATATATATAATATTTGTTTCCCTGAAAACTTCTTGTTATCTTGAGCCAGGGAGGGGGGATATTCAGACCCTCAGTGGTGAGAACTCTCTTTTGTGACTTCTGACACCATCAGAGTATTGGCAACACTCCAATACTATCAGTGATTGTGCCAGAGCTTGGGAAAGGTGGCTGGACCCTCTGTGCAGTAGGTGCCCTGATTCAGTTAGGGAGATGTTGGATCTACATCACGGGCCCATGGAGGGGCACAGCTCTGCCTGCATTGGCCGATCGGGTTGCCATAAAGTGACCACCAGTTTTCTCCAACCAAAATAAAGTATTCTAATATCCTAATTCACCCTCAAAAGTAAAAACTAAAAAAATAAAAATAAAAAAAAATAGAAACACCTTACCTCCAGGCACAGAAATTCCATAAGCCAGCACAGAGTTATATCGAACTATATTAATAGTGAGACGCTGCATGTACAGACTCCAAGCCATGTCATTCTAAGGTAGCCCCAGCATTATAGTCCTATGATCTCTGTATTGTCCAAGTTAGCCATTACTGAATTAGTAGCACTATGCAGCCAGTAAATGATGGCAGGCAATTTCCAAGAATCAACAAAGCAATTTATCAAGATAAAACACACTACGCTACATTTCACATGAACCACTATAAAAATACACTGTTATCAATGGGTGAACTAGTACCTATATACCGTTATATTGTTTTATTTTCCCTTTATATGGAATCGTTTTTTCCTCCCATTTAGAAGATAACGGTGATTCATCATGCCACAGACTACATACAATACTGCAACCAACTTTTTCAGAGTCATGGAGAGCTGCTTATTTTTTATAAATTATTTCACTGAAACAAACCTCGGCTATTGGAGCTGCTCCGACTGCTGGAGGAAGAGGAGGAGGAGCACGAGGAGGATGAAGATGAAGTTGAGGAGGATGAAGATGAAGCAGACGACACAGATGAAGATCTGCTTCTGCTGCGTTTTCTTTTTCTCTTTCCCCTTCCTGCAGAGGAAAAAAAAGAAATGTGACATTTGACAGGAGCTTGCACTATGCTGTAGCTGTCATAAATAACATAATAATAACAAAAACCAAGAAATGGTTCTTATACAGGATTAGAATAGCCAGTAACTTCAGTATCTCTGCTAAATGCTGCATTAAAACATTCTCTCAATATCCAAAACCTAAAAGCATGAAAAAAAATGACCTAACCTAGAAAAACAAAAAAAAAGGTTTCCCTTTGAGTATTCTATAGGCAACAATGTGGAAATAGTAATTGTTTTTTACTCCGTTACGTTTGCTGGAATGCTGTATTGCTGCTTTAAAGAAACAACGTGACTTTTTTTTGTTTTTCAGTAACGCAAAACACAAATTGGTTCACTATCGGGTAGCGTGAATGGTGGGCAGCACAGCTTTTTCTATCACTGGGTTCAGAGAAGAAACCCGTAGAATTAGAAGATAAATCTCATCATTCCCCATGTGGCAGGAATGTGCAAGTATACTTCTGACGGGTGGATTCATAAATGAAAGTGATGTAGTAGTAGAAAACCTTTTATAAAGCGTAGGATGCTGTGTCAGAGAATGGAATTCTATGTTATCTCTCAAAACGAAACAAAGAAAAACACAAGAGACATGAATTAAAATTAGACTGATAAAAAAAATTAAAAAAATACCCAGTTATAATAAAAAAATAAACAATTAAAAAAGCAAAGAAAAGGAAAAACCAAAACCACACACACCTCTGTCCGATTTGTCTTCACTGGAGGATGTGGATCTTATCCTTGACTTTTGTGTATCTCTGTCTGCCATGCCTAAATATGAAACAAAAGATAATTTTTTTGTTGTTGTTTTTATCTGGATAACAGATATATATATATATATATACACACACACACACACACACACACACACTAGTTATATTAATGCAGAAGATAACATTTTGCACACTATCCAGAGAAAGATATATTGTAGAAATATCCCTTGCATCAGAATTACCAGTTTTTCAAACTCAATACATGGCATTGTGCATGATCCCTAGGTCATCTTAAAGGAGCGTGCCTAAATACAGTCAATACAGGGAGTGCAGAATTATTAGGCAAGTTGTATTTTTGAGGATTAATTTTATTATTGAACAACAACCATGTTCTCAATGAACCCAAAAAACTCATTAATATCAAAGCTGAATATTTTTGGAAGTAGTTTTTAGTTTGTTTTTAGTTATAGCTATGTTAGGGGGATATCTGTGTGTGCAGGTGACTATTACTGTGCATAATTATTAAGCAACTTAACAAAAAACAAATATATACCCATTTCAATTATTTATTATTACCAGTGAAACCAATATAACATCTCAACATTCACAAATATACATTTCTGACATTCAAAAACAAAACAAAAACAAATCAGTGACCAATATAGCCACCTTTCTTTGCAAGGACACTCAAAAGCCTGCCATCCATGGATTCTGTCAGTGTTTTGATCTGTTCACCATCAACATTGCGTGCAGCAGCAACCACAGCCTCCCAGACACTGTTCAGAGAGGTGTACTGTTTTCCCTCCTTGTAAATCTCACATTTGATGATGGACCACAGGTTCTCAATGGAGTTCAGATCAGGTGAACAAGGAGGCCATGTCATTAGATTTTCTTCTTTTATACCCTTTCTTGCCAGCCACGCTGTGGAGTACTTGGACGCGTGTGATGGAGCATTGTCCTGCATGAAAATCATGTTTTTCTTGAAGGATGCAGACTTCTTCCTGTACCACTGCTTGAAGAAGGTGTCTTCCAGGAACTGGCAGTAGGACTGGGAGTTGAGCTTGACTCCATCCTCAACCCGAAAAGGCCCCACAAGCTCATCTTTGATGATACCAGCCCAAACCAGTACTCCACCTCCACCTTGCTGGCGTCTGAGTCGGACTGGAGCTCTCTGCCCTTAACCAATCCAGCCACGGGCCCATCCATCTGGCCCATCAAGACTCACTCTCATTTCATCAGTCCATAAAACCTTAGAAAAATCAGTCTTGAGATATTTCTTGGCCCAGTCTTGACGTTTCAGCTTGTGTGTCTTGTTCAGTGGTGGTCGTCTTTCAGCCTTTCTTACCTTGGCCATGTCTCTGAGTATTGCACACCTTGTGCTTTTGGGCACTCCAGTGATGTTGCAGCTCTGAAATATGGCCAAACTGGTGGCAAGTGGCATCGTGGCAGCTGCACGCTTGACTTTTCTCAGTTCATGGGCAGTTATTTTGCGCCTTGGTTTTTCCACACGCTTCTTGCGACCCTGTTGACTATTTTGAATGAAACGCTTGATTGTTCGATGATCACGCTTCAGAAGCTTTGCAATTTTAAGAGTGCTGCATCCCTCTGCAAGATATCTCACTATTTTTGACTTTTCTGAGCCTGTCAAGTCCTTCTTTTGACCCATTTTGCCAAAGGAAAGGAAGTTGCCTAATAATTATGCACACCTGATATAGGGTGTTGATGTCATTAGACCACACCCCTTCTCATTACAGAGATGCACATCACCTAATATGCTTAATTGGTAGTAGGCTTTCGAGCCTATACAGCTTGGAGTAAGACAACATGCATAAAGAGGATGATGTGGTCAAAATACTAATTTGCCTAATAATTCTGCACTCCCTGTATTCCCATTGATATATGTTGCCTCTCTGGTAGTAGCTGTGGAATGATATGATAGAAAGTAATATCAAAAAAAGATGAAGAAAACTCAAATTTACTCAAATCTAGCGTAAAGAGGTATTTGTCTAAACTTTACATGGGAATCCAATTAGCAATCAGCTCTTGATGCCCAGTAATGTTGAATCCAGAAATATAGATTCAATAACAATGCACTGTATTCATTGCTGGACTGCAGGCCCAACTGAGGGAAAAAACACTGTCCATTGTGATAGGCTTCGATGCTCCAATTAATCCCACGTTGAAGAGCTTCTTCCTGGTACTGCATTCCCGTAATATAAGATATGTATAACATGTGTGGTCACTATGTGCCATATGTAAGAAGACTATCAGAAGAGTTCTGTATGCCATCTTGGTGGTGTTCTTGCTTTGCTTGTTTAAAAGGAACACTATATAGTCACCCACGCCACTTCAGCTCATTGAAGTCCCTTAACCCCTAAAGGACACATGACATGTGTGACATGTCATGATTCCATTTTATTCCAGAAGTTTGGTCCTTAAGGGGTTAACCACGGAAAGGTAATTATTGCAGGTTTTAATTATTATTGGTATTTATATAGCACCAGCTTATTCCGCAGTACTTTAAAGGAACATTATAGCTTTAGGAATACAAATATGTATTCCTAACGCTATAGAGCCCTAGTCACCCCATTCCACGGCGAACAAAATGGTTAACCATTTATTTGCTTACCTTAATCCAGCGCCAGGCTCCCTCGGCACTGGTGACCTCTCCTCCTCCATCGACGTCAGGTCCCGCCCATAGGAATGCATTACTCAATGCTTTCCTATGGGGATCTTTTTTGACTCTGGATGTCCGCGAGGATGTCCAGCGTCAAATAAGTATGATTTACTCAGTGTAAAACGCGGAAGTGTCTCTAGTGGCTGTCAAGGAGATAGCCACTAGAGGCTGGATTAACCCTGCAGTGTAAACATAGAAGTTTCTATGTTGCTGGATGTCCTCATGCTATGCAGGAGGATGTACAGCGTCACCCAAAACCCCATAGGAAAGCATTGTATAATTCTTTCCTATGCAGCTGTTCTAAGGCGAGCACGGCCATTGGAAGCAAAAGCGGAAAACAAACAACTTTGTTTTCCCAGTGCTATAGTTTATCTTTAAAGGGTAAAAGAGGCATTTGGATTCTCGAGAGAGTGTGGTATTGAAGTACTTTTGTTTGGCAAAAGGAGTCGTCAAACTTTATGAATGTATAGTATTAGTTTACAGAAGAGAAAATCAGATGCTCCAGCAATGTTCAGTAGTTGTGGAGCATTTTTGAAAGTACCGGGTTAGCTTAGTATCGTAACATTGTAACTAGTGTCGTTTATAATGTTGTAGGAACCAGGTTGTCTAGTTCAAAGAAGAGGCTAGAGTTGTGAAGGGAGGTTGCAGAGCTGGAGCAGGTGAGGTTTAAGATGGGTAAAGGGAGTCCTGTGCAGTTTCATGGCAAAATAAAATCTGAGTAGCACAATTGTAGTGCATCTGCTGTATGTCCTACAATGCCTCGACATGGAATTAACCAATCCAGTCCTTTGCAATGAGAAGCACTCACCACAAACAAAGTAATCAAAGGGTTTCTCCAAACCTTGTTTGATTTTATTAAAATAATGCCCTATTGGGGGTGCATGCATCTTGCCCCCAGCACACAAATAAAAATATCTGTGGATGTGCAGAGTTTCCAGCAGAAAAACTGCAAATATATACTCCTACCACCACAACAACTTTGAAAAGCAGAAGTGGTCATGGTGTTTGGAATAAACCTTTAATTAATTCCTAACTCTGAGGAGTAGCACCCTAAGCTACATCAGAATTTGCAGAATTAAAATGCGGCAGAATAGAAATCAAGTTATTAATCATTCATCCATAAATTTGCCAGCATACTCACAAAGGTATTATTTAAAGTTGGAATTGTCAGAGTTGCAATTGGTGCATTTCAAATTAAAAAGGACACTACAGTCACCAAAACAACTTTAGGTCAATGAAGCAGTTTTGGTGTATGCATCATGCCCCTGCAGTCTCACTGCTCAATAATAATAATAATAAGAAGAAAGTATTTAACCAGTAAAGGTACATTCAGATTACTCTGGCTTTCAAGTACGTCCTGGGGATGTTACCTTAGCCCAACATCCAGGGGTTGTTACTATTACCCAATTTAATGGTACTCATTTTATCTACATTGGAAGAATGAAGGTCTGAGTTGACCCTGTCAGGATTTGAATTCTCTGCCATTTAGGAGTTAAATCACTTCGTTTATGCAGCTCTAGTCACACTTCCCTGCATGTAACATGCACAGCCTTCCTAAACACTTTCTGTAAAAAGTAATCTAATGTGTACACTTCCTTTATTGCAAATTCTGTTTAATTTAGAATGTCTTATCTCCTTAAAGGGATTCTATAGTGCCAGGAAAACATAGCCGTTTTCCTGGCACTTTGGAATCGTACAGTGCCCCCCTCCCTTGCGCCTTCTCCCATGGTGCTGAAGGGGTTAAAACCCCTGCAGTCACTTACCTGAATCCAGCGCCTATGTCCCTCAGCGCTGGGTCCGGCTCTGTCCACGCTCCTTTAATCATACATAGGAGGGCCCTGCAGGGTCTAACAAGCTATTAAAGGGACACCGTACGCACCCAGACCACTTCAGCTCATAGAAGTGGTCTGGGTGCAATGTCCCTTAACCATGCAAAAGTAATTACTGCAGTTTCTGAACACAGTTAACCCTCAAAGGTAATTATTGCAGGGGGAGACCTAATGCACATGCGCAGCAATGGCCGCGCTCGCATTAGGATTTCCCTATAGGAAATCATTATTCAATGCTTTCCTATAGGGAAATATTGGACGTCAGAGGTCCTCATGCACAGCGTGAGGACATCCAGCGTCATATAACAGATCAAAGGTCCGTTTTAAACAAGGAAGTCCCTCTGGTGGCTGTCTTGTAGACAGCCACTGGAGGTGGAGTTAACTCTCAGAGGTAATTATTGTAGTTACTCAGAAACTGCAATAATTACCTTTGCATGGTTAGGGGACATGGGACATTGCACCCAGACCACTTCAAAGAGCTGAAGTGGTCTGGGTGCCTACAGTGTCCCTTTAATAGTTTGCAAGACCCTGCAGGACCCTCCTGTGTGTGATTAAAATTCAAAACTTTTAAATTAAGCAACATCTGTTTGAAAATGAAACCATTTTGTTTTGTGCAGGCTGCGTCAAAAACAGGGAAGGTGTGGCTAGGTCTGCAGAAACAGTGAGCTATAGTTTTGGTGACTAGTGTCGCTTTAAGAACAAAAGTAGCCAAACTGCTAAAAAAAAAGAAAATCAATAAGCTCTGCTTCCAATTTGAAAACTTTGCACTTAAATTGAAATTCGCTTTTAATTCCCTTACTTTAACGAATAAACCTGATAAATAGTCTGGCATCAGCATACTTAGCATGCTGACGCCACGGACACCTATATTCAATAATGTAATCCATACATGTTGCAAGTCCCTAGAGGCTCTGTCCGATAGCCATCAGTAGTCGCTAAAAAAACCCTCCAAATTGTGTACGTTTCGCCAAATGGGCGCAGTTTTTATTTGCAAGGCTGTAACTATGTTCCCAAATCACTTAATTAAACTGAAATTACTTACTTTCGTAGACTGTCGCTTTAAACCATTTCTAACAAATACTCTGAAATACAAAACTATCAGCACCTGTAAAAAAAGGTGTCAGAGCATCATGGGAGTTGTAGTTTTTTTTTTTAACATGTTGCCATACTTGTTTAAAATGACCTTTACAGCTGATATCTAATAATCCTTATAAAGTAGTTGTTGTTGTTGTTGTCTATGAGCCCCAGGGGCAGGTTGCAGAGAAGGCTAAACATTGACATGTCATGCACTGCAGGGCCCTCCATGCCCTGTATGTACTGTATGTACTGTATGGGGGAGCAGCCAGTAACATGTCACAATATCCCGGCCATTCATTACCTGAACCCCGACACAAATCACCACTCAGCCATATCCCAGCGCCACACTGCTGCCATGTCCTTACAGGTCGCAGGATGTGACGTCATTTCCGGGAGCAGCGGCGGCCAGAGCCGCCATCTTTACTTCGGGTAACGGGCGCTGCGCGGTGGGCGAATTGTCGGTAGAATATTGAATAACGGTTTCACCGTGCGCAATCACGGGTTCTCGCAATCTTATGTAGACACAATATCCGCGTGTAAATATAAACAATTATTTTAATTTTTTTTAAATCTTAGGGGGTTTGCCCGGTTTAAAGATGGAGGTAAGGCCTGACAGAAGGGCAAAGTCGGCAACGCCTCACTGGCTAGTTTACATCACGTGGTGTGAGACGTCATTGACAGGCGACAGATCCTTGGCTGCTCACAGACTCCTGGGTTAGAGAGGGGTCACACGGCAGGAGGGAGCTTGGAGGAGAGAGAGGAGCCATCCTTTATAACAGGTAGCCCAGCTTGGCCAGTACATACAGACTCACCCAGTGACAGCATGTTAGCTCTGTGAAGTCACCCACTCAGGGCTATTGACTAAACTGCCAGGTGTAGCTGAAATGGTCATGGAGGCTGGAGTAAACCTTTAAATACCAATGGCCAAAAATAAACAGCAAATAGCTAGTGTGGAAAAAATACCCAGTTCCACTATAATCACCGCTTGGCTGTTTGTGCCTCAGTTTTGCTGGTTGTTGCCGTTGTTTAGTGAATAAAATAACCCTGACTATGACACATAGAGGTTTACATGTGAAAATGGCGACACATTTAGTATTTTTTTTTTACGTATGTGTAAAAAGATTGCTGCCAGAAATACGTCACGACGTGATAAAGCAGCGGGATGTAATCATTATTTTATTTATTGCAGATTATATATAACAGTTGGCACACAAATGTGGATGAAATCGATTGAAAATGCACGTGTAGGGACATGATCATATGTCATAAACCCCTGTCCTGTTGGAGTTTATGGGATAAGTAGTTTCCTGCAGTGCGAGCATCGTACATACAGTATGATTGGAACTGCTCTATAACTAGCAGCCATACCACAGCCTGTGCAAACTCAAATAGGAGGCCAACAACGTATACCCTTAATGGAAGCGAATTCGGAATAACAACACATGAAAAGGACTTGGGAATGGTTATAGACATCAAACTATGCAACAATGTGCAATGTCAATCAGTATAGGCTAAGGCCAGTAAGGTATTGTCATGCATGAAAAAGTGCATTAAAGGACCATTATAGGCACCCAGACCACTTCAGCTCAATGAAGTGGTCTGGGTGCCAGGTCCATCTAGGATTAACCCTGCCTGCTGTCTGCTATGTTTAAAAATCAGTTAATCCAGCCTCTAGTGACTGTCTCATTGACAGCCGCTAGAGACGCTTCCACGCTTCTCACTGTGATTTTCACAGTGAGAAGACGCCAGCGCCCATAGGAAAGCATTGAGAATGCTTTCCTATGGACTGGCTGAATGTGTGCGCGGCTTTTGCCGCGCATGCGCATTCAGCCAATGACGAAGGAGGAGGAGAGAGCACGGCACTGGAGAAAGGCGAGTGTTTAACCCCCTTCCTCCCCCTTCAGCCTGGCAGGAGTGGGACCCTGAAGGTGGGGGCACCCTCAGGGCACTATAGTGCCAGGGAAACGAGTTTGTTTTCCTGGCACTATAGTGGTCCTTTAATTCTCGGGATGAGCCTATCATTTTGCCTCTTTATAAATCGCTGGTAAGACCACATATTGAATATGCTGTGCAGTTTTGGGCACCTGTTCTAAAAAAGGATATTATGTCACTAGAAAAAGTGCAGAGGCAGGCTACAAAATTAATAATAGGAATCGAATATATCAGCCAAGAGGAAAGGTTAACAAATTGAAACCTCTTTAGTTTAGAAAAATGTCGCCTGAGAGGGGATATAACATTATATAAATCAATGTGTGGAAATCTATTCACAAACCAGACTTTACATAGAACACGAGGTCATGCGTTTAGACTGCAAGAAAGAAGATTTTGTCTAAGGCAAAGAAAAGTGTTTTGTTTTGTTTTTTGTTTGTTTTTTACTGTAAACAATAAGGATGTGGTTTTATCACATCCTTATTGTTGAAACAGCAACTAGATGCAAAACATAGTATTCAAGGATATAATCTTTCAATGTAGTGTAATACCTTCTTGATCCAAGGATAAATCTGACTGCCATTCTGGGGTCAAGAAGGAATTTTTTTTTTAGTTATTGCAAAATTGGAAGTGCTTCAAACCGGGTTCTTTTTTATTTTTTTTGCCTTCTTTTGGATCAACAGCAGAAAACAAATTTTGAGGAAGGTTAAACTGGATGGACACAAGTCTCTTTTCAGCTATGTTACTATGTAGACTTTCTTATGGTACACTTTTTTTTTGCAAATTGGGACAAATTTGATATACGACCACATAGAACTAAATTTTCCACGCTGTGTTATAACAGCAGCGATATTTATGAATCCCTGTTGCGATAAGCCTCTCTTACGTGTGTAAGCTCAGGGTGCTGCAAAGTGCTTATGGTGCCATGAGGACTAGGAATTTTGTTCTGGCGCCTGAGTATTAGCCCGGTTAGCACTGGCCGCTTTCATTGTATCTATATGCAGGCAAGTATTTAAAATATTTTGTTAGAATAATTCACATATTTAGGTGATACTGTTGATGGTTAAAAGTATTCTATGTAATTTTTACATTAGACAAACACACTCAAGGTTATTTACTAAAGTGAGAATTGTAAGGAATGCAAAATGAATTAAAGATTTTTGGTATGAGCTAATTTTTTTTATAGGACATGCATTCATTCATAGTGCTCGCTTCATCAGCTTTTATGGCACTGGTTTCTTTCAACTAACCAATAATTTTGCACGAAGCAGCTTGCACTCGTACTCTAGGCAGGAAGTGAAACAAACATTATCTGTTCCTTCTGACAATAAGTCTACAATGTCTAACATGCATTTTTAAAAACATTTTTTTTTAAAGGAAATGTATACGGAAACACTGACCCCTATTTTGTCATACATTTAGAGAGATAAAATAATAATAAAAAAAAAAAAACCTTGGAGCTGCCAATTCGGCACAGGAACTAAAAATATGTATAATAAATTGAGCGCTTGTTGTTAATGTTATTTTGTTTTTTAGAAAATAAACATGTTCCTGACCAATCTACTTCTTCGAAAAGGAATTCCTGGCCGTCAGTGGATTGGAAAATACAGGCGACCCAGGCAGGTTACATGGCAGATGAAAAGAGGAGTGATTAGGCGTCTGGAGACAGAAGCAGAAAATGAATACTGGATAAGCCGGCCATATATGACCAAAGAGCAGGAGTACAATCATGCGAAAGAGAGAAGACTTGCAACGTTTGAGGCCGTTAGGAATGCGCAGGTGGCCAATTTCCCTGAACACAAATATTTAGACGAACACTTAAATCATTTGAATGTGACCAAAAAATGGAGTACTACCTAATTTCTCTTGTAAGGGAATAAATAAAATAATAAACAGAAATTATTTAGCATTTTTAGATTTCTCAATTCATTTTTCCTGTCATCCTAAGTGTTAATTCTCAAAAAAATAAAGGCATTTTATTTTTTTTAAATTCTTTATTTTGTCGTGCGTAAATGGTACATAAGTACCTATTCTGCCACAACAGCAGAGATAGGTTATAAACAGGCATACATTCGTGTGACAAAGAGTTATTAATGACTATACAGCACATTTTTGTGAATCTACTGCATTTGATAGGGCATGCCAGAGGTTAAATGAAATCTTCCTAAGGTGTACAAGACATGTCAATGCTCATGAGTAATATCAAGCTTGAAATTAAGGTTGGATTCGTGGTTCTGAGACTGTGTGAGCAGAGAAGATGCTTTGGTTGTAGGTAGGTGTCATTAGTAGCTCAGAACCGTGTTCTTAGCAAACAGTACCGTGTAGGTCCTATGTCTAGGATTAATTCCGGTGTGGGATGCTGATTATCTGTGCTTAGGCATCGTATTGATCGTGTGTGTTTGCTATCCCTTCGGTTGCGTTTCCATCTAGGTGTGTGCTGTTTGATACCCCTAACCAAGGGGGCCAGCGCGGGGGGGCGTCATCTCGTCTATTGGATGTGTGCGAGATGGCACAGTGGTAGGTGTCTGTGGTGGATAGGGGGGCCCTGTGTGTCAGGTAGGTGTAGGTAGGAAACCCTATCATTCATGCCAGGATTTGAACTGCGCTATGCTGTGCAATTTGTGAACTGATGAACTGATGTATAAACATTCTTATCGTAAGTATAGGTATAAGTCTCTATCGCTCATGCCCTAATTTGAGCTGCGCTATGCTGAGTAACATATAAACAGGTAAATAAACATTCTTATCGTTAGTGGTGTCAGTAGAGCCCGGTTATTCATAATCTCTATGCAGTGTCCTTGGGATTGTTTCTTTCAGCTGCTTTCATGTGGACTGGTGGTGTGCCGGGGCAGTGCGTGGGATGAAGGGGACACTGTTATCCGGGTCCCAGGTTCCCTCTATGGTGTGTGTGTCCGCTGCTTTCAGTCCCAGAGTTTCAAGAAAGGTCGGGGCTTCTGCAAGAGAGGTAAGTGTATGGGTAGTCCCGTTGTGAGTGGCCAGCAGCGATCCTGGTGCTCCCCACCTGTAGCTCATGTTGGCTGCTCACAGTTGTTGGGTCACTGGGTGGAGTGATCTGCGCCATTGGAGGGTGGCCCTCATTAAATCTTGATAGGTTAGGTTGGAGTTCTCTAATGATAGTGGAGTCTTGCCCCGCAGTGCCGCCACTATCTGTCCCTTTTCTTGTGAGGACATACAGCGTAGGATGACGTCACGTGCTGTTTGTGAGGGAGCTCTTGGGGGGCCTGCGACTCGGTATATTCCATCGGTTACCAGTTTTCTTATTATATTGTTGCTATTAGCCTTCTTATGTAATGTGGCAGCTCTTCTGACGTGACACTCGTTGGAATGCCTCGGATTTTGATATTATTGCATCTATGGCTGTTCTCGAGGGCATTCAGGTGCAGGGTCAGATTGTGTTGGGACTTTTGGAGCTGTTGCATCAAGGCCTGTATGTTTGTTAAATTTGTTGTGACGTCTGCCATGTCAGCCTCTGTGGCACGCACCCGGTCGTTTGTGCTTTGTAAGTCAGCTCTGAGTCCTGCAAGCTCCTTCGCCAGCATTTTGTGGAAATCATGCAGGAGTATCTGCAGGTCATGTTTGGTCGCTGGTGGCGATCCCCCTGGGGGAGCTGGTGGTATGGTGCCGAAGTCGGTGCTCCCTGGATGATCAGTGTGGTCCATTTGTGCGGTAGCTGTCTGGCTTTCTTCCGGGGCCAGTTTGGGCCTAGCAGGACGTGCTGGCTTTCTGTGAACGTCGTCCCATGGCGGGCATGTGGTCTACCAGACTGGGATGGGGTTCGGTTGTCAAGTTATGTGCAAGGCCTTGGTAAACTCCACCGAGGAGTGCCTTCAGGTCGGGCAGTGGCTGCGTGGAGAAGGCCCCGGCCCTACATTGCCGTTTTTGCGTCGTCTTTTTTTAAAAAGAAGGGCATCTATCGATGCAGCTCGGTGTCCCAAGTCGGGGTATGGGTCTAGGATGGTGGGATCTATGGTGATTCTCCAGATTGAGGCGAGATAGTAAAGATTAGAGCCGGAGCTGTCAGCAATGGCGTCTGATCAGCTCGGTGGTTAGCTCCGCCTCAGATTTTCTATTTTTTACAATGCAATTAAAAAATTGTAATCAAATCTATATGTGAAAACTAAAGACAGATGCAGATCAATAATCATAGGAAGATCATTTTTCAAGACCTGGTGAAAGCTGTTCATTTTATGCAGTGATGTGATGTGGTGGGGTGAATCCTAAACTATGTTCTCACCAGTATCTAGGGCGCAATTAGTGTGATGGACCCATACCAGGATCCAGCTTCCAGTGGGTAGACCTCTCCTAGTCCAGAGAGGGAAGCAGGCTGCACTTATAAGAGAAAGTGTTGTGATCCAATGGAGTATAGTGATTATAGCAATCCCCAGAGTATGAATATAGCTCTCCAATCCCCCAAACATGAGCGGGCGTAACCCTTACACTACCTGATCAATACAACATCATACAGTAGGTCGTCCCCCTCATTTTTATTGCCCCCACCCACCGCTCACGGGTGGGGGCGGGTGGGAGGACAGTAAGTACCCCCCCCCATTGAGATTTATGGCCCCCACCCACCGTGCAGGGGTGGGGGCTGAGGACAGTAGGTCCCCCCCCCATTGAGATTTATGGCCCCCACCCACCGTGCAGGGGTGGGGGCTGTGGGGGAGGACAATAGGTCCCCCCCTTATCCTTATTTACTGAATATTCCCCTGTATAACAATGTTTGGCATTTAGTGAATATTCCCTATTCTGCTCTGTGTCAGTGTGTATCAGGGATCCTGAGGATAGGTGTCAATCCATATCTGCCAAGTGACCCTATGTAGGGGGAACAGTCCCTATTCTGCTCTGTGTCAGTGTGTATCAGGGATCCTGAGGATAGGTGTCAATCCATATCTGCCAAGTGACCCTATGTAGGGGGAACAGTCCCTATTCTGCTCTGTGTCAGTGTGTATCAGGGATCCTGAGGATAGGTGTCAATCCATATCTGCCAAGTGACCCTATGTAGGGGGAACAGTCCCTATTCTGCTCTGTGTCAGTGTGTATCAGGGATCCTGAGGATGGTGTCAATCCATATCTGCCAAGTGACCCTATGTAGGGGGAACAGTCCCTATTCTGCTCTGTGTCAGTGTGTATCAGGGTCTCTGAGGACAGGTGTGAATCCATATGTCAAGGTGTCAATATGTCATATGTCAGGTGTCAATCCATATCCATTGTGATTTAGGAATGTTAGGTGATTTATGCCCTTTATGGATTAAGACCAGACTCTGCATCAACTGTGTAATTTTCCATGGGAGTTTTGCCATGGATCCCCCTCCGGCATGCCACAGTCCAGGTGTTAGTCCCCTTGAAACAACGTTTCCATCACTATTGTGGCCAGAAAGAGTCCCTGTGTGTTTTAAAATTCACCTGCCCATTGAAGTCTATGGCGGTTCGCCCGGTTCGCGAACATTTGCGGAAGTTCGCGTTCGCCGTTCGCGAACCGAAAATTTCGTGTTCGCTACATCACTACTAATGACTCATCTGTATCCATGGACTGACACTGTTCTGGCTGTACCTGAAATCCTTCCAGCTAGTGCAGCCATCCATCCTTGGAGTAGTGATACACAGATCAAACCGTGACAGTATTTGCTTTATTTAGAAAAACCTCTTTCTTCCCTTTTAGAATGGAGATTAACAAGTGTTTAAGTTAGCACAGGATTGCACTTTTATAGTTTTCATCTTGCTGTCTTTTGTGTGGGTATAGCACAAAGGTAAGTGCATAGATGTTGTAGTAGACCATCAACTCTCATAAGCAGATCTCAAGGCATGGAAAACGTACCCAATCTCTTGAATTGGTTGACTGCATGCACTAAAGATGAATCTGTTACCCAGAGATTTGGTTAGTCTGCAACAAATGGCAAGCAGTGTACACAGAAATTCTATTCCGTGCCCTTTCCTTCGAAAACTTTTTTTATGCAGATCTTGATATGATGTTTAGTGTTGTGAAAGGATTTACTTTGAAACCACACAGCTACACAAACCGCAGAGAGACAGGAGAGATGTCAAAAACACCCTTACTTCAGATTGTAACCCTGAAATCACTCTTATCTAAATCTGAATACTCTGTCCTTGCGTACTCGATGGTAGGAGTCAAAGGCTTAGCACTGTATAATATCCAAGTAATTAATGCTGTTGCCTGTTCACTTGCAAAGGGTTTAAATGCTACTTCCCAGCTCCTAGAAGGGCTACTTATGGACACCCAGGCAAATATCGAGCAGCAATTGACTACTTACTAATGAAACATGACTTAGACTGTGAAGCTATTGAAGGTATGTGCTGTTTTAACATATCTGACCACGGCACTATGATCCATAAACATATAAAATATTTGGCATCTTTGAGGATTGGAATTGGACATTTGGGCTAGGATCATGGTTGTCTTTACTAATTAAGAAAATTTGTACTTTTTGCTATTAGCTGTATTTGTTATTATGGCCATTTTTCTAACCTTTAAGTTCTTATCATGTCTACTAACCTCTCTATGTAAAAACAAATCTACTGTTGGTCGTACCTTAACTTACCTTCCGGCTCCGACTTCGGGAGGTTTCTACGATGTTACCTCGCTTAAAAAAATGAAGAAACTATCCTCAGCTGTTTCTGATGGTCTCTCAGTCCAAAGGAACCGTGGTGAACAAATAATGAAAGTCCTACAGGCTTTGGCTATCAGGCCTGGAAATACCTTGGACATTTGGGTGACCCTTGGATCTCAAATAAGGGGATTGTGAAAAAATGTACTTTGATTCCAAGGTTCAAGCGTATAGGTGTCATATTAGATAGCCCCCACCTGAGCTGTCTCTCCTAAATCAGTCTGTTCCTTCTCTTTCCCAGAACTTATCTGTAATATGTACATGACGTTCATCCCTATGTCTTATCTGTACTCCCTTCACCCGTTCACTCCCTTGCTTCTACTGTTCTATGAGTATTTGCATGTAAGCACTTACTTTTTAATGTATAAAAACACAACTGACAAAATAAAGGTCAGAGGCTTATTTTGATAACCAATACGAGTCTGGTGTCTAATTCATGCTTCTCCAAGTGCACTTGAAAATAACAATTTGGGTTCCCCTGAATATAACCAAGATCGATATTGGATCTATATCAGTGTTGTACAAAACGGATTGATAAAATGTTGTAGATCATGAAGCGTGTTGAGATCTGCATTGCGAATGGGAGCAAGTTTTCGAAGAAATCGGCAGCGATTCACATAATTAGGAGGTTGGTACACCCCGAATAACTTTAAAGGGACACTACAGTCACCTGAACAACTTCAGCTTAATGAGGTTGTTCAGGTGAGAACTATAGCTCCCTGCACCCTTTCTCATGTAAACACTGTATTTTCTGAGAATATACAGTGTTTACATTGAAAGCTAGGAACACCTCCAGTTGCAGTCACTCAGAGTGAACCAGAGGGACTTTGTGCCTCCATCCACTCAGATCTGCTGTGCACGAGCATCCTGTGATTCAGTATCTCCTCCCACTGCATGCAGACACTGAACTTTCCTCATAGAGATTCATTGATTCAATTTATCTCTATGAGGAGATGCTGATTGGCCAGGGCTGTGTTTGAATCATGCTGGCTCTGCCCCTGATCTGCCTCCTTGTCTCAGCCAATCCTATGGGGAAGCACTGTGATTGGATCAGGCTACCACATGTCAGCAGACTGCTTGTTTTTCCTGAGTCTAACAGCATGCAGATTTACAGCTTCTGGATTGAATACAGTAAGATTTTTACTATATTTATGGAGGCATGAGGCGCCCAGGGGGGCTAGATGGTCGTGTTAACAGTATAGGGTCAGGAATACATGTAGTTGCACTGGTGACCATAGTGTCCCTTTAAGCCACACTGGGAGCAGACAGAATGTAATTGTCATATCACTTTCCACTAGTCTTTGATCAATTTCAAAAGGCCATTGACTCTTTTATTTGGAACTGTAAGAGACATAGAATTACCCAACATAGTTTGTAATGGCCCAAGAAAGAAGGGGGGCTGGGTTTACTTAACTTAGTATACTACTATGCGACACAACTGGCTCAGGTAGTGGATTTACACCTTCCCAATGGACACAAGATATGGGCTGATTTGAAGGCAGACTTACTAAGTTCAGACCTGCCGCAATTCTTTTTGTAGGTTTTTAAGGGACAAAATCCGCTCATTCGCACAAATTGCCCAGCAGTTGTTCCTTAAGAATTTGTGATGTACTTAAACAAACAATTAGGTTTACCTCCAAGCTCTCCCTGCTTGCACCAGCTCTTCACAATAGGGCATCCTCCCTGGGCTTACAAACTCGATACCCTCTTTTATTTTATCCTTTGCCTATATGTTTTTTTTTTAATGTGGGCTATTTGCCAATTTTTCTGGGCAAAACTTTGTTCATGGCCAGATAGATTAGGCATGCATGTAAGATATACCTTTCTATGGGATGACCTACTACACTCCTGATCTTTGTACAGCTATATTGTGTATATATCTGGTCATGCTTAAATAAAGAATAAAAAAAAAACTAAATTTAACTCATAAAAAAATTTCAGCATTTCGAATGGCAAAGCATTACGGAAATTGAAGTTCTAAAACAGCTATCAATCAACCTTTTGCAATCAACTGCTATTAACGTATCAGAGTCACTCATTTCTGAAAAAGATTGGTGACTGAGGTCTGCTGAGTTTCGCTTGAGACAGCCCATATTCAAGGTAATGGAGACACATCTTTTGACCAGTTTATAAGTTCACATAAAAACAATCAGCTTGTAGCTTTATATTATTTTATTTGGAAAGTCCCTAGCAAACTGTAATAAACACTGGCGATAATTATCAGATTATGTACTAAACCATGCATTGCCAGGAATTCACCAGAGATTTGCATATTATAGGCAAAGAGGTCAAACTGAAGAATAAATCACCTGCAAATGTATTAACTAAAGTAGGTATTGATTTTGAGATTGTTCAGCTTTTTTTTTATTATTATTTGACAAACAAAATGGGAAATTCAGCTTGAATTCAGAACAATAGCTCAGTTTTTTTGAATTTAAATGTACAATTCTCTGGGGAATTCCCATCAGCAAAAGGTATCGTGAATCATCCCATTAGGGTTTATTTTAGTGTTTTTGTACAAATTGTTTTGTATTTTTCTACAAAGAATGAAAGTAGTATAGGAATGAGAGATTTGGGTTTTTGGAGAAGCAGACTGACTTTGTTGCTAATCAGAGACTGTTTTACAGTAAGTATTTGCTGCATCTTCAAGGGACATTATAGTCACCAGAACAACTACAGCTTAATGTAGTTTTTCTGGCGAGTACAGTCAGTGCATTCAGGCTTTTTGCAGTTAACACATTTTTTTCAGAGAAAAGGCAGTGTTTACATTACAGCCTAGGGATACCTCCACTGACCACTCCTCAAATGGCTGCTAGAGGTGCCTCCTGGGGCAGTGCTGCACACTCTGCATGAAGACAGAACTTCCCTCATACAGATGCATTGATAAAATGCATCTCTATGAGGAGATGCTGATTGGCCAGGGTGGTGTTTCACCCTCCCCGCCTCCTTGATGACTTCAGCCAATCCAACACTTTCTCTGTGGGGCAGCTAACACTGACATAACATGTAGCACAAAAGATTGCACTTACTAAATAACCACATATTATGGTGTAAAGAAGTGTAATTAATGCCCCGTTGGTACACCATTATAGCAGAACATAATATTATCGAATAAATAAATATTCAGACAATTAAATATACTGTAATTTCAAGATGAAAAAAAATGCATCACAATTTGTGTTTGAGTTACGAGAGCTGCACTTTAACACCTGAATAACCATTTGCTCTTGGTTTGAGTTACTCATATAGATAATTAGCAGCACTTGATGTTAAGGCCAGCAGGAGGCACTACATATATTAAAACCCTTATTTTTCTACAAGCCAATGTCTTCTTGCCATATTTAGCAAAATTTTAAAATAAAAATTGTAATTACCCGGTGCTTAATCCAGCAATATAATATGTGCATTAAAAATAGGATAGCACCCCACTCAAGGATTTCTTTAAAAAATAAAACAACTTATATTTAGGGTCTATATTTCAAAATTATAAAAAAAGATTCAAGATTTTTTTATGAATCTTAAAAGTTGATGCTAAATAAGTTACGATTTACTTTTTGACCAAATCCTTGAGTTCTATCCTATTTTCTATGTATGAGTGTGTGTGTATGTGTGTGTGTATATATATATATATATATATATAGAACAAATTTCCTTGCACTCACGCTCAATGTTCCTTGTAAATAGCCTGTAGACTCGCTGGGTGCCAGTCCTTGTAGGGATATTTGTATAAGCAAATTGAAAATGTAGGCTGCACTCACGGTCATATAGATTCAATGGTGTTTTATTTCATCAAATAACAGATCAACGTTTCGGTCCTCGCAGGGACCTTCCTCAGGATCAAGTGACATAACAATAAGCTCTAACAACATCCAATATATAGCAATGTACATTATAATTAAGTGACTTACCCCAGGTGCAGTGTATAATCTCCGGCATTCACTAATAAAAACCGCGCATGTGCGCCCAACTGAGTGCCCTCACGCTGACCCGCGGCCCTTGCGTGATGATGTAACAAGCACGTCGTTGCCTTAGCAACGTTTGTACACATCACTATGGGAACCGCTGCGGATCGAAAAAGGAAGTGAGTGACTAATTAATATGGAATTTTTCATTAGTATGTGGATGGTTAAAGGTACGTGATGGCACCATATGGCTGCAAGTCACGCAGCCAAGGCATCTAACACTACCCCGTTTCTGGATATTCTCAACTCGCATATAACTTTGTGTAGGATCGGTTTTCACCAAATTGGACTGCAAACGAAAGACAAATTCGCAGCTCGGGGATATAAGAATGCACAGTTGAATCAGTCTTTAAAGCAAGCAAGCAAGAGAATTCATTCCAAGAAACATCACAGAGGTACAGAGCCGAATGCTATGTCCAATCACATATAATGATACGGCCATCAAGTTATCCAACACCATTGAAAGAAATTGGAATATGTTGGCACAAGACACTGCACTACCTCCAATTTTAATACAAAACCCTCTCATATGTTATAAGCGCAATACAAACTTGCGCGACATTTTGGTGAAAACCGATCCTGCACAAAGTTATATCCGAGTCGAGAATATCCAGAAACGGGGTAGTGTTAGATGCCTTGGCTGCGTGACTTGCAGCCATATGGTGCCTTTAACCATCCACATACTAATGAAAAATTCCATATTAATTATACGATTACTTGCAAAACGTCATTTGTTATATATAAACTTTTGTGTCCTTGTGGCCTATCGTATATAGGCAAGACTAAAACCTCATTATGTGATCGTATACGTGGGCATCGATCAAATATTCGGATAGCCTATAGGGATGGAAAGAGCGACAAGCCAGTCGCAAAACACTTCCTGGACCTACAGCATCCATTTACGTCGCTAAAATTCACTGCAATTGATCATATCCCAGAGCCATGCAGAGGAGGAGATAGAGGGAAGTTGCTACTCAATAGAGAAACCTTTTGGATATTCAAACTTGACACAGTCTCTCCCAGAGGACTTAATGAAATGATAACGTATCATTCTTTTTTGTAGCATAAGTCCAGCTTGTAATAATAGGGTTTTAATGTATTTGGGGCGTTTAGCTATAACTGTTAGATTCACTCTATAAGTGGTTTTAAAAAACAGTTATTTTGCTAAAAGGGTGAATTATCTTATTAATATAATCACTGTTGATAATAGTGATAAACATAATGTTATTGTTTTCGCCCTTATACTAGTTAGAATAATTATATTAATGATTGACATGCTAGTGCAAGTTCCTAGAACACTAAAGTCAGACCAGAATTATAATGATTTTTATAGTTAGTTCTGTTTGGTTTAACCCCTTAAGGACACATGACATGTGTGACATGTCATGATTCCCTTTTATTCTAGAAGTTTGGTCCTTAAGGGGTTAAAGGTGGCACTGAAATTTAGATCTTGCCATTTTTCCAAATAGTGAGGAAGTACTTGAAAAGTTTACATATATTTGTGTCCAGGTTTTGTAGATAAGAGTTTATTCATCATTATATTTGAAGACTTAGTGTTGTGGGCTTCATGTAAATATGTAAATAATTATTATATGCAGTGTATTTATTTAGGATGCAAAGGAGTAATTCCAGGCAAAGTATGTTAGGACAAATTGTGTCCATCATATAATAGTTTATTCTTTATTGAGGAAAATAGCTTAAGTCTTTAAATTATAATTAATATTACACTGTTATTTTGGATTAATAACCTACATTATTTACATGTGTGCACTGGCATGTTAAATCACCGTTTTCTAAAAAATGTTTTTCATCTATTTCTTTCATTTTTCTTCTTACCACTATACTTTCACTCTGCTGGGTTATTTTTTCTAAGTCACTCACTTCCTTTTTCGATCCGCAGCGGTTCCCATAGTGATGTGTACAAACGTTGCTAAGGCAACGATGTGTTTGTTACATCATCACACAAGGGCCGCGGGTCAGCGTGAGGGCACTCAGTTGGGCACACATGCGCGGTTTTCATTAGTGAATGCCGGAGATTATACACTGCACCTGGGGTAAGTCACTTAATTATAATGTACATTGCTATATATTGGATGTTGTTAGAGCTTATTGTTATGTCACTTGATCCTGAGGAAGGTCCCTGTGAGGACCGAAACGTTGATCTGTTATTTGATGAACTAAAACACCATTGAATCTATATGACCGTGAGTGCAGCCTACATTTTCAATTTGCATATATATATATATATATATATATGTAAAATTTCATGTTTTCTTTATAATCCATTGTTGAAAAGCAGGTAATGGCAAATTTATTATTCTTTTGTATACTACGTGAAATGCTGCTAAAAGTGTCAAAATCCATACTTTGGAAAGACTCCATTGGGAGTCAAAATGTTGCAATGTTCCACATGTTCTAACAAAGGTGCCTGAAGACATTGGAGTACCTGGACCATTTTTCTAATACTGGTATTGATTATCTTCTGAGCTTGTTCTGGCCCTTGGTTCAGTTAAGCACACTGTCTTAAGTGAATTGAGTGTGGTTCCTTTCCATTTTTGCAATATTTTGGAGAGTGGCTCGAAGCTCCATTGCCACTCAGGGAGTGGAGGTCACTTTTGGTCCAAGGAGGTATGGTCATGGTACATTATTTTTCACAGAAATTAATCCCTAATGGGACTAAACCATAATGGACCCAGGACCATCTCTTAAGACCCTTAAGACCCTTATGGGGGCCATAACATGTTATACAAGTGCACAGCAGCCCTTATGGGACTATCATATATTCAATAAAAGGTCCAGATAACTAGGTATCTTATGGTGGACATTATTTATAGGGCTCAGAACATCTACTGGCCAAGAAGTCTCCAACAGCCCATAGGGTTGGTAAAGTTGAGATGCCACTCCACAGGCCTATCTTGTTTCTTTGTGGGTTTCCAGAAAACCACACTATCTATAGGAAGAGACCCAAGAGCTCTCAGTGAGTGAATAGTACATGGCTGTTGCTGGGATTTGATATGGAGTCCTTACACTCTGGCCAGAACTAACTGGCACACCAGGCTCAAATTTAGTTGAATGAGTTGTATATTTGTATTCTTTTCAAATATAGTAATACTAAAAAGTTACACATTAGGATAAAGCCCTGATACTTATGTTATGATTATTACTCAACTAACTGGTACTTATTTAGCAACCTCAGAAAAACTAGGGTATGAATTTACCCTGCTGGGAATCAAATCTGCGGTTTCAACAGGTAGTAAATATGATATAGCTGGAGCACTAACCACTGAAATATCTAAGAAAAAAAATATATATTAATCAGCATTGTTTCTTATTCATAATTTACAGTAACAGGTCAAAAAAATTGCATAAAAGGTAATTTGTACATGTGTCATGTGAGCTGTGCAAATATTGCCATAATTAACAAAAGAAACTAAAAAATAAAAAAAGAAATGTTATATAGATATATATTATATATAAATATATGAAAATTAAAAATGTATTCTTCATAATTCTTCCAGGTCAGTTAAATCCACAGCAACTTTAATAAACAACGTGTTGTCTTTGAGGTAGCAGCCATTTTTGGGGTTCTCCAGTTGGGGGTGAGACACGAATCGTGGACATCCGGAGGCAATGTTCATCTCTCCTTCTGGTCTCTTGAAGCTGCTGCTGTTTGGATCTGCTTTGAAAACATCAACTATATGGTTTCTCTTCCCGCTTTGATCAAGCAGCATCATTGTCACCTTTTGTTTGAAAGGCCAGGGCAGGAGAGAGTCGAACTCTCCTTTCATCACCACAAAGTACAAAGATAAATACCCTCCTTTTCCTGACCCATCCCCATTTAGATATGCCCTTGCGCATAGACGGTAACCGCACCTGCTGGTGTAAAAGTGATGGCTGTAAATGGAAACAATGCGCCCCTCAATAGCTTCCTTTTTCTTTCGCTCGTAGTCTGTGATTTTCCAGATAAGTCTGCCGTTGTAGGAGGAGCCTTCCAAAAGCTTGAACCTCTCCTCATTCATGTTCAGCTGTGTCTTTTGGATATTTATCTGCATGTCGTGTTTGCCTGACTGGCTCTCCAGGTTATCTGAAGGACATAAAGTGGGACTGGGTTACGGACACGTGGTTTCCTTAACATGAGAATGACAAAAATGCATTTGATGGGACCCCAGAGTCGGAGACATAGGGGAGTGGGGAAAAAGTTAATTACCCAGACATTATCTGGTGAATGGTTCAAACTTGAGTAATTTAATGATACTCAGAAAAAATGATCTAAAATAAAAAAAGGTAATGTGAACACTGAAATTAAACCAAAAATAAAGTTTGTTGGTACAAAATCACTAAATCTGTGTTTCCAATATAATGTAGCAGGAATTTGGAACTGCACTCAAACCCATTTGAAATGTACCAGGTGCACCACACCAGTCCCAGTACCAGGAACCAAGTTTTTGATGAGGAAAAATAGAAGAGAAATCCAGGCACTCTCAGGATACAAAAAGGCAAATTTATTTAACCCACTGCAACGTTTCGACCTACACGGTCTTTGTCAAGCTTGACAAAGACCGTGTAGGTCGAAACGTTGCAGTGGGTTAAATAAATTTGCCTTTTTGTATCCTGAGAGTGCCTGGATTTCTCTTCTATAAATCTGTGTTTCCGACATTGATAATAACCCATCGCAATACAGTAGATACAAATATTGGCATTTGATGGATTCCTGGCACATTTCTCATGGAGCAAGCAAAACCTTAAAGGGTTATTCCAACTACCATGGCCACTTCTCTAATTGGAAGTGGTCATGGTGCTTCGAGCGTGTATGTGCAGCGTTTCTGCTGCCAGAGATGTAACTCCACCCCTGATACGGTCATTGGGGTGACATTAGCTAGCCCAGAACAAGAGTTACGGGCTGGCTTATATCAGTTCTGTGCATGTTTTGCATCTACAGACAGCCAATGGCAGCACAGCCCTCCTCCACGCTGCCCATAGCATCCCTTCAGCATGCCGTCCCTGACAGCTGTCCCCCTCTAGCTAGTGGGAGTGACATCACTGGAGAAAGTTTGAAATGAGGGAGAACTTGGCTTTAGGGCTGGACTGGAGGTTAGTTTTAAGGGGACGAGTATAGGAACAATGTGATCTTAAAACACAGTTTTTGGTTGGAGTAACCCTTTAATAATAATCTCAATTGCTCATCAGTTTTAAGAAAATATTATTCCTGAACAAGATACCATACATCCGTGCTCAGATCTGAATTTTCACTCAACAATAGATAGTGGGTGAGTGGAAATTTTCGTGATCGATAAAGCTTGCCAGACAACCTCTTGTAGGTTATGCTTTCCATGATGGTCTCTGACAAATGTTTTTAGTTTTTTTAGCTATCACAGCTGGAGGGCCAAATCTTACTCAGTTTCAGTAAGAACATGTATGGAACATACCTAAACGACTTTTGTAATTTTCCATGGAGATTAGTTTCTGGTTGGTGCATTCCAGGTTCTCAATCAATGGTCGTAGATCCAGTCGGCTCTGCTCCTGGCTAACCAGCTGCACCACCTCTAGCACCTGGTTCTCCAGCCATGCAACTTTGTCAATGTAAGTAGCAAGAGTCTAATAGCAAAATATATTAAAATAGCAAAAGTGAAATTTGCTTTAAAAAAATGTGTAAAGAAAGAAAAAAAATAATTAAAAAGTACCTTAATCCATTGGGAGTTGGTGGTTTGTTTTTACTAAAGTTAAAAGGAAGACAATCTGCACCCAGTGCCTGTATAAGAATGTCCTATATAGTGTATAACTATTCTGACTGGTGGCTGCAACACTGGCTATTAAAGCTGGTATAGTCTGACCCACAACTGGGTGCTGGAAAACTACCCACAAGAGTTTGCTGTTAAAGTCTGACTCTGAATTAGCAAATTTCATCCAAATCATAAACAATGAGATCTTTTCGAAATTAAGGAACTTAATTTTTTTCAAAAGGGCTTGTCCATAGGGGCATTAAGGGCAGCGCCCCACTAGATAATTGTCAAAATAATAAAAATATATATATATTGCCACTGGTAAGATAGTGAATGTTTACTGACGTTATTTCACTATGGGAAAGGGTTAACTTGGTAATTTCCCTATAAATAGTAAACACACACCGTGCAGCACTGCAGTGCTATAATTTCTGCCCCCTTTCTTACACTACAGCACAGACTGATACACTGATAATAAACGTACAGTGCTGTAGAATTTGTTGGCAGTTTATAAATGTTAATTATGACTGGATAAGCTGTTAATGGCAATTGGGCATGTGCAGAATTTAGGTTGTTTTTTAAATCTGTCCATTAAGAGCGCACCTCGAACATGCCCTGTGATGGCTCTTTATAGATAAAGTAAAAAAATATAAGTAATTGTGAATATTCAAAAGTGATCTTTTCATAAAGGGCCGCACAGGATGAGGCATTTAGGTAAGTCTTGAAAAGAACAGTTTGTTCTGGCAATCATATTTTACCTATTTGTTCATGAGTGGCTTGTTTACTAAACAGTGAATAATGGTGATTTGAAAATTCAATTGATTCAAATTGCTTTTAGTAAGTTTGTATTTCAAGATACAAGCCCTTGTCTCACCTGCGTGCTGGAGAGATTGACCCCGTTTGCACCATGTGCAAATTGTTTGCATTCTTTTTCACACCTTTTAACCGTCTCAAACAGCTTCTGGATTTTATTTTCTTTTAATTCCAAATTTTGTTTTAAATCCTGCATCTGGGAAAACACACATAAAAAAAAAAAACCCCCAAAAAAAGATGAGCGCAGTGCATATTTAGCTACCACAGCGGCCGTGCTGAAAAGATAAGTGGAAAAAATATGTAAAAGACCGAATAGCAGGAGTGAGACTGTACAAGGCAATGGTTGTGGTTTTGTACGTTTGGGAGTTAAAAAAAAAAAAAAAAGAATTAACTATAATAAAGACACATTTTATATGAGTTTATAAAAATGTAACCCCAAGGAAAATAGCTTGCAGTGGCATGTCCATTCTCCTTAAAGGAAAAGTCCAATATATATATAGATACACACACACAGTATCTCACAAAAGTGAGTTCACCCCTCACATTTTTGTAAATATTTTATTCTATATTTCATGTGACAACACTGAAGAACTGACACTCTGCTACAATGTAAAGGAGTAAGTGTACAGCCTGTATAACAGTGTAAATTTGCTGTCCCCTCAAAATAACTTAACACACAGCCATTAATGTCTAAACCGTTGACAACAAAAGTGAGTACACCCCCACTAAATGGAAATGTCCAAATTGGGCCCAATTAGCCATTTATAGGGTGGGCCAAAACTTGACAGGTAAATAACTTATTTGTTAGTAGTTCATTTTTCTTTTTGCAGGTACATATTATAACAAAGTCTTGTGAGATTCATCATGGGTAATTTCATGTAGGAACGAGTAAAAATATATGAAGTAGTGGAATTTTATTTTCAAAATGGCAAGTCCATTATTTTGAAGCAAAAAGGAAAATTGCCCTGAAATGCTGTTTCAGCAGGATGGAAACAATAACCATATAGCCAGGGCCACAATCTACTTCCTGAGATAACTGTTCGGCGAGTGTATCATTTTGAGAAATTCCCCGATTAATTGGCAGCCACGTTCACTAGATCTTTCAGCTCCCGATTACATCCTATGGGGGTATCTGACGGAGCGGGCGTACGTGAACAAACTGCATACACCTAATCAGCTCAAAGAGAATATCCGTGCAGAAATTAGAGGGCTAGAGCCTAATTTAGAACCTTAAACTAATGTTATAAACAATGCAATTGAAGGAGCCCAACTTTTCTAGGAGGCAAATAGTTTTAAATGTATTTATTTTTAATTGTGCTATATTTGCCTAGTTAGTACTGTGTGCTAAGCAGTGCAGCTCAGTGGGGAAAATACACTTCTATTAGATACACTTAGAAAATAGTTTGTGTGGGTAACTCTGCTTCCTGTTACCTTTGCTGGCATTTCCTGCCAACTCCACAACAAATTCACTTAATTTTCACACCCAGAATTCAGACACTTTAAAAAATGTTTTTATTGAATTTTCATTTATAATGCTTCTTTTTTTTATCCTGGAGACCCAAAGCATTTAGTGCACATTCTCAGATTTAATCAATTAATCACCCAACTTGTATCATTTTTATTTTCTAATGTGAGTTTGGAAAATGTTTTGTAAGTCACACGTGTAGTAGCACCGTGTGACATGTTCCAGCATGGAAAATGACTAACAGAGGCTGTATTACGCAGAGACCAACAGGAATCAGATGCAAATATTGCTGTGCCTGTTATTACAACTCATAATTGAAACTAGTTAACTCAACCAAACATTTGCATGTGATTGAGTGATGATTTATGATGATCTACATAAATTTACGTTACTTAGCCAATATTAATGCTTCCAATATTCTAATATTTGTATTTATTTTATATGAATAGGATTTTCCTTATAAGTTTTCCCCACTGTAGTCCCCTTTAAATGGACAGTACCTATTGTAGCTGCTCTGGTGAGTATAGTAAGTCCCTGTAGGCCTTTTAATGTAAACACTGACTAGGGACACCTTCAGTGGCCACTCCTCAGAGCAGCACTGACGTTCACTGTCTCCACGCATGGCATGGAGACACTGAACTTTCCTCACAGAGATGCATTGATTCAATGCATCTCTATGAGGAGATGCTGATTGGCCAGGGCAGCGTTTGACTCTGCCCCACCTCATTGGCTGAGATCATCAGAATTGACAGTCTCAGCCAATCCAATGTTTTCCTATGGGAAAGCATGGTAAATTTGCTGAGATCATTAATTCTGATAATCTCAGCTAACGAGGCAGGGCAGAGCCAAACGTGAGTAAATTCTAACCACAGTTAAGGAGAGGCCAACCAATTTAATGGTGGTTTTAGAACAGTAGTGTCAGGAATACACGTTTGTGTTCCTGACACTACAGTTCCCTTTTAAGAGTTCAGTTTGTAGCCATGTTTTGGCCCTATGTTATATGGACACATAGATGTATCAGAAGCATCTCTGGTTACATTGTTGCTAACAATACCAAGTCTGATGTTCAATTTGTCTCAGAAGTGGGTAATCAGAAAATAAAAGTGCAGTAAGTACACATAATTAAATTCACATTCAATAGGCAAGCCTAGGCAATTTAATTCTACACACAGAGCATACTGTCCTGTGATATGCTAAATATACACAAAACTAAACATACAAATTGTCACATACCTGTTGCTCGAGTTGCATATTTCTATTTAAAACACAGAGCATGTGCTCCCTGAGAAAGGCATCTTCGTGGCTCTTCATTTGAACTCTTTTTACCTTAAAAAAACAAAAAAAAAAAACAAATGTGGGCAATTACTGTAGGATCAAAGGGTTCCTGTCAAGCCTCAAAGTACTTATAGTCTTTTTAAAGAGCATCCAATTTAGTGTATATATGTTGTGCTAACAGATTCGCAGAAAATGCACAGATTGGAAGAAAATGTATTTAAAAATAGGTCTTTCTCCAACCTCTCAGTTAAATCGTCAGCATCCATTCTATGCCAAATAATTGACCGATAAGAAAGAACAGAAATGGCTGCTGTAGTTGCTATGGAAACTCCCTAACTGATGCTGGCACTAGCTTGGGGTGTACCTTTAAGGTAATTTTGCTCTGAAAATATCATAGCTAAAAAGTCAATAATTTAATTATATAATATGTTTATTGTACATGAACAATATCTCACAAAAGTGAGTACACTCCTCACATTTTTGTAAATATTTTATTATATCTTTTCATGTGACAACACTAAAGAAATGACACTCTGCTATAATGTAAAGTAGTAAGTGTACAGCCTGTATATCAGTGTAATTTGCTGTCCCCTCAAAATAACTCAACACACAGCCATTAATGTCTAAACCGTTGGCAACAAAAGTGAGTACCGCCCTAAGTGGAAATGTCCAAATTGGGCCTGCATCAAATTGGTCTGCATGGCTGTCATCCCAGAAGTTTGCTGACGACAAGCAGACTAAGGACATGGATTACTGGAACCAAGTCCTGTGGTCCAATGAGTCCAAGATAAGCTTATTTGGTTCAGATGGTGTCAAGCGTGTGTGGCAGCAACGAGCATGGTGGTGGGAGTGTCATGGTCTGGGCCTGCATGAGTGCTGCCGGCACTGGGGAGCAACAGTTCATTGAGGAAACAATGAGTGCCAACATTTACTGTGACATCCTGAAGCCAAGAATAATTCCCTCCCTTTGGAGACTGGGCCGCAGGGCAGTATACCAACATGATAACGACCCCAAACACACCTCCAAGACGACCACTGCCTTGCTAAAGAAGCTGAAGGTAAAGGTGATGGACTGGCCAAGCATTTCTCCAGACCTAAACCCTGTTAAGCATCTGTGGGGCATCCTCAAACGGAAGGTGGGGGAGCGCAAGGTCTCTAACATCCACCAGCTCCGTGATGTCATCATGGAGGAGTGGAAGAGGACTCCAGTGGAAACCTGTGAAGCTCTGGTGAACTCCATGCCCATGAGGGTTAAGGCAGTACTGGAAAATAATTGTGGCCACACAAAATATTGACACTTTTGTACAGGCTGTACACTTACTACTTTACATTGTAGCAGAGTGTCAGTTCTTCAGTTTTGTCACATGAAAAGATACAAAAAAATGTTTACAAAAATGTGAGGGGTGTACTCACTTTTGTGAGATACTGTGTAAGACATGATAGTACATTATATATAACAGAATTGCACAGCCTTAGCTGATATGAAGTATAGATTGCACATTGAACTTGAATAAGTACTTAACTCCATAGCCCTGTGATCAAACTTGTTTAGCACCAAACACAGGCAATGTATCACATCCTTGCTGGATTTATATTAGCTGGTATATTTGATTATGAAATGAAATAATTGACTGTTACTGGATTGTCAGTCAAATAATCCATGTATTTTCATGCTTGAGGTCAGTCATTTCCACCTTGTTCAACCTCAAATCAAACAGGACCTACGAGAGTTCCTCTTTATCCACTAATTGGGGGACGACTGGCACAGCTCTTTTCCCTCTCCCTGTATTTACAGGGAGCATTGGAGCTGCTGTACTGGGCTGAACAATGGAACAGCCACCTCCCTCTCAGAGAAGAAGGTAATGGGAGGGTGGCTGAGGCTGCTAGGGAGCTACACTTCCCATCACAGCAGAGCAGGTAAGCGGCATGTGCTTGGAGCCTTTTTGATGGCTGCTGTCAGGAGTTACAACACACTATCGCCACCAGAGTAAATGCGTGTGTGTTTTGTGTGTTTCAAACAGCGTGTGTCAGTCTGCATATGTATGTGTATATGTTTCTGGCAGTTTGTGTGTGACAGTGTATGTGTCTGTCTGCATGCACTTGTGTATGTAAAAAATATAGATGCAGTGCCACAAAATACAATTAAATATGATGAATATAGTGCATAAGTATCAAAATATACTTATCTGAAGTTTCGAACCAAACAGCCTCTCAAGGTCGTGACCCAGTTCCCGACCTTTTACAACATATACAGATATACAAAAGATTCTGACATACAGCTGTATAAAATCTAAATTAGGAACAAAAAAATATACATAGTGTGATACAGTAAACAAAAATGATAATGCGCTGCATCATAAGCATAGCATAAGGTTATCCTAACTATAATATTAGGCCAGGGACTAATGAAAGTATTTAGAAAATTGGGCAGACTAGATGGGCTGAATGGTTCTTATCTGCCGTCACATTCTATGTTTCTATGCTGTGATTATAATACACTCACAAGATCAGGATGGATAGTGCACTCAAAAGGTGCCAGCTCCGATATTGATGGGCGGCTAAATCCCTCCACTCTCCACTGGTATTCCAAGTGGACCGAATGTAAAATGAGACTCCGGTGGGTATAAGTTGTATAAATTTATTATAAAAAAGGGGCCATATACATTAGCCACCCAAGATAAAACAAAAGGTCCTAAGTGTTTCGTTCCTGTTTGGGGACTTCCTCAGGGACCATATTCAAATGATACAGCAGTAAAAAAATCAATACAAAAAAAAAAATCATACAATATCCCCCCCATGAGTCTCTATAAATAGGGCTGTAAATTCGCTCACTGCTAATCTGTCAGCTTTTGCAGACTCCTTCTTACAAAAATATGCTCAAGAGGCCCTGTCCTACATCAAGGACACAAATCCTTTTTACAAGAGATGGAGTCTATAGAGTGGCATGCGGAATATAGCTGGGCCCCCTTAGACATAACATCCCTGTAAACCGTCATCAACCATAGATTGGGGGTGGAGGCACTAGACCATTTCATGACTCAAGAAAAAAATGTGTCAGTAGATCTTAAACAATTAATTTTGACCTCAGTTCATTTTATTTTGAAACACAATTATTTTCATTTTAATGGAGAATTTTATTTACAGATCACTGGGACTTCCATGGGCACCAGGTTCGCCCCCAGTTATGACAATACCTACATGAGGCGATGGGAGGACCTGTTTGTGTGGTCTGGCCATGACTGGAGGGAGAACCTGGTGGTCTGGCGGCATTATATAGACGACGTTATTATAATTTGGAAGGGTTCACTGTCTATATTTCGGGACTTTGTTAATTTTCTTAACTCTTATTCATACAATCTGGTTTTTACCCTGGTCTAGAATAGGAACAAGATCAATTTTTTAGACCTGACCTTGTTCCTAGACCGGGGAGAAATCAGAACTAAGTGCTTCTTCAAACCCACAGATGGGAATGGGTTCGTCCATCAGCGCAGTTGCCATCACAAACCCTGGCTGAGGGGCATTGCGAAGAGCCAATTTACACGTCTGAGGCGCAATTGCTCTAACAGCCAGGATTTTCAAATTCAGTCTACACATGTCCAAAAGAAACTGGTAGAGAAAGGTTATAAGAAAAATACCTTAGAAAGGGAAATTTGGTTAGCAAAACAGATAGACAGGAACCAATTATTGAGGCATAAACCCTTGGTCAAAACCGCCAATGAAAATTTTACCACTGTATTTATAACACAATGCAACACTGACCATAGGAGAATAAAAAAGAGTTTACAACAATAATGGCCAATTCTATTACAGGACCCAATTTTCGGAACAACATTATCGAATCAACCTAGAGTTATTTACAAAAGGAATAAAAATCTTAAGAACATGCTAGCTCCTAGCTATGCCCTTAAGCCCACGTTGACAAATGCTCCCAATCAGCTGGGAATTTTCAGAGGATGTAATACATGCAAAACCTGCACCACCGGCTTAATATCCAGAACCCACTCTTTCTCCAGCTTTATCACGGGTGATAGGTTTAATATTAAATCAGACATAGGATGCCACATGGACTATGTTGTTTATTTACTACAGTGTTCGTGTGGCAAACAATATGTCGGGCGCACAAAAAAGATCCTCAAAGTAAGACTAATGGAACATCTAAACAATATTAAAAACAATTTTACAAACCATTCTGTGCCTGTTCACTGTAATGCCTGCCCTTTGTTTTCCTTTACCAATTTCAAGTGTATAGGAATAGAAGAGAGTACTACCCCACTGGAGAGGTGGTGATAGACTTAAAAACTAGCACAACGAGAAACATTCTGGATACACAAACTTCAAACCCTCCACCCAAAGGGACTCAACATTGATATAGATCTCGTTTGTTTTTTATGACCCATCGAGGTCTTTTAATATATATACTGGCATGATTGTTAGCCATTTAATCAGAATAAGGATATCTGTATTTAACCAGATAGGTTTATATAATAATTGTTTGAGGAACAAATTTCACAGTTATATTTTCACATGTAAATTTGTAAGGTGTGCACCATAGATGCCACTTAATATTGAATATTGATTATAACTCCCCACATATTGGTACACCAAAACACTAATAAGTAAATAAAGAATTTCTTCCAGTAGGATGATCACTTTATATTTTTGTTAAAATAATTTCTAAAATATTTTTTAACTAAACAAAATAACTCATAAAGAACTATACTGATATTTCATTCGAGGTATCAGTAAGCTGTACATGGATATGTTTGAATGTTTAAATGTGATACTAATCCTTTTTCTCCGTTAGGAGATTTGTCATTATGTATCTTGTGCACGTTTATATTACCACTAGAACATGCCCTATATTGGGCTATCTTTAGGTGGCAATACACCAACTCACTCACTTTAACCAAGCTGGAACGCACACGATGTTGGAACGCGGAAGTACAGAACGGGCGCCACTTCCGGTTTCTGGTTCCAACTCACCGCGCCAATTTCGGACGAAGAGGAAAGAGAATACTCACTCCACACCTGAACAGGACCACAGGATCATTGGTAACACCCACAGGATCCACCAATGAACTGAGGGCTTAGCCCTATTTATAGAGACTCATGGGGGGCTGGGGATATTGTATGATTTTTTTCTGCATTGATTGTTTTACTGCTGTATCATTTGAATCTGGTCCCTGAGGAAGTTCCCAACCACAGGAACGAAACGTGTAGGACCTTTTGTTTTATCTTAGGTGGCTAATGTATATGGCCCCTTTTTATAATAAATTTATACATTTATACAACTTATACCCACCGGAGTCTCATTTTACATTAGGTCCACTTGGATTACCAGTGGAGAGTGGAGGGATTTAGCCGCCCATCAATATTGGGGCAGGCACCTTCTGAGCGCACTATCCATCCTGATCTTGGAGTGTATTATAATCACAGCGCATTATCATTTTTGTTTACTGTATCACACTTTGTATATTTTTTTGTGTGTGTGCGTATGCCATATTGAAAGTAGCGTTACAAGTGTCTAAAATATCTGTGTATATGTGTGCATGCGCATAAACGTGTAAATGTGTGCATGTACCAGTGTGTGTATGTGTGTGCATGTGTTAGTGTGTGTGTGTGTCCAAAGAAGCAACATGGCTGCAATGAGGGTGATATGGTATGAGCAATGTGACAATATATATTATAATGAACAATGCGTATATATGTTGGTGAACGATTTTTTGAAAGTTTGTTTTGTCCAACCAAAATGTTTGTTTTTGTTTCCATTAGATAATGTGTTCTCTATGCATACTAAAAAAAGAAAAATACATTTAAACATTATTTCACAGGACACCCAAAATACTTGGAGATATTTTTTTTTGTAAACTTCTTGGTAGTGAAGTTGATAATCCTTTAATCTTTTTACTATAGCTTACTCGCACCCTTACCACATTTGGAAAAATCATTTTCTGCAAAATAAATTAAGGGAAATCTGCACGGTAAGAGGGGAAGTCCCACGGTTTGTTTTTTATTTGTTTTGAAAACCTCTGTCTGTTGCACATTTTTCAGTTTTCAAACAGCACATTTCATTTTTGACCTGAGTTTAAAAAGATCACTCTACCGCTGTCTATTAAACATTTAAAGACCTATTTATTTATTAAAAGGAGAATTCTGAAGGGCAATCAAAGTGAAGGTAAAATTTAAGGCCAGAGTGGCCAAACTAAAAGCACAGCTGACTTAGAGACCTTTTCCAGTACTGCTATTTGACGTTAAATTCCTTAAATGACATATTTGTTTTATATATGTCTATAATTACCCTTTATATTTAATTCTCAGAGAATGGACCATCCCCTGTGACATCCTCCTTAACTATACAACGATAATGTGAACATCGTATATTTTCAAATTAACGATAAAAATACACAACTTAAATATTTATACATTGACCTAATTAATACCATCCACAATATTATGCAATTACATTTTATTCCATCTTACAAAATGGGTTTAAATGCGGATATATATCTATATATAACGTCTGTGTTATAGGGCCCAATTCAAAATTCTGGCGCTTGCTTAAAAAAAACCCTACATAATGCTGCTCCAACATACCTATCCTCCCTCATACACAAGTATGTCCCGTCGAGACCCCTGCGCTCAGCCCAAGACCTACGCCTATCCTCTGCCCGGATCCCCACCTCTGATGCTCGCCTTCAAGACTTCTCCAGGGCTGCCCCTATTCTGTGGAACTCCCTTCCCTCCTCAATCAGACTTTCACCCAGCCTCCACTCCTTTAAAAAAATTTGCCTCCTGTCATTAATAAAATTTAGATTATTCTTTCACTAAAGCTAGAATAATCCCTAATTTTATGGCAAGACAGGAGGCTTCATATTTGCTGTTTTAACGCTCCTGTATGATAGAAGATGCAGCATAGGTTTAAAATAGAAGGTCCAAAATGTCGACTCTCTGGACCAATCCGCAGAGGATAAGATGTCCGAGAGGGAACTGCCTGCACGAAAGGCAGAGGATGTGGCTGCTCCTCTGACTGAGTGTGCTCCAAAGGAGGGGTCAATCCCAACTAGGATCTAGCCAAGCGAATACCCTGTAAAAGTCTACAAACAGAGGGATGTTTCCCTATCAATGAATTGTCAACAGAGTTGTGAGCTGCAGAAATAGTGGATCGAAACACATTAATCGTTCTATAGGATTTGCCTTGATCAAAAAGGGTAGATAGAAAATTTAGAATGGCTGTCAGAGGTGCTGAAAAGGGATCGATATCCCTTTCCAGACACGAGCTGACCCATGTCTGCCATGCAGAGAGGTAAGCGCTCCTAGTGCCTGGAGTCCAGGAGTCCTATAGGAGAGCCTGAGCTGTTTTAGAAAGTCCCAAGACATTCCAAGATCCCCTGAACCGGTCAAGCTACAAGCTGGAGCCGTTCTTGAAGAGCGAGCAAATGACAGTCCCCTGCTGGGTTCCTGAGGATGACTGGAAATCGGGGCAATAGAATTGGGTAATTCACTGATAGTTCTAGAAGATATGGGAACCAAATCTGGGCCCTTCACAATGGGTTTACAAGGACTATCGTTACTACTAGAGCTTTGACCCGATAAAGGGTGCGTTGGATCATGGAAAAGGGCAGGAACGCATAAGCTCCCATCTCTGGCCAAGGGTGTAGCAATGCATCGACTGGCTAGGATTGGGGATCTGGGAGCCAGCTGAAAAAGGCCTCCGTGTGGCGGTTCAACTGAGACGCAAAGAGATCTAGCATGAGGGGTCCGCAAAGATAATGAATTTGATGAAATAGTAGGGGATCTAATTGCCAGTCACTGACGTCCCTCCAATGGCGGGAGAACCAATCTGCGACTAGATTGTCCATGCCTGGAAGATATTCCACCCGGATGGATAGATTTCTCTCTAAACAGAATTGGACACGTTGGACAGCAATTTGGATTGGGATCCTCCCAATCGATTCACATAACGCACTGTTGATACATTGTCCATGCATAGTACCAGGGAACAATTTAATAAATCTTTTGAGAAACTGCAGATCGCAAAAGATCCTGTGATTAGTTCTAGGCAGTTGATGTGTAGAGCCTGTTTTGAAGTGGACCATAGTCCCACAGTGGACCTTTCTGAGCACGTTGTGCCCCACCCCAGGAGGCTGGCATCGGATTCCAGAACGAAGTCCGGGTGCGGTCTGAATATCGCTTTGCCATTCCAGGCTTCCATGTTGTGTGCAACGCTCGGTAGTGTAAGGATCCCAGATATATAGCTTGGATAGTATATGCCAGATCGTGCAAGCGAATCCGTTGAGCTGACAGCAATCTCCAAATGTCTGATCTTTGCGGAAGGTAATTGTAAAATCGCCTGTGTCGAATCTATTAGAAATTCGAGGAACTGAACCGTCTGAGAGGGTTCCAGATCCGTTTTCTGAAAATTGATAACAAAACCTAGGTTTTGTAACAAGGCAGTTGTCATGTCCGTTTGTTGACGGAAAAGATTTGTATTCTGAGCCATGATCAGAATGTCGTCCAAATATACAATGGAACGAATCCCCTGCGATCAGAGCAGTGCCATGACTGGTTTCATTAATTTTGTGAAACACCATGGTGCCGAGCAAAGACCGAAAGGAAGGCATGTGAACTGCCGAATTTCTCCTTGCTAGAGGAACTGAAGGAAAGCCCTGTGGGACGGTGAGGTATGCGTCCTTGAGAACCACGCAAAGGAGGTCCCTGAGAAGATGGATGCCTGCCTTCCATCTTGAAATGGTGATATCAGACATGTTGATTCAGACCTTTCAGACTGATAATTGGGCGAAGATCTCCTGTCTTTTTGCGGACCAGGAATATGTTGCTGAAAAAGTATGTGGGAAAGGCGATCTTTCGTTCGCTCCTTTTTCCACCAGTTTGTTCAACTCCGTTTGTAATGCTAGATTGTCTGTTATAGACATCCATAATGGTGTAGGTGGTGTGTCCTGGAACGGAATGGAAAAAAATCGATTCTGAAACCCTTGACTGTGTGTAGAATCCATAGATTCGGTGAAAGCAATTCCCACTGTTGGAAAAAATGGGTTAGTCGACCAACTATGACCTGGTACATTGAAAAAAGGAAGGTTTATTACCTGGACCAGTGCGTCCGCGTAGAGAAGCAGATCCACGTCCCCGGATGGATCCTCTGTTGGTGGTTCCCAAATTCCAATCATTTTCTGTGAGATGAGGCCTGTAGCCTGTGAAGGCAGCTCTGCTGGTCACTCGGCCCCTGTAACGACCAGCTTTCCCAGAAAAACATTTTGACTGGGAACGAAAAGTAAGGAGGATTGGGCTTTATTTAAGGTAGTAAATACCGATACATGTTTAGATAGATCTCTCATAAAAGAGTCTCCAAATAATAAGCCATTGGCTTCCGGTTCCAATTCTCGGGAACTCAAATCCGCTAATCTAGCGTCAATTTTATATAGTGCTGCCTTACGTCTCTCAGTAGAGATAGCCACGTTGGCATTTCCCAAGAAGCATAAAGCCCTCTGGGCCCACTCCCACACTGTATGTGGATCAAATTCTCCACTAATAATAGCTTCATCAGCTAAAATAAATATCTGGGTAATGGGACCAGCAATGTCTAGAAGCTTGTCTTGAGTTGCCTTCACACCCTGCTCAATACTCTTTGCCTGATTTAGTGAGGAACATCACCAACATTGGGTCAAACTTTATTCGGGATAGTTGGCCGAGGTCATTCGGCTCTAAGTTTAGCCATTATTTCCCTTATTTCCTTTTCTAGAGGCCTGCGCAGCTACATCTTGTAAAAGTTAGTAATGTGGTCAGACGGGGCCCATTCAGCTGAGCGTAGGTGTTTGATGACCCTAGGGTCAAAAAAGGGGATGCCCGAAGCATCCAGAAGGATGTCTGAATTGGGCTCCTTGGGCTTAGTATTACTAGAATCTGGGTCTCTCTTGGCAATAAATGTCTCCTTGACAAACTCCGACGAGGGGTCCCGTAGCGCATTTTCAGGGGCCTCCTCGTCAGAATAGCCGAGGTAGTAACCATCCACCACATTGCCTGTATTAGATGAAGAGCCCTCTAGAGGGTCTAAAGTATTGTGGGTAGGGTGAGTGAAAGACAACTTGGCAGGAGCCTTACCCTTGCCTGCGCTTGCGTGTGACTTCATCCTGATCCGAAGGCTGAGAATCCTCTGAATCAGAAAGCAAGCGTGCAGTGGGGTTAACTTCAGTAAAAAAATTGTAATGAAAGGTTGCTAACGCCTTGGGAATAGATTCTGCAATAGTAGAAACGAGCCATGCTCGAAGTTCTTGCGAAATGGCAGGCTCAGTGTTATCAGACATGTTTAGTCTTATATGTAAAACTGACAGTAGTAAAATATAGGGAATTGTGCAATGAATGGGGATCACCCAAATGAGATGAGTGATAGTTGTAAGGGCAGCAACACAAATAGTCACTGGGATTAGCCACTAAAATTACAGTAAATAATAGTAACAAGTGGGGTCAACACTTGTAAGAAATCAAACAAAGTGGGTATGTCCACAATTTTAAATATAAAGAGTGGGGTTCCCACTGTTAAACCTGAAGGTGAAATTCACCTGTAACTATGGGTGTTGGTACACCTAAACTGAGTAACAGTAAATGACAGAATAAATACAAAAGTAAGTGGGGGTCACCCACAAAAGCCCTCCTTTATTATGTTTAAATAAGATTACAGCAGTGATCTGTTAATTTCGGAATCTGTTAAAATAAAAATAAATAAGGGAAAAATAAGTAAATACCTAGTAAAATACTAGCACAGTAAATTGTGCTAAAATAAATAGAAAATCAGCACTTACCAAAGCCGATGTGCAAAAATGCATCAGAGTAGAATTCCGACCGTTGTGTTCCGAAAAAAAAGCAGGAAAAAAACATTCGGGAAAATGGTCGTCATCCAGCAAAGAGGTGGGAAAGGAAACACGTCAGAAATGCAAACGCGAATGGGCGGTAAAGGCCGAAAGGGCACGAAATAGCAAGCCGCGGACTCTTGGAAATCCACAGTAAAAAAGTGAATTGAATGAGTAAAGTGGGCCGCGGTCTCTTACTGAGGAGAGAGTCCACGGCCACTAATATAATAAAGATCGCAGGAAAACCCCTGCAAAAAAACGCTGGTCGTCTACCTGACCATCCTGGTGGGGATTTAAAGAGACATATTCGAAATAGACACAAGTGTGCACAAATTATTAAGAAAAAGGCATAAAAGATATGAAACAGAGAAAAGTGCAATAGAGCAAAAAGAAGACTGTAATTTAACAGTAAAAAACTAAGAAAAAAACTGACACATCTATTGGAAATCTAGCATGGGTGAAAATAAATATCAAACGTTGATAGATAAACTGTTACAATATATGGCAACAAACATTACTTTATAGCAATATAATTGGAATAGACTCACCTGGGAGGCAAGCAGCAAAGAAAGAGGAGTTGGGAGGAGCTTGATGACACTACATGATATTGTTATACACTCTGATTGGTCAAACTTTTTTACATCATTGTTAACTGTTTCATTGCTGCTGGGAGGTTCAGTAAAGAAAGATAAAGCAAATATGAAGCCTCCTGTCTTGCCATAAATTTATTTCCCAGGGTAAAGTTGCCACTGACGATGGAACTGTGAGTAAAGCTATATTCCTTCCAGTCTGTGGTTTAGAGCGGTTTCTCTTTTTGCAATTCTGTGCAAGTATATCTTTTTAAAAAATCTTTTCCCCTCTGATAAGTCTTCTCAATGAATCAACTACAAAGTATTAGCAGAACCAGCAAGCACGTTCAGTTGATGACTTTCTCCTATTTTACATGTATTTTTAATATACCTCCACCGCTGTCATCCACCGCCGCTGCGTAATGTGCCAATACAAATGAATACTGGTCACATACATTTATATAAATGCGGCAAACATTTTGACATTTGTTGTTTGTGATCGCTTCTTGAAATTTATACAATTGAAAACAAATATTAAAAAAATCACATTTAACTTGTGTTAACTTTTTTATGAGATGCTCAGTTTTCTTGTAAATTTATTTGAAAGGCTCCACAAAAGAGGAGTTTAAACTCAGCATGTGCAGCATTCCTTAGCAAAAAGCTACACATACAGACTTCAGGCACCATGACCACTTCAAATCACTGAAGTGGTTATGGTGCTTGGAGTAAACCTTTAATATGTGTGCCAATAAGTGATTTCCCTGTGAATACTCATTTAACACAGTAGAATACTGCAATCTCTCTACGTAAGACTGGGGGGCAGGCACTACATTCATCTGGTAGAATGTTGAGCTTTCTCAATGTAAGTCTACAAAGTGAACATTTTATCTTATATTTAATTACTTTATTCAGGTGGAAGACTTAGTGAGGGTTATCAAATCGAATTTAATATTTAAGGGCAAAATAGCCGAACAGGAAAAATTCTCTCAGTGCGCTATACCTTCCATTCCCCTACTCAGGCCTTAAATTTGAAATTCACTTCAAATTCAGTTTGAAATCTCACTTTAATAGGAATAAGTTTAAAACCCATTTTAGTTAGATATATTTTATGAATGTTATGAGCAATATGTGTATCCCATTGTGCTCTTTTGCTATAAATCTGATGTGAATGTCAGTAAATAAATGGGATCGGTTAAGGTCGTACTTACATAGGGGTTTTTACACTAAACAGTGAATTGTAGTAACCGTAAAACCAAAATACAAATTGTAGGTTACAATAACTGATTTGGAACAATTCTCCAGCACAGATATAGTATCTGCTTGGCTAGTAGCCTAAACATTGCAAAGTGGCTTTTAATTATATACAGTTTGACATCTAGTGAATTCATCTCGTATTTATTCTGTTATGCTGAATGTGTTTAACGCATCTTGCTGCGACCCAATCACTGCAGGAGATCAGTGTGTTGCAATATAGATATATTTTAAACACTGATACCTGTTTCGTTTTTTTTATTTTTTTAAATATAGTTGAATGTTATTGGAGTACTCTACTAACATACACATTAATGTATAGATGTATTTAAAAAAATTAAAATAAAATAAATACTTGCAACTCCAGACATTAAACTACCCAACTGAGTGTTCTGTGTTTGCTCGCTCAAATCAGAAATCCGAAAAAAAAATTAATTAACCCTTTCCTATAGCAACATAATGTGTTCATTGCTCTGCTGTGTAAAAAATACTAGGTTTTCAGCTAAACCTAGTAATTGTGTTTTTATAAAAGTGCTTTATGACACCTCCATATTTTTTGATATCATTTTAATTATTTCATTTAAGGTAAAACTTCCTCTTTACGGTGACTTTAATAATCTGTCAATCTTATCATATTTCCTGTCATGGATAGGGTGGGGTGCTTATCTGTGAAACTGAACTTCATTTCATGCTTTTTGTATTTGTTTTGCAAAAAACTTTAAAAAAATTATTATATATTTTTTTAAATGATCAAAATAAAGAATGATACATGAGTTATGCTTTATTTTTTAACTCATCTAAATAAACCTCACCTTGCATTAGAGGGTAATACTGAGCCACGGGGACGCCAAACATTTCAAATTACGGTCATTCAAGTAATGATGACTAACCCCCCCTCCAGTAAGAGATGTGATCACAAAAACACCAGACGGGGAGTCTTGAGGGAGTTATTTAACTTCACAGTTATACATCTCAACAATTAGAATGCCCCGTTTTAAAATGAGTGAAAAAGGGGAAAACAGCTATTGAGAGTGACAGTGTCCATTTAACAAGTTTTACAGCAGTAACATTTGCTTCTTACAATCCATGTTTAACCCAAGCATTCTTTAACACTTTAAATGCCAAATGTTTCATTAATTATTCTTTACTAATTGGTGATGTAGACATTAAATATTCTGCTTATTTAGAATTTTTGCCTCTATATAGAGTCATGTCGTTTTTAGTTCAGTAGGACTTTCCATTTTGGAAGAGGATCCATAAAGAACTGATTGTTATGATGGCATAGACTGTAATTATTTTTTTTACCTGTACATCTCCAATTACTGAGAGAAGCTAATTTTCAGTTGCATCGATGTGGGAGGTAAAGATAAGATAATTCAAAAGGAGACAAGGATAATTAAAACGATAAAGATTATTCAAATCGGAAACTGTGTACCTTAAAAAGTAAGAGGTAGCTGCCAAGTGTTCTCATACTGTTAAAAGGTCAGAGAACGTCAGAAACAAAATCTGGCATTTCCTAATTAGCCGCCCACCTCTCCCCCATTTAGAATCCTTAGCAAAGAGCGAGACTGTAGGTGGCCAATAGAAAAGTAACAAATATGTCACAGATCAGTCCACCTGTATCCTGCTGCTTCAGCATTCATCACATTGACAGCAGCAGTGTTAATAGTTTGCAGTGTTACTGAATGGGAGATCCTAATTAGATAAAAATGCTGTTTTGACACTTTTGTAACATCACTTACAGACTCTGATCACTGTCTTGCAAATGACTGAGAACTGATCAGATTGAGGAGTGTTAAGATGGAATTAATATCTGTGCCCCAATCGCTCAATCAATTTAGTGCTTAGGATGTGGTTGGGGGAAGGAGGGAGGTTAGAGCTTTGTGGTCTTTCAGCATCAGTGATCACTCTGAACGGAGTCTGTGACCAATGCTGTTTCAGCACTTCAAGCGCTCTGACAACCCCCAGAAATCGGAGTATTCCATAAAGATAGAATCTTTGTAAAATATTTACATTGATTGGAATTTTTCTGAAATTCAAACACCGTCAACAATATCATTAAAAAAATGTAGGGGCTATTTTGTCTTGCGTACGTTTCTTTCACTTAACAAAACATGAAGGAAAGGTGGAGATACCGCTGTCCAGTTTGATCAATTACCTTACCCGTCACTAGAGACAGCTGTGGGAAAAAGACATTGTCTTGCCGAGTGCGAGACAATATCTTTGGAGACTCTTGCGGGATCCCCTACAGACATCAGTTTTGTACTCACGCGCATGTGCCAGAGTACAGCACTGACATGGACCCTTGATTAATGTAGCGAGTGGAGTTCTAAATAAGATGGCGGCACCCGTGGGGGACAGCGTCAGGCAAGTATAACTCACCTCTCCTGCACTCGCAAGCCACCGCAAATCATGTGCAATGTCACCATCAGGGATCTTTGCAAAAGATGGCAGAGCCCCTTTAACAGATCTTTCCATTTCAGTGAGACAGCAGCTACATTGTTACAGTCTGGCTGAGACTTTTAATCTGTTGTGTGTGATTAACATTGTAGCCCTGAATGTAACACTCTAGCTGTTTCATACTATTGTCCTTTCCACCGAAAAGCCTCATTGCTACCAATTCACCAATTGTAGTGAAGTAATGTATAAAATACCTTGACATTACAGCCATAGTTTGCAAACGAACAATCTTGTTCAGCTTCGGGACACAGAGAGAGGTGATCTTCAAGCTGTAATTATTGACAACATCAAAAAAAAGTGTTAATTGCTAATTTTTGGGTAAAGGGCGGAGTCAGTTTAAAACAGATCGAAAGTCTAATTCAGTCTCTGGTATGAAAAAAAGCTAAAAATCGAATTCAGTTTTTAGCATAAACTAATCACATATTCTACTGAGAAAAATATGTAAAGCAAAGGTTACCTTATCCCTCGGACATGCCTGAAGGCAGTTGTTAGGACATGCAACTGGGTACATAGGGCAAAACTGTTTAACGTGAATCTGGGGGAGAAATTTTTTTTAAAAAAAAATCAAATATGTTTGCAAGGAAAATAAGCCGATTATGCTTCCAGCACATTATAACTGCAGTAAAACATATTAACATCAGTTTTGTTTATAAAGTCGATATTTTCTGCAGAGCTGAGAAACTGTTACATGAAACATGCCGTTTAACCACAATAAAACTAGATACAGCTGTGCTACTTAAAGATCCAGGACACCCTGCTGCCAACTTGCCATCTAAGGAAAGTAGTCAAACCATTTTGAATGGTTACACACTTACCTGCTGGGTAACTAGAATCTAGCTTCCTATTCTGATATAGTCATAGCAGTATTGCATTTCCACATTAACATAGATATAATAAATTCTATGTATCTCTATTTACATTGTGAGATGGCTCTTGAGAATACAATCTAAATGAGAAATGATGAGCGAAATAAAAAGTTGGACGAAGTTACAGAAAGTAAACGGATATATGTATTTCAACCGTGCTGTCTTCTAACAGCCAAAGCTACAACATATAGAGTTAGCAAGACATGCTGGCCGATACTGTAAATCAATACATACACCCCAGGAATATTACCGAACATGTCTAATATTACATTCAGAGGCGCTCAAAATTTATAAAATTAAAACTAGGCCTTCTCTAAACACTACACCCATACCGCCAAACAGCAGAGTAATTTGCAGAGATGCTTAGATATAGCGATATACACACTACTACCATTACTGTTACTGTATAGATAAATGCGCATTACTTGAATATTTAGCCACTGGTTCTTTTGGATCAAAACCCATGCTATGGTTTAAAAAAAGCTGTGTTTGTGTGTGTTTAAAACAGCGTCAGTCGCTAAGGGTACCTGCTGATATGCAGGGTTAAGTCTGAAACACAAGGTCTGTCTGTGCTCATTTGCATGTCAAGCTAGGAATTCTGGGATAGTTGTGGAAGCATGATTTCTCTGAGCTTCTTCCCAAAGTCCAACAGTAGTTTTTCTCTCTACACCACATTGTGGATATATACCATATTTATCGGCGTATAACACGCACTTTTTCTCCCTGAAAACAGGGGAGAAATTGTGGGTGCGTGTTATACGCCGGCCCTTTAAATACTGCAGCCGCCTGAGCGCTCTGTCAAGAGCGCTCAGGCAGCTGCAGTTGGTACTCACCTCCCCTGTAGCGTGGCCGAGCCGCTCTGCTGTCCGCGGTGGCCGGCCGGACTGATAGGAAGGTGCACGCTCAGTGTGCACCTTCCTGTCAGTCCGACCGGGTACAGGAAACAGAAACTCCTGTTCCGCGCGGAACAGGAGTTTCTGTTTCCTGTACCCGGTTGGACTGACAGGAAAGTGCACACTGAGCGTGCTCCTTCCTATCACTCCGGCCGGCCACCGCGGACTGCAGAGCAGCTCGGCCACGCTACAGGGGAGTGGGGAGTAAGAGAGGGGGGAGTGGGGAGTAAGAGAGGGGGGAAAGACAGGGAGGTGGGGGTAAGAAGGGGAGGGGGGGGTAAGAAGAGGAGAGGGGGGCTAAGAAGAGGGAGGGGGGTAACAAGAGGTGAGGGGGGGGGGTAAGAAGAGGGGGGGAGTAAGAAAGGGCAAGAGGGGAGGGGGGGCAAGAAGAGGGGGGAGGGGAGGGGGGTAAGAAAGGGGTAAGAGGGGGAAGTAAGAAGAGGGGGAGGGGGAGTAAGAAGGGGTAAGAGGGGGAAGGGGAAGTAAGAAGTTCTTTATTTGAAATTTAAAAGGACCACTCTAGGCACCCAGACCACTTCAGCTTTATGAATTGGTCTGGGTGCCAGGTCCCTCTAGGATTAACTTTTTTTTTTTTTTTTTAATATATAAACATAGCAGTTTCAGAGAAACTGCTATGTTTATACTGAGGGTTAATCCAGAAGCCTCCAGAAAGTTTCAGTGGCCGTCTCATTGACAAAGCCAGTGCAGAGGCGCTATGCTTCTCACCGTGAAAATCACAGTGAGAGAAAGCATCTAAAGCTGCCCATAGAAAGCATTGTAAATGCTTTCCCTGGCGCATCGGCTGAATGCGCGCGCTGCTCCTGCCGCTGCGGTGCATTCAGCCGATGACGCCGCCAGCAAGGAGGAGAGGAGGAGTACAGTTTCCCTGCCCGGCGCTGGAGAAAGGTAAGTGTTTAACCCCTTCCTCTCTCCAGAGCCCGGCGAGGGGGTCCGAGGGTAGGTCACGCACCTCATTTTAAGAAGGAAATTTGGCAGTGCTGCAGGAAAACATACCGTTTTCCTGGCACTATAGTGGTCCTTTAAGTTTTTTTTCCCTGAAATTTCCTTCTTAAAATGAGGTGCGTGTTATACGCCGGTGCGTGTTATACGCCGATAAATACGGTATATATTTTTTTGTGTTTCTAACTGCTATCAGCAGTAAAATGCCCGGCATTGGTTACATTGATGTTTCACCTCTAATAACTAGAGTGACTTACAATGAAACCACAGATCTCCTTCATGGAAAGTTGCCTTTTTGTATGTGTAAGAACGTGAAGACATTTTTGCAATGATTATAATGTATCTGTTTGTATCTTGGTTTTACCTTCAGGTTCACAGATGCCATGCTTTGCTTGCAGTATGTGCACAGTTCCTCTCTTAATTTACATTGCGTGTCTAGATGGTCCTTTAAATCCCTTCGAGGCATTGTGTCATGGCATCCTACGTTGATGCATTGGATGGGCTCGTACATGCACTGGGCAAGATGATCCTGTGTATACAAAGTATAATAATATCCACTTATACTCACAGGTTCTGCTTTCTTCTTCTTTTAGGGAAACCATACACGCAAATATATACACATACTCACAAAATTACAGACAAGCAAATCACTACAATCATTCATTTCTAAAAAAAAAAAAAAAAATTCTGTATTGTATAGATAACAAAGACTAATAACCTCACTGAAAGTGGACCTCTCCCATAAAACCCCTTCTGCACCAAAGTGAAACTGGAATAATGAAAGATAAAGTATGAGTTGTAATATATTTTTAGGGGCTTTATATAGGATGAAACAAGATGTACAACTGATGTTATTACTATTAGCTGTGAGCTAGCTCTTTTCTTCCATATTTCATTTACTCCAACCAAGTTTTGGGGTTTGGTGAGGGTTTTAATGGACCTGCGTAGGCTGGATAGCTCCCTAGTCAAAATTCTATGAGATCATTATTTTATTATGGCCAGGCCCACAGAATCTGACCTTATAGCCTTACCAAACAAAATGAGTTATAATCATTTACTTAATCGGCAGAAAGCTCTTGTTCAGTCCTGTGGGACACATTAAACTAACTGTAAATATGTAGTAGAAACTGTTTTATGTATTGTATCAGAGAGGTTTCATGAGTTTATCCACTTGAAAAATATGTCTGTGATGTGGAAAAAAACAAACTGTATTAATATTGTGAGAGAATCGTTCCTGTCCGCCCGCACCTCCCACACCTACCCTCTCTGTCAGCTTTCCGTAAGATGCAGGGCTCAATTTAAGATCGTGGTACTTGTTTACAAATTTCTACACAATGCTGCCCCAACCTACCTATCCTCATTAATACACAAATATGTCCCGTCTAGGCCCCTACGCTACTGCCGGAGACCTACGTCTAGCGTCTGTTCGTACTCCTACTTATAATGCTCGCCTTAAAGACTTCTCTAGGGCTGCACAATTCCTATGGAACGCCCTTCCCCTCTCTGTTAGACGTTCACCCAATCTCCACTCCTTTAAAAAATCTTTGAAAACTTACTTCTTGAAATCTTTGAAACCTTGCACCCCGATTCCTCTCCTGCAACTGTCACCAAAACACTAAGCCCTCAGTGAATACTATCCTAGAAATCTACTTTTCTACTCTACCCTTACCTTTTGTGTCACTATACCCCACTCCCTCTAGCATGTTAGCTCATCGAGCAGGGCCCCCAATCTCTCTGTTCCTATGCGTCAAACTTGTCTGGTTACAAATACGTGTCTGTACGTCCACCCATTGTACAGCGCTGTGGAATTTGTTGGTGCAATATAAATAATAATAATTATTGTGATTGGCACACTCTTCCATACCTGGTATCTTCCCAGTGTTACATTCACATCACAATCAGGTGTGTTCTTGCAAAAGACTTGTAGATTTAGAACTTCTCTTTTACAGCAATTGTCTTTGAAAACCTGAGAATGTATTTGCACATTAAGGTAAGTGTGGCTGCTTTAGAGTAGAATACCAAGCAGGAAGCTGAATATTTTGTTAAATGGAAATAAAACCCATTTTTTGATTACTAATTTATGTGCCTATATTAAAGGGACATTGTAGACACTGTAACTGCAACATCTCATTGAATTGGTTATAGTGCTTGGATTTCCCTAACATGTTCACTCCATTCACTCCTGATAAACTATTTTCAAGCAGTTTACAGGTCCCTGGCCAAACATGCCCCCTACTGGAGGTATGGCTAGGAAAAATGGATCACACACTTCCTTCTAGCCATACCAATTCACAGCAGTAATTGGCGCTGTGATAGAATGAAAGCAGTCAGCTGACGCTCTCAGCCATCACAGCCATCTACTGCAGCTTAGGCTAATGTTTCCTTATACACCCAACCATCACAGTGTGGACCGACTTCAGAAGACTCTCTTTTAGCAATAAAACATTAAAAATTGTTTAGCGCTGAATGGAAGGCCGGCACCAGGGGACTCCAGATACTATAATTACATTAATGAGATGAAACAGTAACAGAGGTTCTGATTTTGTAGTGTCTCCTATCACTACTAACCGGAGTTGGTGAACTCTAGCATAACGTGAGCAAAGTTCAGTCAACAGTTTGTTAGGTCTATTTACTGAAGAGAGAGATGGCAATTCCCAGACACAAAATCAGATTTATTCATTGCAGTGTGAAATGTTGGGAATTCAAAGCGAATTTTAAATTATGCCAAAATAGCCAAACTTAGAACACGGCAGATTGGATAATTATTGCAATTTGTTAACTTTGAGCTAAAGATTCAAATTCTAAATGTAGTAAAGAAAATAAATAATATCAATAAAATTTTGAAATTCATTTTTGAATTCCCAACATAAATTTGAATAACTAAGTTTACTACTACCAAGGCAGTCGACTCATTGGCTAATCTGGGCAGGTGCTTCTCTGCCAAAGGCCCTACGAAGTTCAAGAAAATATTGCTAATTGACAGCAATAACCCTATTGAAAGGAAAACCCCAAGTACCATAACCACTATAGTGTGCTGAAGCAGTTATGGTGCCAGGATCATCCTACTGCCCCCTCCCCCATTTATATTTGAACAGTTTAACTTACCTGGCTCTCCTGAGCTAAGCCCGGCAACGCAACATTGGCTGAGAGCGTCATCTGATCATACTAAACCAATAAAGCAAGCCCTGCACTGCTGGACTTAGCTCAGATACAGAGGATTTGGCTCTACTGAAGGCTGTAGAGACGTCATGGAGAGGCGTCTGGCGGACAGCAGATGAAAAGTGAAACTGTTCTAAAACGGTTTTACTGCTTACAATGGGAAGGCACCAGGGCACTCCTGCCACCATAACCACTGCAGTATACAGCGTGGTAAACCCCCAGCTGTAATGGCCAAATATACAAATGATAAAGTACGGAGGGATATTTAGTTTATTTTACCTCCTTTGGATTAATGATTTCCTTATCAATCGGGCACTCTGGTGTTTCATATAGTTCACTACACAAAAAAACAAAAACAAATGGAAAGTGCACATTAATTTGGAATTTGATATGTATTAAATATCCTACACGCTGTTTACCACTTAAAAGAACACTCCAAGCACCATAACCACTACACTGATGTGTTGCTATGCATATTTTACTATGAAAAGGTGACAGTCTTGTGTCACAGACAGTAGAATAATAGTCTTTGCACAGTTAACGTACACACAGACACCCATGTATAGTAACCTTTACACAACCCAAGCCAGGAAGCTGTAGGTGCAATGCATCGTCATGATGCTAAAGCTAACATGCACACGGAATCATTGATCTGCACTAAGACTGATCACTGGTGGTTCAAATGCTTGATGTGAGGATGTTCCAACAGCAATTGGAAGCTTTCTGTAGAAAACAAATTGAATTACTTGCTGTTTAGAGAATATTTTGAAATCATTTCACAAGCTGTAACAAACCCTTAGACTTTCTAGAATAGCATAGGACCATGCCTATAAGACCCTCCAGCACTAGCATATACCCCTTCAGGTAAAACTGGTGTTTTATAGGTGGCTATTTTGTTCTAATATCTATTTATGTCTATTTATGAAGTTTCTCTCTCCCAGCCCAATATTTGTGTTTTCTTTTTTTTTTTCTGGCAAAAAACTACAGCTAGATCAAGACTTTTTTTTTTTTTTAAGTAGATCTTAAAGAAGTGGAATTAAATCATGATATTTTGCATGTAAAAAAAATGAAACACAAAAGTATCAAGTAGTGTTACTCCCTATTTAAGAGACCAGACCCAAATTTTAAAACCTAGAAACTGAAAAATGCTTTCAAACAAGATAAAACCTGAGAAGGAATAAGTGGCGCTAAGAAAATATCAACTAGATGCTGCTAGAAAAAAATCACCCAAGTGTATTGTCAACTCCAATACACTTCAAATATGATACGTAAAAGGTAAGGTGATCAGCGCCCACGAGAGTTCTTTTTACCTTTTTATATATCACTTGGTAATAACAACAATGTTTAATTTCCTGTATGAAATAAACATAAAAAAGCACATAGTGTAATCTGAATAATAATATGTTCACTTGCTAATCTAATGCGCATTTGTACAAGATGATACTACTGGTGCGAGCTACGAGGTACAGCACAGAATCCAAGTCATGCATCCCTGACGCAGCAATGCAAATTTCGCCCGTGCAAATGTATGTTGTATGCCCGTCATATCTCCAAGCGGTCATTATCCGATCATGTTGTAAAGTGAGGAGCAACTAGGTAAGGAAGAGACAGTAGTACGCATGCACGGTTTGTATTTATTGTAATGTGCTTTCCTTTTTGTTAGAAATCTAACTAGAATCTAATGCACATTCAAATTTTGGAGACTTTATTTTGCCAATAAGGGGGAGCACTAGATTCAAGTAAATACAGTAATAAAGTTGAGTAATAAAATGTCTCTTTCACATAATATTAAACAATCATATGTGTGTCTTTTGCTCAGGATTTAGTGATTCACAAGAGATCTTGATTATACATAGACCACTGAGGATGCATGAACCTTGGTTTTGTGGTTTTGGAGCCACTGGTATAATAGACCAGGAGAACCTCAAAGGGACACTCTGGCTTGCAGAAGTGCTTCATGTGTCATGTTTGTAACAGTTTATAAAAGTTCAGATTTCAACAGAAATCTGTCAATCAAACAGCCGGGAGATTTCCTTATGATTCCGTCAGCCCTACGGAGCTACAGGAAGTGGCAGGTGTGCTAGGCTAGTGTGCACCTGCCTCCCCCCCTTGTCAAGGCGCTGTAGGACAGCCAATTGAGATTCATAGGAAAGCTGAACATTGCATGCACACTGACAGCTCCAGCAATAAGAAGCCTCTGATTTGTGTATTCCCCAGCCAGGTGTGGTGACATTGCTAACCCTTTCCTATATACTGAAATGAAGAAAAAAAATCAATAGAAAGTTCCTTTGATGTCCAGAATACTGAAACCATTATCGCCTAATGAAAGCACTGAGGATAGCCCAATGTGAGGTTTATTCAATCAATTTTACCTGCTGGTATGTTGTATATTCAGTCCAGAATGTTTGGTAACAGAGAATGATGTTGGGATTAGGAATTAGAAGAAACAGTTGTAGGGTTATTCAATCAAGAATGTTTGGTAACAGAGAATGATGTTGGGAATAGGAATTAGAAGAAACAGTTGTAGCGTTATTCTGTACAGAATATTTGGTAACAGAGAATGATGTTGGGATTAGGAATTAAAAGAAGGTGTTGTAGGGTTATTCAGTACAGAATGTTTGGTAACAGAGAATGATGTTGGGATTAGGAATTAAAAGAAGGTGTTGTAGGGTTATTCAGTACAGAATGTTTGGTAACAGAGAATGATGTTGGGATTAGGAATTAAAAGAAGGTGTTGTAGGGTTATTCAGTACAGAATGTTTGGTAACAGAGAATGATGTTGGGATTAGGAATTAGAAGTAACAGATCTGTGAAATCCCACCTCAAACCCAAGACACATTGCTCACAAAACCTGTGACCACATCCCGTTTGGTGAGGATTGTGAAGAACCAAATGGCATCTTGCACACTTATATCGGTCTTGCAACTTTTCAACAAATTGGTATTCCTGCTTAGGCTCGAAATCCAGAGATGAACCTGCGCTAGAACCCTGCCTCGTGATTGTTGCAGGAAAACTAGAGATCTCCTCACAGGCCATGGTGGTGTTCTGAAGGAAAAAGACATTAATATTACAGTTTATTTTGAGATTGCAAGTATTAAGAAAATTGGGCAGACTAGATGGGCCGAATGGCTCTTATCTGCCGTAACATTCTACATTTCTATAAAGCAGTTATGAAAAAACAAACATTAAAAATCTCTTTTAGGGTTACAATTGTTAATCATTTGTATCTCTGAGACCACTACAGCCTGTACTGTAGTTGTTAGTTAATCAGTGAAACTCTTACAGGATTATTTGCTAAAGTGAGAATTCAAAGTGAATTCGAAGTAAATTTTAAATTTAAGGCCAAAGTAGCCGAACTGAGTTAGCGAACGTATCCAGTTCAGTACCTTGACTTAGAAATTTGCTTTGAATTCACTTTAGTAACCCTTATAATGTCTATAATTGCCCATTCAGCGGAGGGCTCTATATATCCAGGAAAAATTATGGCAAAACAGCCATGAATCCTAAAACTCAGCTGCAGAGGTATATAGTCCAGTATGCGTCAGAATGCACCACTTCTGTAAACATAATTAACCAGGAATAGAGAGAGGACGTATTAAGGGGTGACACCCGCCCAAGCCCCAGGCCAAATCCAGGCAAAGGTGCAAAGGATATAATCCAGAGAATTAAGACAAGAATATTGCAATAAGGCATACATTTAAAAAAAAGATCTATGCTGTGACAATTGCATAATTTATATCATATCATGAGATACAAGTTTAGAGTAAACGCCAAAATGACTACCAGCAAAGCTATGCTTGAAAAAAACATTGGTTTCTTTGAACAAAAAAACAATATGGTCCCTTGTTCAGGGAGAGCCTACAGGGTCTTTCTTATCCCCATTGGAGTTTTTGCTATATATCCCCAGAAGGTGATCCCAGAGAGTGACAGAGCCACTTTAATAGTTAAAATAGGCCATGCCATGCCGTTATGGGCACACTGTAATTGCCCATGTCATCAGGGTGCTCCCCTCTCGCTGATAATAAAGACCCTCCTCCAGTCACTTGTGCAATAAACGTGTCATCTAAGGAGGTCTGTGGCTTCGTTTGACTTATGCGTCACTTTGAGATGTTTGGTGATTGCAATGATGCCATGTGTAATCGAAGGGAAGCCCACTTCTACCCACCATGATACTGTTAGTGCAATGCAAACAGGAGAATGGCGTAACAAGGAGCAGCCTCAATAGACAGAGTGAATAGTGTCTCCTGCAAAGGTGTACTCTGACAATATTATATAACATCATCTAATAATAACACCTACTCCTACCAGGTAACTACAATGGAACTTAGCTCCACGTTAATTCCAAGTACTAACATATTAAAAAATGTAAATGCAATAGTTGAGGCAATAAACTCACTGTGATACGTAAATATTACTAATAAAATATAATATTAAATATAATGATTCATCGCATATTCAATAATTAATTAATGCACACATTTTTGTGGTCATATTGCAATTTCACATTGAAATTATTAAATCATTTAAATATTAAAAACCTCTAATTTAAGGTAAACTTTAAACGACCGGGATCTCATCTTGTCTTATTTTTTTTCCTTCTCAAAGATCCAGCTCGGGCAATTAAGCAGAAAATGGTTTTCTTTTGTTATTTTAGTTTCCAAATAACTTCACGGGAATATTCCAGAAACACAAACCACCAAAAATTCATTATCATTTCCTCTCACCCCCCTCCTTTTTGTTGTTGCATGTTTTCTTGGCACACTAAAACACAGCATATTTCTTTTAGCTCTTAACTTTGTATATGTTTCACTATATCACTGTGCTGGGTATCACTTAAGATACTTAATACGGTTAAGGTTAACACATTTTACAGCGTTAGCACCAGGGCCGGATTAACATAGGGGCTGATAGAGCTGCAGCTCCAGGCCCAGGCCCATTTAAAAAAAACAAAAAAAAAAAACCTTTTTTTTTTGTACATTTTTTTTTTTAACACTCTACTCTTAGGTTTGCCATCTGACTGGTATTTTACTGGCACAGATGGTATTAGAGGCTGCCTGGCCGTGCCGGTATTGCAGTAATACCGGCAATACAAATGCAGATATTTTTCTCAGTATAAACAGAGATTACTCTGCAATATCAGCGCCGGCCAGTAGGGGTCACTGCGTGTGTGGAGAGAGGCAGGGATATGAAGTTACAGCATCTCCCTCCCTGCCTCTCTCTACTCACTGATCCACGGGGGAGCAGCTACACAGCACAGAGAGTTCAGACAGCAGCTCCCAACCTGCAGAGACAGCCTACAGCATAGGGAAGTGAGGGATGAGGGGAAAGGCTGCAGGGAGACATTGGGACACTGAGACACTAGGGGACACTGGGAGACATAGGGACATTGAGAGACACATTGGAACACGGAGACACTAATGACACAGTGTCTCCATGTCTTCCAGTGTCCCCATGTCTCCCAGCCAGTGTCCCTAGTGTCTCAGTGTCCCCATGGCTCCCAGTGTCCTATAGTCTCCCAGTGTCTGTGTTCCCATGTCTCTCAGTGTCCCCATAGCTCCCAGTGCCCCCATGTCTCCCAGTGTCCCCATGTCTCCTAGCCAGTGTGTCAGTGTCCCCATGTCTTTCAGTATCCCTAGTGTCCCAATGCCCCCAAATGTTTCAGTGTCCCCAAGTCTCCCAGTGTCCCCAAGTGTCTGTGTTCCCATGCCTCCCAGCCAGTGTCCCTAGTGTCTCAGTCTCCCCATGTCTCCCAGTGTCCTCTAGTCTCCCAGTGTCTGTGTTCCCATGTTTCTCAGTGTCCCTAGTATCTTAGTGTCCCCAAATGTCTGTGTCCCCATGTCTCCATGTCTCCCAGTGTCCCCAAGTGTCTCACTGTGTCCCCATGTCTCACTGTGTCCCCATGTCTCTCAGTGTCCCTGAGTATCCTAGTGACACAGGACACACTGAGACATGGGGACACTGGGAGCAATGAGGACACAGACACCTGGAGACTAGTGGACTGAGTGACATGGGGACACTGACACTGTGATACATAGGGACACTGATGCCAGGCTGGCCTTCCAATTCTTTGGGCAGACATGCCCCCTTTTTGGGCACTGTTGCTCCTTTTGGCAGTTCTGGTCACGTGATTCGTGTCAGTAGCCCACCCTTTTACACCGCCCATTGACTTCCTGCTTCACTGGACACTGCTGTTAGGGGGAATGGATTTACTTGAAAGATGAAAGCATTAATTAGAGAGAGATTAGCATATTTTAAGAAAATCTGCATTTTCTTATAGCTGCATCCTATGAGTTTCCCTCTGGCACCATCTCCACCAGATACATAACGCTTGAGAGGTATGACTGTTTTAGTGTTTTTGGTCGATAAGATTCTGTAATTAGGCCCCTCATATTTGTCAGCACCAGGCCCACTGGGCTCTTAATCTGGCCCTGGTTAGCACATTCACTAAACTGTTACTGGCTCATCTCAGCAATACAGCGACATTTAAACTGCAAGTCTCACAATGCTAAGGCAGCCTTTGTGGGAACTGACATTTACAAATGTTTGTAGCTCTGAGGTTAGACATACCTGTCGTAAACTGTGCTGTGTACATTCATATCTACCTCCTGCAGAATTCACATCCTGTATACTATGGATTGCAAGCACAGGAAACATATACAATCATATTTATAGCTATGACCAAAGCAGCTTCCTGCTGACAAGATTTGAACGTTTTTCTCGGTGGTTAAGAAACACAGACCTTATGAAATTGGTCATCCAAATGCTAGCAGAGCGCCCATGCTGTCTCTCTGTGTTGTCAAAGGTGACCTACCTACACACTGATTTAACCTTTGCCCACCTATGCTACATCAATGTCCACAATGGCAACCGATGACAATCTAGACTTAGATGAAAAAAGACAGTTTATCAGATAATATTATCACGGTCGTGGTTACTATTAAACATGTGGTTTTGCGGGATGCTGATGAGAAGATCTGTTCAGTAAATGCCTCCCTTTCCCGTTTATCATTAAAAAGACATGCATCGCTTGACAATAATTTTTTTTGTTTAAACCAGCAAGCAAACACTTTTAAACAAATATACAGGCCACAGCAAAGCAATAAAGACATTGAAATGTAGGTCATAAACCTTTAGAAACGCACCAACTTTATCAGATGGTATTGTTGGGCACTCCTTTCAGCTAGTGCAGTTTCTTCAGCCTCCATCTCCCAATCTCCGTTTCAGACCAGTCCAATAATGACAAATAATAAAAACAAAAACAGGGCACCATTATGCAGCAGGAGAGAGAAACCCTACGCCGGAGCCTACTCTGCATGATTACAATGATTACGCTCTTCTCCCCCTGTCAGGATGTTGCAAAGTGAAGTAATCTTCCATCTGCACATGTGTGAACGCTCAATACACTTTTCCAGCATTCCTAGGGATAGGACACTGATATTTAGAAAAGTGTCCCTCCTTGAGTGGGTGTGGAAAGCATAAGAAAAAAGAAGCAGGTTAATATGAAGAAGAAGAAAAAATGATATTTACCTGCTTTTTTCAGGCTGCAGAGTGTAGTAGCGTCTCATTCAAAGCTAAAGCTCCTTGTCCTGTGATGGACACCTGAATCGACCATTCACTGAACCATGCAAATTGCACAGCCTGTAACTAAATATATCATGGAAAATTATTATAGTTTTTACTGTATAATTTGGTACTAAATGAACACTAATATTATAAACAAATACATTTATTTATAATGTTAGTGTGTTCCTCTGCATGTTTAGGTTACTGGGACATTTTTAAATAAAAAGAGATTAAAATCAACTGTTCCCACTCTCGACATGCACAGCATCCTAACCAATGATCTAGGGTCTGTCAAATGCTTCTCACAGAGAAGCACTTGGACACTTTCATGTGCTGTATGAGAAGCATTTCACAGCGTTGTGATGGTGGTGATGCATAACATCAAGATGTTCAGTTATGGACAGTTTGATTTACAGCAGCTAAAGGCATCCTTAGTGATAAATGCAAACATTGCCATTTTTCACAAACAAGAGTGTTTGTGAGTTACAGTGTCTCTTGGAGAATAGATTTTTCACTAGTTACTAGTATCAATAGGACATTATTGTTACAATATAAAAGGCATTATAAAAACTCTTGGGTGATTCCTACACTAACAAATGATCTTGCATTTTTCAGCTAAAAGGTGAAATCTCTAATGAGAGAGAGAGGGGTATTTTTGCAAACCGTAGCATACTTATTAACCCTTAATACGGTACTTGGGGCGTGCAGCAGCATTGTAACACGGCTGTGTAATACAAAAGTAAATACAAACCTTACAAAATAATTCAAATTAAAAGAGGGGAAGACACAAAAAAGCTATTCTGTTCACACCATTTCATTCTGCTCCTATTTGAATTTGAATAATGATTATTTTCGATCAAGGAAGCTCTGTAGGATCCACCTTCTTCCTCCCTATGCCTGATTGTGTCCACTCCTTTCTTGTGAGTTTTATTCCTATATCAACATATCAATTTGCTTATTTTATTGATCTGCACTATTAGTTTTTTTAATCTTTTATTTTAGGTTGAAAGAACCAATATCGCTGCAATGAAAGACAAAAATTTTCTATGGTGAAATTACCAGACAAGCAACTGTACACCATTTAACTGCAGTGGTTATGGTGCATGAAGTGTTCCGTTAATAGAACACTTGGCTACATCTTTCTAAAGAAGAATAGGAATTCCCTGCTACTCATGTTTTATTACATTCCACTCAGAACCATTGCATAATTTACCACAACCAACAACTCGGAGAAATATATATTATACCGGTATAAACTCTCATTAGCGAGGAAGGCGGTGAGGGTCGTAAATAATAGCAGTCAAGAGATAGTCAAGAGATAGTGGCGGAAATTTTCACCACAGTACAGATTTCCCTTTCCCCTTTATCAGATATCTGTGACATGAACAGGACAAGGGACAGATAGATTTATTTATTGTAAACTATGAGTATGGTGGAATTTGTCTAATATTAACAGTTTTGTGGCAGTTTTCACACCTCTTTAACCATCTGTAATTTCCACAGCTGTTTGACAGCCTTCTTGCTTAAAATATTCAAATATACACTGTGCACATATTTACACATACCCACATAACTCGAAATTTCCACTAGTATGACATTCAAATAAATTTAAAAAATCCAGCCGCTTAATAAAACCATTGAATATTTTCTGTTTTAAAAGACCACTATAGTGCCAGAAAAAAAAAAACTTGTTTTCCTGGCACTATGTAATACTTAGGTCCCCCCACCCTCGTGGCCCCCCTCCCACTGGGCTGAAGGGATTGAAACCCCTTCAGCCACATACATTTATCCAGTGCCGGGCTCCTTCGGTGCTGGTGACCTCTCCTCCCCCTCCAACGTCAGCTCCTGAGTGGAGCCGAATGCGCATGCGCGGCTAGGAAGACAGCCATTAGAGGCTGGATTAACCCTGCTATGTTTACATCTGAAGGGTTAAAACCTGGGGGACCTGGCACCCAGACCACTTCATTGAGCTGAAGTGGTTTGGGTGACTATAGTGGTCCTTTAATGTAAATGGATTATGTTAAAAACCATATCAAACCATTCTGCTTAGGCTAAGGTTTCCCCTACTATTATTCAATACCATTTGAATGCTTTTACCCTTTTCTTTTTTACATTTAGTTTAAGTTCTATTTTATTTTCTTTTATACATTTCTTTCCTCTCTCTTTTTGTTTTTGTTCTCATTTTGTATAGTTTTCTTGATTTTTAAAAAAAAATTTTATTCTTAGTCACTCGCCTGTCATACACCATTGACCGTTTGCATATTGGAGTGGCTTCAAATGATTGGTGTCCACGTTACTATAGCAATGCTTGCATGTTACAGTCTCCCCTATTTCTTTGGAAAAGGTTGACCTATAAAATAAAAATAAGGAGCTCTATGGGGTAAATTTTTTTTACATTGTTTTATCCCATTAATAGGTCAGTATAAAGGTTATGAGTGGGTGGAGATAGGACAAAAACTTACTTAACACCAGAACCACTTCAGCTTCATGTAGTATTTTTTGTTTTGATGTACATTGTCCCTGAAATCTCAGCACTGTAAACACTGCATTTTCTGTGAAAACTCAGCCAGCCAGTAGAGGTTCTTGATTGGAGCAGTGAGGCAAGTGTTCAAAATGTGCAGTCGGCCCTCACAATGATTCTCTAAAATTAACAATGTGGCTTTTAAAATCCAGCATACATCAGATCAATTTTAGAGAGATACAATGATCAGCCACATGTGATAGTTCTAAAACATGTGAAAAACTCTTATGTACAAAAAAAAAAAAAAAAATTGAGTAGAAACGGTTTTATTTTCTACAATTAAGATTTGTATTTTGTAATATGAAATTCACAGGGTTATTCACTGAAATCCAGTGAAAATTACCGAATTCGGTCGGCCCGAACGATCCTGCAGCAATCGCTCAGATGCATTCAGTGTTCAGATTAAAATCAGTTCTTTGTATCCGAATCCTATTTAAAGTATAGGTTTTGGAAGATTCACAAAACATAGATATTTAAAAAAAAAATGCAGAGCCATATTAATGGCTGCCCAGTCACTAGTTTGAAACATTAAGCTGTTATGCCCCCATCTGCCCTAATAGTAATATGGGGATCTTATTGACCTCAATAGGATATTTTTTTTTTTTCTTTGGCTGCTGGCAACCTTCTTATTGCTGAAGATTAATGGTTTGCTTTTTGGCTGCTACTGCTGCAACCGGGCAAATAGTTCATATTTCAACCATGCGACAGCCTGAATTGCAACATCTAGACATTGGTAAATAGCGTTATAGCTTGCAGTCCAAATGGCCCAATATGCAGCTGGGTGGTTTTGCCCCATTTGGTACAGGATTTTAGTTAAAAACCCCATCAGATCACAAAGACCCATTTACCCTCATGTCTACTCTAGGAATGATTACCAGCCTGCAGTGCACTCCAGATGTTGTGGACTATATCTTCAGTAATGCCCTTCAAGTCATAATGCTGGCAAAGCCTCAGGGGAGATGTAGTCCCCAACATCTGGAGTGCCGAAAGTTGCCCACACCTACTGCAGAGGAACACATCTCTATGCTAGTAGCCACTGATATAATGCCTACAAGTTTGGTGAAAATGTAACCTACCTTATCCCCTGCTTCCAAAAAGTAAAGGAATGGCTGTTTCAATGGGTCATATCATTCCTACAGTCAGGTAAGGGAGAGGAGTGAATGGACTCTACCATTTCACTGTCAGCATTATATTAACTTTCCAGAGAGTGATAGAAATTGCTACACCTGTTTTAAATACATTTATTTTGTGCATATATGATTTGACTGTATGTGTGCATTAAGCAAAAATAATGACATTCCTTTCAGATTCTGTTTCCATTTTCAGTAAGCTGAATTCCTAGTAATACTTTCAGGGCAAATTTACATAACTTTATTTGATATTTTTGTCTGCAAAGCAATCGATACACAAAATTGCTGCATTATTATATGTTTATATGCTAGCTATGCATCCCTTGCTTCAAATACACGTTGTGCAAAAAAAAAAAATCAATCAAAAAAGTGCAGCAGAGAAGGGGTAATGCTTTTTATTTCACTAATAACATTTTCAAATGCAAACAGAAAGAATGGGATATTATAATTGTTTACAAGTCAAAGCCTCCATTGTGGTCTACATTTTGCAGTTTGGTTCAATTTAATACAATTCACTACTTAGTTTAAATAAATATCAATATCAGTAATCAGAAGATCAGGGTTCATATTAAAATGTGTATTTCATTAACTTCTAGTGCCTGTGATAATGTGCAAAAAGACTCTGTATGAAAGGGCCTCCAAAAGGCTGGCTAGACATGATGGGCTACCTGTGCTATACCTGTAAATATATACAATGGACTTGTAACCTTATAATATAAGAAATTCAGAGTAACATTCACAATGTAACAGATACAATCAGAATTATAACATAGAGGCTAAGACATTTAAGCTGAGATGGAAAATGTATTCACATCAGCTACTTTTGCCTGAATTTTGCAATTTGGATCTAATTTGCTAAAATCTGGAGTTTAGTGAATATGCTTCACAGATAATGTGCAATGAAGTATTGCTGTCATTGAGCTAAATAACATATCAACACTGCTGTATCTCTAGTAGTTAATAACCAAAGCTACTTATTTACAAGCATAAACTTAAAGGACCGCTCTAGGCACCCAGACCACTTCAGCTTAATGAAGTGGTCTGGGTGCCAGGTCCAGCTGGGGTTAACCCATTTTTTTTATAAACATAGCAGTTTCAGAGAAACTGCTATGTTTATAAATGGGTTAAGCCTTCCCCCAAAGCCTCCAGCGGCTGTCTCATTGACAGCCGCTAGAGGCACTTGCGTGCTTCTCACTGTGAAAATCACAGTGAGAGCACGCCAGTGTCCATAGGAAAGCATTGAAAGCAGCCGACGGGGAGGAGAGAAGGAGGATCGGATTTGGAGAGCTCCCCGCCCTTCGCTGGAAAAAGGTAAGTTTTTACCCCTTTCCCCCTTCCAGAGCCAGGCGGGAGGGGGTCCCTGAGGGTGGGGGTACCCTCAGGGCACTATAGTGCCAGGAAAACGAGTATGTTTTCCTGGCACTAAAGTGGTCCTTTAATATTACCACGATGCATTCATTCACATTTAGCCATATTTTTGTATACTGTACAGTCCATCATGTACCTACACAATACAGTATATACATTCAGCATACATAATTGTTTATGCTCCATTCTTTACCTTCATAAATAAGCATACTTGTATTACAGCATATTCATTCATTCTCTACCTACAGAGTAAAGTATATCTACACAGTATAACATACCGATAGTATTATAGCACATTCATTCTCCTACACAGTATAACATACCTATAGTATTACAGCACATTCATTCTCCTACACAGTAAATCATACCTATAGTATTACAGCACATTCATTCTCCTACACAGTAAATCATACCTATAGTATTACAGCACATTCATTCTCCTACACAGTAAATCATACCTATAGTATTACAGCACATTCATTCTCCTACACAGTAAATCATACCTATAGTATTACAGAACATTCATTCTCCTACACAGTATACAATAACTATAGTATTACAGCACATTCATTCTTTATCTACACATTATAACATACCTATAACATTACAGCACATTCATTCTCCTACACAGTAAATCATACCTATAGTATTACAGCACATTCATTCTCCTACACAGTAAATCATACCTATAGTATTACAGCACATTCATTCTCCTACACAGTAAATCATACCTATAGTATTACAGAACATTCATTCTCCTATACAGTATACAATAACTATAGTATTACAGCACATTCATTCTTTATCTACACATTATAACATACCTATAACATTACAGCACATTCATTCTTTACCTACATATTAAAACATACCTATAACATTACAACATATTTATTCCTTATCTACACAGTATAACATACCAATAGTATTATAGCACATTCATTCTCCTACACAGTATAACATACCTATAGTATTACAGCACATTCATTCTCCTACACAGTAAAACATACCTATAGTATTACAGCACATTCTTCTCATACACAGTATAAAATACCTATAGTTTTACAGCATTCATTCATTCTTTACCTACATATTAAAACATACCTATAACATTACAGCACATTCATTCTTTAGCTACATATTAAAACATACCTATAACATTATAGCACATTCATTCTTTACCTACACAGTAAATCATACCTATAGTATTACAGCACATTCATTCTCTTACACAGTAAAACATACCTATAGTATTACAGCACATTAATTCTCCTACACAGTAAATCATACCTATAGTATTACAGCACATTCATTCTCCTACACAGTAAATCATACCTATAGTATTACAGCACATTCATTCTCCTACACAGTATAACATACCTGTAGTATTACAGCACATTCATTCTCCTACACAGTAAAACATACCTATAGTATTACAGCACATTCATTCTTTATCTACACATTATAACATACCTATAACATTACAGCACATTCATTCTTTACCTACATATTAAAACATACCTATAACATTACAGCACATTCATTCTTTAGCTACATATTAAAACATACCTATAACATTACAGCACATTCATTCTTTAGCTACATATTAAAACATACCTATAACATTATAGCACATTCATTCTTTAGCTTCATATTACAACATACCTATAACATTATAGCACATTCATTCTTTACCTACATATTAAAACATACCTATAACATTACAACATATTTATTCCTTATCTACACATTATAACATACCTATAACATTACAGCACATTCATTCTTTACCTACACATTATAACATACCTATAACATTACAGCACATTCATTCTTTACCTACATATTAAAACATACCTATAACATTACAGCACATTCATTCTTTATCTACACATTAAAACATACCTATAACATTATAGCACATTCATTCTTTACCTACATATTAAAACAAACCTATAACATTACAACATATTTATTCCTTATCTACACATTATAACATACCTATAACATTACAGCATATTTATTCCTTATCTACACATTATAACATACCTATAACATTACAGCATATTTATTCCTTATCTACACATTATAACATACCTATAACATTACAGCACATTCATTCTTTATCTACACATTATAACATACCTATAACATTACAGCACATTCATTCTTTATCTACACATTATAACATACCTATAACATTATAGCACATTCATTCTCCTACACAGTAAATCATACCTATAGTATTACAGCACATTTATTCTCCTACACAGTATAACATACCTATAGTATTACAGCACATTCATTCTCCTACACAGTAAATCATATCTATAGTATTACAGCACATTCATTCTTTATCTACACATTATAACATACCTATAACATTACAGCACATTCATTCTTTATCTACACATTATAACATACCTATAACATTATAGCACATTCATTCTCCTACACAGTAAATCATACCTATAGTATTACAGCACATTTATTCTCCTACACAGTATAACATACCTATAGTATTACAGCACATTCATTCTCCTACACAGTAAATCATATCTATAGTATTACAGCACATTCATTCTTTATCTACACATTATAACATACCTATAACATTACAGCACATTCATTCTTTACCTACATATTAAAACATACCTATAACATTACAGCACATTCATTCTTTACCTACATATTAAAACATACCTATAACATTACAGCACATTCATTCTTTAGCTACATATTAAAACATACCTATAACATTACAACATATTTATTCCTTATCTACACAGTATAACATACCTATAACATTACAGCACATTCATTCTTTACCTACACAGTAAACAATACCTATATAGTATTACACAAAATCCATCAATTCTTCACCTACAGATTAATAGCCATTTTCCATGTAATAAATCATCCCTTTAGTATTACAGCATATTATTGAATCCTGTACCTACATATGTACCAATAAGTTATTGAAATCGCTACTTACCCAGGACAGTATATGTGCAGAGTCTATCAGCCCTGCACAGACATAGTACAATATATAATATAGCTGTTTGTAGACTGTGTCCTTGTACAATACAGTAAACTTAATACATCAGTTAAAGAACAAACCTGATTATTGCTTTTCCAAGGTGATCCTCAGACCGGTCTCCGGGTTCGCACCGTGGGTCGGATGGCAGGGAACATCTGGTATGAAAGAGCTAGCAGCAATCAGTGAGATGGGCTTTTTCTGTACCCCCAGGCTCTGTATAGGAGCTCTGTCTGTCTGCTGGTACTAATAGGATCCCTGGAGCTGGGCTCATCTGACTCTCACAGGGCTAGAGCTTTTTTATTTTTACTTTCACCCAGATAGGGAGGAGAAGGGACTAAGGGACTGATTTAAAGTACGTCACTGGCTGAGGAAGGAGGGTTCCTAGCCAGCACGGGCACCTACAGCTCAGGGAGCTCCAACTCTACACTGCAACTCACAGCAACCTCAGGCTGCAACTTAATGCCACAGGCTTGGCTCTGTCTGTTGGCAGGAGCCCCCGGTGCTGAGCTCTGCTGTTTTCTTACATGACATACAGGAAGAGGAAGTTGACTTTACTGTGTCAGATCCCAAGTTATTTAAAGCTCTTACATATACTGTATGACTTTAGCAAGAAGGGCTGCTGTGTACTACCTCCCATGCCACCCCCCCCCCCAGCTAGCTGACAAGTGGCAGTGCTCTCCAGTGCCATGTAATGCAAATGCCAGATAACTGCTTTGTGCACACACGCCAAGTGCCCTAGTTTTAGTGTGAGTATTGTGAAACACAAGTTTATTCCAACATAAAATGACTTTTTTTTCCTACCATGCTTCACCCTTTCACATGAACAAATAGCTGATGCACCTAGTGGCTAAGCATATATTCACTCCTTTGAAAGGAAATAATGTTTAGTGAAACCACGTGGAGCTCCTCACCAGAGTATCTAAGCATTGAGTGTTTAAATAGAATTGGAAAATGGCCCTGCAGGCACAGTAAGTCTTTTAGGCATGGTTTCTGAAATATGAATGGCCAGAGGGGATCTCAAAATAATAAGGAATCCCTCACATACCTGCAGAGCCAATGTAAAAACACAAACTATTTCTGATGATCAATTTCACTATTATGGAATTCTAAAAATGTGTTCATCTCACTAAACACTTTGCATGATGTGTATAATCCCATCTCTTTCTGCAGAATGAATATGCTTGTAGTACCTGATGTTGGTTTAGATTTTCTGTTCTTTATGCAAAATATTTTACTTGTCCAATAATTCCTTTACATGTATAGTTTTATCAATCTCGGTCACTGGTGCTTGTTTTGCAGACAAGATTTACAAGAATGCAAGCAGTTTATATAGACCACCAATAACAATGTTTTCATTGGCTATATATCTATTAAACAGTTATATATATATATATAATAATAAGCGTGTGTGTGTATATATATATATATATATATATATATATATATATATAAAAAACCAAAAATAAGAGATGCACTCTAAGGACTTCTATAATCAATAGAAAAGTATTTACTAAAAAGAAGGTTTACATAATAAGATCGACGTTTCGACCCCTCAGGGTCTTCCTCAAGATCAATAATTTACTATTTATTGACTTCACAGATTTAGGCATATTGATCTTGAGGAAGACCCTGAGGGGTCGAAATGTCGATCTTATTATGTAAACCTTCTTTTTAATAAATACTTTTCTATTGATTATAGAAGTCCTTAGAGTGCATCTCTTATTTTTGTTTATATATTCCATAACGCGGGATTGCACCAAGGCATTAAGAAATTCATTTAGAATTGGAGATAGGGTGAGTGCCAAGCTATCTGTTTATATATATATATATATTGGCAATGGTTAAATACATTCATATAGCAGAGTAACAGAAATACAAAACACAGTGCAAGTAAATATTTAAAACTTTAATCCTACGATCAAAGCACCAAGCAAATTACCAGAACAAATAAAAAATATGTTAAAATAACTTGGTTTGAGACACATTAAAATAGACAACTGGTATTTACACGATTTGCCAGTACAAAAAAACATGATAAACCACTTGTAAAGTACTATGGTCTCTATTAGTTATTTTATGAGGTGTTGGATACGATTTATTCTCTCAAAGTACAGCAACAATGCAATTCAATGACATGTAATAAGATTAAATACAGTTGTTACACATCTAATTATTATTAGCTCCTTGTATTGGTCTGATGCCTTTACCAATTCAACGTTACATAATTTACAACTCAAAGATACTTAAGCCATTCAAGGCATAAACACTGGCCACATGTACCCAAGCCAATATATGATGCAGATTCTGTATTATGTCCTGTATTATGACAACCGTTACAATGTTTTAAGCTTTGTTGGCCTTCGCCATATAAGTACCATAGGATGAGATGCTTACCACTTGACGAAAGAATTTATATCTATTCATTTCCACCTTAAATCAAGCTATTTTACGTGCCCCTTCTCTCTAATAGGTCTTGCGTTCCTAGTTAAGCAGACAAGTTGTAAAAGTTGTTGGAGATAGCTTTAGGCGTTGGTAACTTTATAATCGTACTCTATTGTGTTTTCTGCAATGGACTGGGAGGCCTCTAGATTTCTACAATTCAGGAAATAACGGCACACAATAGGCCTTTTCTCATAAATTGTAACAGCCAAGAATGGTCTAAAATAAGTGCACATTATAGAACATGTCTAGTTTATAAGTAAAAATACTTACATACTCACTGGTTGATTGCTCTAGTTATAAAAGATTTATTCCATCTAATAAAATCTTTCAGACAAATAATATTTTCTGCAGAATGATACAATATTATTTTGTACAGAATATTTATGGAATATATTTACTTTAGCACAACAGAACAATTCCAGCCCTGCAAGGTGCATTTGTTTTACGATACAGAATTGACACCATTGAATACAACATCAAGAATCACCTATAACCCGATTTAAAAAAAAATAAAAAATTTATATGAAAGATTTAGCAAATGATAAGACAATTCATTTCAGACAGGGCACTACTGGGACACACATTACAAACGATGAGGAGAAATAGAAATTCTGTTTAATTTCTCATTTTGTCTGTATATTCTCCCAATCCTGACTGCCAGGTGGTAAGGAGAGAGCTTATTAACAGTGATTGACAGAGAGCTAAGATGAAGGTACCCTGTGGTGTGAATTTCTACATTTAATTATTTTATTTTATTTTTTTTACACCCTTTAAATACATATTTGTTAAACATGTGGATAAGTAAACATGATACTAAGAATCCTGGGACGTGTTAGTTCTTCGATAAGTTTTCTTCTACATACCATGGCTGACCTTACCACTGCAGGTGTTTGGGAACTGCATTACCCATGATACTAAACTAGTAATTTTAGAATAGACCATTTTATACCAGATTCATAAGTGTGTGTAGTTGGGCTAATTAAATATATTTCACATTCCTGGGTGTTGCTTTATGGTCACTCTACATGAACTATATTTTCTGATGCCATGAGAAAAGGTGAAAAAATATATATATACATAATTGTTTCACAAAACACATTTTTCACTGTATTTGAAATTATTACAATTTAACATACACAAGTCTGCCATCTACATTTGCATTTACACTGGACAAACATTTAAAAGATACATAAAACAAAATATATCCGACTGACAGATTCCCTTCAAATAAACTAACAAGACCACTGTTTTAAAATTAAAGATTTTTTTTGGGGGGGGGGGAGGAGGGATGAGAGGCGTTATATGCAGTATACTGTGAAATTGCCTAATTCATTTGCAACTTTTTTAATTACACTGAACCAAAATAATATTAGCAGCTAGTGTATTACTAAAACATGGAAAAAACAAAACAAAACCATGTAACAAAAAAAAAAAAATGACAATAATAAAACACTGGCACATTAGTATTATTTTACTGGCTCAATGATGGTCACTGTAATGAATTTAAGTACCAGAGGGATACGTATTTCAGAACTAGGCAGTCACGGTCTAATTCAGCAGTTTCTTAACCTTTTTTTCCCTTTTAAATAGAGACACACGTTTGGCTCAAGGCATAGCTTTAGGACTTCAAATTTAAAAATAAGTTCAGAAACCCATTATTTAACTGTTGTACTAGAATAGCAGAGCTGTGTGTATTGCGTACAACTAGTAGGGCCCTGACCAATATGTTTTATCTCTTCCAATCAGTGAGGGAGACTGAAATAATATCAGGACCCAACTTTGGGCCACAACATTAACAATATTTGGCCTAATCAATTAATTAACTTGATATAAATGAGATCTGCACTATTTTATTAAGGAATGAGTCCACATTTATGAACAGCTCACTTATCATTAACACTCTAGTGGGCGGTTCATTTACAAGATCAAAATGTATCATAATCACTCATAATAAGAACTCGATATGCTAAAAATAATACCGGTCATAGAAACAATCTGCAGTCTAAAGCATGTGCAATGTACACATGTTTAGTATTAATAGACAGTATGATCATAAGCAACTGCAAGAATTATTAATTATGATTAAACTAAATTTCAAAGCACTGGTCAGATCCACCCCTAATTCCCCCCTCCCCACCCCCAACTAAACAAAGAAAAAAAAGCTGCAAGAGAGAAACTGGGGATAAAATAGAAAAACAGTTTTTTTTTCATCGCTATGTTTTAGATTAACAGTGGTAAGTGCACTTTTCAGAATATGCTCAATAAATAATTTATTAAAAATTAATCCCTTGAAAAAGAAGGGCACACAAATCCATTGGTTTTTACACATACACGTATGGAAAATGAGGAACTATTTCACACTGTACAGTCATATTCTGACAGCTCTGTGGACAAAGACTGTTTTAAACATTATACAATTAGACAAACACATAATATAATTCATCACTTGATCTCATAAAACAATTTACAAATGCATGTAGTGAGAATTCTCCTAGTAAACATGATCAATAAAATAAAAGGTATATATAAAAATATACAAAACATAAAAGAAAAACCACGCCACTAAAACCTATATTATATAACAATCACAATCTCATTTATGTATGCCACATTAAAAACACATTTCATGGAACTGTATGGGTTGAACAATTGCATAATTGTTTTTTTTTTCCTTCTTCTTTTCAAACGCGTATAAAAAAATAAATAAAAATACTTTGAATGACATAATGCCTATTTAACAGTTCTGTAAGTAGATCAGATACGGTGGTAATTGAGGTCGTTGTTTGAACCACAATAGGGGTGTAAGTACTTTTTTCCACATAAATTCAGGATATGTGAATTTAACTTCTCTAAATACTGACCATATTTACATGGGACTTATTTACTGTAAGTATGGTTAACGAGTTGTTCAATTATGATTTAACATATGCAAAAAAAAAACCAAAAAAAAAAACCCTGGTGTATAGGTTTAGCTTATGGCTATTCTGTGTATGTATATACATACATACATACAAAAACAAATGCTAGAAGTGAAAATGCAGGGATACACTGGTGCTTTTTCATTAGCAGTTTAGTATATGCAAGATGGAAACAAACAAAACAAAAAGTAAAAAACAAAACAAAAAAAAAAACCACACAAAATAAGCTCACACACACAAAAAAGACAAAACCACTTACAAAAGAAAACAGGTGACCATCATTAAAATTGGCTTTGGAGCATTCTAAATTGTCCCTAAAACAGGGAAATCAAGACATCTGCCTCATCTCACAATGGTATTTTAAGACTAAGTCTATTTCCATTCTGAATTTTAATGCATTGTTGACTGTGGCTCAGTCTGGATCCCAATAAGAGATGGTGGCTGCTGACCAGTTGTTGTGGTCACTATTGGTCTTGGGTTTAGACGAGGAGGCATGGAACTAGCTGGGCGGATTAGCGGTGGAGGAGGTTGGTTGAGGGTGGGCCTTGGCTGAGCGAATCGTGCCTGCTGCTGGAGAGGTGGAGGCTGCCGGTGGAGTGCTGGGGCAGCTGGCAGTGTTGGTCGAAGTAGTGGTGGTGGCTGATTCAAGGCAGTTACCGAGGCTGCTGGGGCTGGAACAGAGGTCTGTGCTGGAGGTGACAGGCCTGTGGGAGGAGTTGTTTGATTGGTTTGAGTCTAAAAGAATGAAAAAGGCAAACTATACTTTAGACTAGTATATGCAAATAACCATTACATAACCTCCTTACAATGAATACAATAACATGATTCCAAAAAGCACATAATTATATTCAAAGTTCTTATGTTTAGCAAATAATTGTCACAAGGGTGTTTTATCATATACAGAGCTTCATTTGGAAGCATTTACATTATATTCAAGCCTAAACAGTTGTCAGGTTATATGTTACACTGCTCAATACTACCTTTTTATCTACCAAATTACCAGTCATTCATCAATAACTTCTCAACTCAAGACTGTGGATACACAAACACACCTCATCTTCTTCATCAGTGCTTTTTCCTGATGGCACATGAGAAGTGTTTTTAGTGTCATCCCCTAAAGTAGAAGCATCACCATTAGAGGCCTGGGTTCCTTGTTCTGCTTCCCACTCCTGCAATACCTCCTCTAAGTTAAACCGACGCCTGTAGTTTACAAAGAAGTTCTTCACTTGCCCAACAGTCTTGTTGCCAATTACATCTGCAATAGCTTGAAAATCTTTACCATATTTGCGGACACCTGGAAGGCAAAGTACAATATTCACCAAAGACAATATGCTCATGAGGTGCTGTGTATGATAACAAATGGGCATGGTTTAGGCTTCCCTCTCCTATACACTTAATTCTAGACCAGTGGTCCTGAACGACTACCAACTGGTATCCACTGAATTGGAGAATTCCTACATCTTGAACTGTTTGTTTCCTAGAGAACTGGTTTGAGAATCACTGGTCCAGTCTAGTTATGGCTAACCTTTGACCAAAGGACTGCGTAATCACCATGCAAACCACAGTTCACAAAAAGACACAATAGCTGTGGCAAAAAAGATCAACCAGCACTGGCCTATATGTTGTGTTTTACGATACAACAACAGTGATGGTTGTCAGATAGTATTAAGTTAAAACCTCACAAATAGTAGGGAAAATCTGATATGTTCATCTACTTGTGTGAATAGGGCTAGACTGCACTTATATGGATAACTATTGTTCTTGGTCTCTATTCAGTGTGTTTCTAGAACTGTAAAGAATGATCTAACAAGTGGTTCAACAAGTGGCCACTTACATTAATCACTATGAACGAGATCAATCAATGGTGTACTTGCTCATTGATGGCTAACCTTTGACAGTCAATTTGCTTAGTATCATGGAAATGTAGCCAGAAACTGTAGTTCTGATTTGGTAACTAGGCCGGCAGGATGTGGTACCTGATCATGGTAATGACTGAATTCTACAGTGTGATCTGAAAGATAGGTCTGTGGACTGTGCTGCTATTTCCTGGACTTTCACTGATCCAAAAGAAGGTCCAACAGAAAATCTTTCTGGGATCGGCTTCCACTGAACTATGGTTTATAAGTACATATATATGTGGGAACTAATTTGAGTATAGGTACATGTATATGGGAACTAATTTGAGTATAGGTATATATTGTACAGTGTAAATTTAACTGTGTGGTATATACACCCACCCCAGTTATGGTGGAGCGCTATAGGCTAAAAACCCTTACACTAAATGTTAAAAGATAGTACAGCCTATAAAATATAAACATGTATATAGTGTAATATATGTAAGCACTCATTATCACTTTTATATCGACAATATTACACTATGTACGTGTTTATATTTTATAGGCTGTACTACCGTTTAACATTTGGGGTATAGTGCTCCACCATAACTGGGCTGGGTGTATATACCACACAGGTGAATTTACATTGGTTTAATAATATTGTGTGACAGCGGGAGATATTCACACACAGGTGGTTCTGATTCAATTTTCTGCACTGTTTAAGCGCCTGTATTACAAAATTGCACTTGTATCATATTGTACAGTGCTACTGAATTTGTTGGCACTTTCTAAATAACAGAAATAATAAAATATATGGGAACTAATTTGACTATGGAGTATTTGATACATTTTAGCAAAGATGATTGTATTCAGTTTAGTCAGGGACCAACTTGGTGAAAATACAAAACAAAACACCACAATAACTGAAATTTTAGATGTAAGTTTAGCAGTCGTATTACAAATTCAGCTGCTTCTGGGAAACCATATACTAAATTAGGGTATGGAATGATTTGCTTGATTCTCCAGTCTTTAACCTTAATAGTTAATTAAAAATTCTCATAGCACGATAATGAAACCTACTGGCAGTATGGGAAAAGCCATACCGTATGGTTAATTTTTAACAGTTAAATTACATGGAGACCGGAGCGGTTTTCTCATTAATTTGCATACCATAGGATATCCTGTACCTCTATGCCAAGGTCAACATTATTATATATCAGGAGCGGGTTACTATTGCACTCCGGATATTGTGGACTACATCTCCCATACGTAGTCCCCGACACACAATATACATAGGTGGCTTGGAATCCAAATTTACAAACATCTAATATTTTTACTGAGTGTTAGATCAAGTGTTAACACATGCTACATTAATAATATATGAAATAAATAAAAAATAAAAATACTCACATTTGAAGTTCCACTCTTTGATGTTAAACGCTTTCAGCTTCTGCAGTGAGCTTTGTCCATACTAGTAAGTGACTCATCCAAGTATGATACTCCTCTAACGTTTTATGGGATTCTTAAAGGGACACTGTAGGCACCCAGACCACTTCAGCTCATTGAAGTGGTCTGGGTGCAATGTCCCATCACCCTTAACCCAGAGCATGTCATTATTGCAGTTTTTATAAACTGCAATAATTACCTGCTAGGGTTAACTCATCATTTAGTGGCTGTCTACCAGACAGCCACTAGAGGGACTTAGGGTCTCGAAGGCGACTTTTCATTGCCTAAATGACGCTGGATGTCGTCCTCGTGCTATGCATGAGAACATTCGTCACTGGAATCCCCATATGAAAGCATTGAATAATGCTGCACCACAGTGAGGAGGGGAGGAGGAGGGGGTTGTTTTCCTGGCACTATAGTTCCCCTTTAACATAACCCATAAATACCGACACAGTAGGTACTTCTTAGACACAGCAGGGGTTTCAAGAAGTATAGTTCAGTTGGCTTTAACTTGTAGAAAATTAAGAGATAAACTATAACTCCTATAAGCCTTTGTAATGTATCTTAACCCCTTAAGGACTGAGCCAAATTTACACGTTGTGATCAAAACAAAACCTGGCATTTGCGCTACATGTCTGTCCAACCGTAATTCACCTCTTTCATATTAAGTGCACCCACACTTATTATATATCATTTTATTCATGGGAAACAGGGCTTTCATTTAACATATTAACAAATATTTAGCTAGGAAACAATTTAATATGAATAAAATAATTATTTCTTTATTGTTTTTAGTTCTGCGTGGCATTTTAACTGTGAATGTCATAATACTGTTTGCTTTTACTGCAATAAAATACACATATTAGTAGGGATCGACCGATATTGATTTTTTTTAGAGCCGATACCGATAATCTGTGAACTTTCAGGCCGATAGCCGATAACTTGCCAATATTCTTTACATTTACCATTTAAAAAAATTACAACTATTTCTAAAGGTAAATGCACAAAATACACATGCCACATGTAGTGGATGCAGTGTGTATATAATGAATGCAGGGTTTGTTTGTGTAGTGTGTATAGTGAATGCAGTGAGTGTTTAGTGTGTATATATAGTGAATGCAGAGTGTGTGTCTTTGTGTAGTGTGCGTAAAGTGAATATAGTGTGAGTAAAGTGAATGCAGTGTGCGTAGTGTGTATATAATGAATGGAGAGTGTGCGTATATATAATGCAGAGTGTGTGTGTTTGTGTAGTGTGTGTATATAATGCAGTGTGTGTTTGTATAGTGTGTGTATATAATGAATGCAGAGAGAGAGAGTGTGTGTGGTGTGTGTATATAATGCAGAGTGTGTGTTTGTGTAGTGTGTGTATATAATGCAGAGTGTGTGTGTGTTTGTGTAGTGTGTGTATATAATGCAGAGTGTGTGTGTTTGTTTAGTGTGTGTATATAATGCAGAGTGTGTGTGTGTTTGTGTAGTGTGTATATAATGAATGCAGTGTGTGTGTTTGTATAGTGTGTGTATATAATGAATGCAGAGTGTGTGTGTGTTTGTATAGTGTGTGTATATAATGAATGCAGTGTGTGTGTGTTTGTATAGTGCGTGTATATAAAGAATGCAGAGAGAGAGAGTGTGTGTGGTGTGTGTATATAATGCAGAGTGTGTGTTTGTGTAGTGTGTGTATATAATGCAGAGTGTGTGTGTGTTTGTGTAGTGTGTGTATATAATGCAGAGTGTGTGTGTTTGTTTAGTGTGTGTATATAATGCAGAGTGTGTGTGTGTTTGTGTAGTGTGTATATAATGAATGCAGTGTGTGTGTTTGTATAGTGTGTGTATATAATGAATGCAGAGTGTGTGTGTGTTTGTATAGTGTGTGTATATAATGAATGCAGTGTGTGTGTGTTTGTATAGTGTGTGTATATAATGCAGTGTGTGTGTTTGTATGTAATGCATAGTGTGTGTGTTTGTATAGTGTGTGTATATAATGAATGCAGAGTGCGTGTGTTTGTATAGTGTGTGTGTGTATATAATGAATGCAGAGTGTGTGTGTTTGTATAGTGTGTGTATATAATGCAGAGTGTGTGTGTGTGTATGTGTATATATATATATATATATATATATATATATAAATAAAATGGAGAGTGTGTGTGTATTTCGGAAGGGATGTGATTTGTGTAAAATGGGGGGGGGGGGCATTTTTTATTTTAATTTTTAATATTTGTTTTATTTATTTTTTTGTCCCCCCCCTCCCTGCTTGTTACCTGGCCAGGGAGGGGGGCAATGTCAATCCTTGGTGGTCCAGTGGCATGTACTGTTGAGCTGGAGGAGCTGCTGGGAGGTAAGTAACAGCTTGCTGCGAGCCCCCCCAGGACCGCTGGGCTTGTAATGGGCCCAGCGGTCCTGGTATGTATTATCGTCAATATCGGTATCTCTATTGGCTGATAACAATATTGCCGAAAATACAAAATATCGGCCAATAATATCGGTAAAACCGATAATTGGACGATTCCTACATATTAGTATTCAGCGATGTCTCACGTGTAAAACAGTATCCCCTATGTACAGGTTTTATGGTGTTTTGGGAAGTTACAAGGTCAAATATAGCATGGTACATTTTTTTCACATTGAAATTCACCAGATTGGTTACATTGCCTTTGAGACTGTATGGTAGCCCAAGAATGAGCATTACCCCCATGATGTCATACCATATTGCAAATGGGTATGACCAGTCTTTTTTAGTAGCCACTTGGTCACAAACACTAACCAAAGTTAACATTAATATTTGTGTGTGTGAAAAATGAAAAAAACTAATTTGAACGCTAACTTTGGCTAGTGGGATGGCAGGTGAGTCCCCCCACCGCGATCGACGGCGACCAGTATTAAGGACGGCGGGGACGTTCTATGCCGTCTGCCACCCACTGTCCTTAAGTGGTTAAGTGTCTGCATGTTAGTGCCAAAAAGGTAAATAATGCAGGTTGAGAGGGAAGAAAGGCTAAATTTACTGAGCAAAGCAAACCTAAGAACATTAAGCTCTCTGACTCAGGATAACTAACTGTAACTTAACTTACTCATAACTTTAGTGCTAAACAGAACTTTGCAATGATGGATCCTAAACATACAAATATTATATTAGTCTTCATAATGGCCCTGTACTGCACATTTGCTGTGTGTGTCATGCCTAGAGTTTGACACAATAAATCACATTGTGGAAGTCTAGGAGTGCTACAAATTACTGGAATATTACACGAGCGTGGGTATGCACTGTGGCTGGTACTTAAAGGGACACTCCACTGCCCAAATATTTTATTATATGTTTTGATGTGACAACACTGAAGAAATGACACTCTGCTACAATGTAAAGTAGTAAGTGTACAACCGGTACAAGTGTAAATTTGCTGTCCCCTCAAAATAACTCCACACACAGCCATTAATGTCTAAACCATTGGCAACAAAAGTGAGTACATCCCTAAGTGGAAATGTCCAAATTGGGCCCAATTAGCCATTTTCCCTCCCCGGTGTCATGGGAGTTGATAGTCCTGGGGAGCAGGTGTGTTAAATTTGGTGTTATCGCTCTCACACGCTCATACTGGTCACTGGAAGTTCAACATGGCACCACATGGTAAAGAACTCTCTAAGGATCTCAAAAAAAGAATTGTTGCTCTACATAAAGATGGCCTAGGCTATAAGAAGATTGCCAAGATTGCTAAGCTGCAGCACGGTGGGCAAGACCATACAGTGGTTTCACAGGACAGGTTCCACTCAGAACAAGGCTCTGCCTTGAAGTCCAGTGAGACGAAACCAGTCGGCATTGAGGAGCCATCCAATTTTCTCCAGTTTGGCGTTATCTATGCTTGGATTCTGTTTCTACTCCCCCACTTGAAGGGATCCGCACCCAGCACAGGAGGGTGGATTGAGGACTGAATCCATTTCCAGAGACATACCTGCGATATGCTACAGGGCTTTTAGTTCCCTGTGATATGACTTTTAGTGGTACCACGTTTGTGAGTGCAATTATCTTTCCTATTTTATTGGTGTAGTTGGTTTTATACTATGTTGTGTTCTTTTTGTGATTTTTTTTTATTTAAGATTTTGTAGTGCAAAAGGTGGGTACACACAGGCCTGAAGTACCCCGACAGCAATCCTCTGGCTTCTCAGTTCGCTTAACAATCAGGGTAGTAGATGTAACTTGCACTATTTTATTTTTATAAGAAACATACTTGAAGATGCATAGACTTAACATGAGTAGTTCAGGTAAGACAGAAATAACACAGAGGAACTGCTTAGTTAATAATGAATTGCTGAGTTACATGCTAGATATAATTACATTTTAATTGCCTATGTAGTTACTGCTTAAATGCCCAGTAAGTATGTCTCATTTGGCATAATGTAATTAGTCACTATGTGGTTGCATACTAGATAAACGAGGTTATAGTGTAAGCCACTAGGCTCTAGCCCACTGTTTTGCGGAAACGTGACTGGTTCAAATGTATGGCTAAGCAAATCACATATAAGGCATTTAACACAAACTTTAGTAAATTAGATGGCCAACAGGCCTAAAAGAAAGCTTAATTGGTGGCGTGTCAGGTTATGTGTGGTAGTTGCCAGCTAGGTCAGTCGTTGGTGGGTCGTATGTTCGTCCTCTTTGTAGCAGTCCGTCTTTTTGGCAAGACTTTAATCCGATTCCTTGGCTGGGCAATGATTGCATACTGCGGTTGAGTTGCTCCAGTCTTTTACTTGGACATAGTTCTAGAGCAGGGGTAGGCAACCATTTAATAGCACTGTGCCAAAACAAGATTTTGAAGTCTCTTGGGGTGCTGGTGTAATATCAAATTTCCCTACCCGTGAAAATCCCCTACCCTCTTTACTTCCGTTGAGGGGAATCAGCTGGATCCTGTGTTGCACATGCGTGCTAGCTCTTCTGCTACTCCTCCACAGCAAGGTCCTGGAAGGTACGTAAAACTAGTTTTACACTTTCATTATAGTTAGTGCATTCACTAAGCTTAGGACATGGGACATTTAGGGTTAATGCTAGGGTTAGGATTAGGGAGTTGTTTATATTTAGTGATATTTCACCGTAGGGGAATATCTATAAATTGCAATTTTTCACACTTTATTTTAACCCTTACCCCAAGGGTTAGGGTAAGAATAGAGTGTGAGAGAGGTTAAAATCACTTACCTAACCCTAATTTGAACCCTCACTGGCTAAGCTTAGTGAATGCACTAACTATAATGAAAGTTCCAGGACTTCCAGGACCTTGCTGTGGAGCACAGGATCCAGCTGATTCCCCTCACCGGAAGCGACGAGGGTAGGGGATTTTGATAGAATACTGGTCCTTTTTAAAAGTGTGTATTTTGCCGCATTGTGAATGTATTATTTATCGGTGCAGCAGTTGCTTTGTAGCATTGTATTTATACATATGTGGCTTGTTATAGTGTATATATGTTCATGAGTAGTATTGTGTATGATAACTTTGAAAATGGGCTGTGTATGGAGGCTGCTTGTGGAATTTTGTATGCGAATGATATGTCACGTTGCATGTTTGTTGGTGTGTGTACTTGTGGGGCGGCTTCCGGCCTTGCATGTGAGAGGCTGCTTGCGTGTATGTGGATTGTCAATGGTGTTGTGTGTTTTGGGGGATATTTGTGTGTGGGCTGTTTGTATTATATGTATGAGGGGAATTATGTGAATGAGGGGTGGTTTCTTCTCCAGCTCTGTGTATATCTAGCAGTTTGGGTGGCTTCAGTGTAGTCCACTAGGGACCGGGCTGGCCAAGCACAGGTCAAGGGCAGGAGCTGTGATAGCTTTTGCAGGCTGCTCTATTCCAGTGTGGATTCCTGTTCACAAGTAGGGGGAGGAAGTGATTTCAGATCACTTCCTCTAAGTGCTGGAATGCGTAAATTGAGGTTTTTCTCACCAACTGCAACCACTTCTTGGTTTGCAATGGCAGATATCTGAAGTTCCTGTTTGTCTCTGGCAGCCTTGAGTGCCGTGCAAAGGCACCTCAAGTGACATGCATGGCACACGTGCCATAGGTTGCTGACCCCTGTTCTAGAGAGTAGGTTAACTTATTTAGGCAATATGAGGCGAGGGTCCTGCTTTTGTCTTCTTGTTGGCCCAGTACCTTGCGGTCTTGTACTCGATGACCGCTGGAGGCCTTTGGCCTTTCAAGCTGATGTCTCCCGCTGGGGTTTCGTTGCATTTGGGGGGTTGTATGGCGCTGAGTAGGCGGGGAGTCCCCTCTGCCCCGGGACCGTGATAGAGCAGATGCCCTCCTGCCACTGGCCTGGGGTCCGATGCGGTCCAGGGTCTTCTCTTTCGGGATAATGCGGGGAGCGTTGCTGACCTGTGTGGGCCGTCGTTTTGCGGCTCTCCAACGGTGTGGCTGGCACTCGCAGGGCGTACCCCCTGTTGCTCTTGTATTGTGGGGATTTGTAGCGTGGGACTGCTCTGTGCCCTGAGGTGGGCTCCCTGGTTCCCTCACACCATTGACTCTGTCCCGTTCGGGTAATGTGGGATGAGGTGTCACTGATTGTAAGTGCTGTGTCCATTTGGCCCAGAATCGGTCAAAGAGTTTGGCTATGCGGTCGTTACCAGGAACATTGGTACCTGGGGTGTGATAGTGTCGTTGCAAGTCTTGTGAGGCTGGGTCATTTTGGGGGTCTCTGTTGCTTGGGGGGACGGCGGGTACCTTCGTTTGGTGTAGAGTGCGGGGTTTCCCTTCTGGCGGGGACCGGGATATCCCCCACCGGTCCATAGGGGGGAGGGGGAAGTGTTTCTTGTTTGCCTGTGGGTTGCAGAGTCGGGCGGGAAAGGCGGCCGTCCTTCCCCCTCACCTCCTCCGTTAGGCCCAAGACGGCCATTGCGTTTCCCGGGCAGGTCGGGTGTGGATTTTGGTGTCGCCAGGTGCACAGATGCTTCCTCTTTCCAGTGGGCTTTGTTTCGGGTAGGTCGCGTCGTTGTGTCTCAAGTTAGGGGCATTTTTGAGCCCTTGTTGCTGGAGCTCATGTTTTGTGCGACTTGCCTGCTCGCTTGTTCGGCTCCGCCCCCTCTTTTTGTGCTTTTAAGTGATTAAAGATATGGAAGAATTGATTTGACATGTATATGTGAATCCTGGAACACCAGATGGGAAGTTAATAGGTATAAACATTGTAATACATCTATAGTCTCATTGCACTTTGACTGCACCCCACCATTTCTTTCTTTGTTTTATATATACCATGGTTTTCAGAGTTTACTGGGGTGATGGTGTTCAGGATGAACACTATTGTTGTTTATATCTAATTATAGTCTCAGTTGTATTGTCCTAAGAAAAGTCCAGAGAATTGGGGCAATTCAATGTATGTTTACAGACACTAGACCTGGTGATATCCAAATCTTTGTTTGAAATGTACAGGGAGGGGGAGAATTAGCTTTTCCTTTGGAATGTCCAAGGTTATTGTGATACCCAATAAGGTTCCCATTGGTGAAACATTTTCTAAATACATTCTTGTGTGTGCTGTTGTATTGTAAGAAAAGCTGGGAGCTCAGAAATAAAGGGTGTTCCTACAAGTTGCCAGAAAAATGTGTGTTGTCTTGTGTCTTTGCTGAGGTCTTGGAATCCATGTAAGTTTATGTACATTCAGGAACCACATTCATTGAAGTGCACTGCCAGTGGAACAAGCTAGTTAGTACACTCTGTAACAGCCGGAGCAAAGAACCGCAGTGTATCCTGAATTGCAGCTGATTTGGCTACCAAGCAAAACGTAACCTTGGGGCTTTGTTGAACAATTAGAGGTGCAGGTTAGACAAAGAAACCCACAAACGGTAGCAGACCTGAACTAGTCCACCATTAGTGCACAGAGACACCAGGCCGTATCGTCAAAGTCACCAAGGAGTTTAACCCTTGATGGACGACCATATATCATTACCGCCCAATGACCATTTCATCCCACTCCTCTTAAAATAAAAATGTTGGAAAAATTTACGTAATAAAAAGTAATGATGGATGCAAGATGTGACTTTTGAACTCTACTTCAAGAGTACAAGGGTCACAGAAGGATTATCATATGGTTCCGTAGGTAAACAGCCAAAGGAATTTTTTTTTCATATCCTCATATAATAATAAAAACAACAAAGTATTTCAACAGGAAAGGTACATTCAGATTACTCTGGCTTCCAAGTACGTCCGGAGGGTATGTTGCTTTTGCCCAACAGGGGATATATCTTGATTATGAGCAGATACAATGTACAATATGCATTTGTTTTTTGGAAATGTAAATGATTAATTTGCATGATGGAAATCATCCAATACCTTTATGAATGTGTGGATATATTTATTATTGAATGGAGAAAAAAAGTAAAGTAAAAAAAAAATGCACGCACAAAATGCTGGTTTGTTATAGCCTTCTGCAATAGTCTGAACCGGTTTGTCTGAACCAAAGTCCTTTTAATGAGCACCCGAATGAAATTTGTCCAGATTTTACTTAGTCTTAGAGACCTCGAGACGTATCAGTTTATTTGAGTGTGGATTAAATGGATTTTGTAGTTTCTGACAAACTGGTAAAAACAAATTTTTGCACAAATGTAATTTGTATGAGTTTGCGAAAAGTATAGACATTGTCTAGTTTCCAGCAAATGCAACAGGAACAATTTATGTGTCTTAGAAACGTGTTCATGAAATACGCAAGACTAAGGGGTTTATTTACTAAACAGTGAACATTGGTGTAATGAAAAACACATTTTACACCACAATGGCACAGCTACATCTTTTTAAACATTTTGCAATAATTCACAGTGTAATGAATATGTCCCATACGTATGGTAAAAAAAATATAGTACATACATACAGAAATAAATTGATGCGTGAAATGGCATGTCAGTCAGGCTCATATTCACATCTAAATACATATGGTCGTTGACATCCAGCTTAAACATCCAGATGAATAAAGCGGTATGGCAGGACTTGTTCTGAACTGGGGCAGCCCCAGCAGAGCCAAGCACAGACATGCTTAATGAAAATGATGACTTTCATTGGATTTTTTTTTTTTTTTTTAAATATCAATTCTTTTATTCGTTTTTACACAAATATTCACAAAGACAATATAAAACACAAACAGTACAAAAATACAATTCATCAAATGTAGTTATCTTCAATATTTATACAAATCTACAATTAACAACTGTCTGCAGACACTGAGGGGAAGGATAAGGAGTTTATACTCTCGCTCAGGAGCTGAAGTCTTATAGTTAACCTGTTATATTTCATTTACCCATTGCTGCCATAGTTCATATCTTTTCTGATTGTTCAAGAAGGGAATACTTATATCTCTTTCCATTTTAATCTGGATCGTTATTTGTTCTTTAATTAAATACCATACTAATCTTTGATTATTTTTCCAGTTTCTTGCGATTACTATTTTATAGGCAACAAAACAATGCGTTATGAAACACTCTTTCTTAAATGGGACTTTTGGCCAGTGCATATGCAATATTCTCTTTTATATAATTAAATAGTGATTCTACTGCCTTTTGAATATCTGGACAACTCCACCAGATGTGGAGGTATGACCCTTCCTCCCTGCCACATCTCCAACATTGCGCAGACGTATCGGAGTACATCTGAAATAGCCTTTTCGGGACCAGATACCATCAGTTCGCGACTTTGTAATGAGTTTCTACCAAGTTCAAACATTGCACTTGTTTACATGTCTTATTAATGGCGTTACACCACTCTTGTAGGTCTAATTGGCAGTTCAGCTCTCTTTCCCATTTATTCTTTTGAGGGCAAGTTGCGGAATAGTTTATGTTTCTAATGATTTCAATTGTTTTGGCCAGAATTTTACATGGTGTTTCTTTTAAAAAAAAAAAAGGGATTTTAATAATATTGGAGCTCTCTCTATTGGAATCACCATATATCGTTGTAAAAAATACTTTATCTGCAAATAAGAAAAATTCTGAGTGTTAGGTAGCTGAAATCTTTGTTTAATGGATTCAAACGCTATTATTTTATTTCTTTTGCAATGTATTTTTAAAGCAATAGAAGATCATAACAATTCTGAATATTTAAAAGGGGGCAGTCTTACATCATAACATATTGAGTGGTTATGGCCACTGGCACTATCGGATATTGCTAACGTGGAAGCCTACTCTACGTCAAAATGCTTGAAAACTGTTAGATACAGAACTGTGCGAGAAGCCTCACAGAGGGCTGTAGTGATTATGGTGCTTTACTGTTTTACTTTGCTCCTGTATACCAATGGCTGTTTTTTTTTTTAATTTTATTTATTCCAAGCCTTTCGGCCTTTAATCACTTAATGGTAAATTGTGATTAATTGATACAGTACTTGCATTACTAAGTCACTAATGTTTGCGTAGAAGACCCACAAAGTGCCTGTACATATAACACAATCTTTCAAAGTGCAGAATGATTGCTGCCCCGAAAAGTAATGAAAAAGCACCTATATATGGGGCACAGTACAGAGAATCTAGCACTGTTCAGACATAAACCCCTGGCATCTAAAGAGTTCCATACAGTCCTTAGGGATCTATGTACCTACCACAAACTATGTACTGTATATGTATTAGTCTAACAAAGCTAACTATCTCTACGTAAAGGTCATCCTGCTTAACCAAGGTGGCATTGCATCCTGCAACCATTCGCTAGCAAGCATCAGTTCTGTTCTGTACTTACTGCTAAATGTACTCAACAACTTAAAAGTGCAAATGAATGCACTACTAATGCATTTTAATAATGGTTTAGCTGAAGCTTAATGGAACATGTCTATGCCAACAGCTTGAAAATATGATAGACAGTCCCCGCTATTACTTTAAGTCTCACAATTTACAATCTGTACTAACTGGCAGGCAGCTGTGGATGGTCCCTCTAGGTTAACCGAGTCTGTCATCTCATTTTTCATTTTTTATTTAAACTCTTTGCCTGAAGACTGCACAACATGGCATTTAGTTATAATAGCAGAACATTATTTTAAAGGTAGATTGATCAATTGTAAAACAGCCTGAAAAAAACAACTCAACTTATTTCCCTTGCTTTCCATGTGACCCACTTGCAGTTGAAATAACACTTTAGCGTTAGAACACAAACATGCATTCTTAACGCTATAGTTCTAAATTAAATGTTCAGGTTTTGTTATTTTGCATGGTTACTCCAACCAAAAAGAGTGTTTTAATGAAACACTGTTTATGGATAGAGAAAACCTTGCTGGCATGGTCGATTAAATGAGTTAAAATATAAAGTAGGCAGACAATGTAATAGAGCAGCAGGAAATGCTAGCAGAATGCTTGGTTGTATAGGGAGAGGTATTAGCAGTAGAAAGAGGGAAGTGCTCATGCCATTGTACAGAACACTGGTGAGACCTCACTTGGAGTACTGTACACAGTGCTGGATACTGTATCTCCAGAAGGATATTGATACTTTGGAAATAATTCAGAGAAGGACTGCTAAACTGGTTTATGGATTACAGGATAAAACTTACAAGGAAAAGGTTAAAGGATCTCACTAGGTATAGTGTGGAGAAAAGACGAGACGGGGGGGATATGATAGAAGCATTTAAATACATAAAGGGAATCAACACAGTAAAGGAGGAAACCATATTTAAAAGAAGAAAAACTACCGCAACAAGAGGACATAGTTTTAAATTAGAGGGGCAAAGGTTTAAAAGTAATATCAGAAAGTATTACTTTACTGAGAGGGTAGTGGATGCATGGAATAGCCTTCCAGCTGAAGTGGTAGAGGTTAACACTGTGGAGGAGTTTAAGCATGTGTGGGATAGGCATAAGGCTATCCTACTTATAAGATAAGGCCAATGACTAATTAAAGTATTTAGTAAAATTGGGCAGACTAGATGGGCTGAACGGTTCTTATCTGCCATCACATTCTATGTTTCTATGTAAGTAATAAACTATAAACTTACTGGTGTTCTCACATTGAGGCCAATTCCTTCTTGTAGCCTGATCCTCATCTGGTGAGGTCAGTTCCATTCACTGGCTGAGAGGAGGACTTGTGCAGCGCAGGGGGGGAAGGCGTGCCGCCATTGGTTGTCTATCGCAAGCATGCTATGCGTGCTGACAAACGCCGAATATAGACAGAATTAATATTTCTGAAGTGAAATATTTTGCACATACAACTCCAAGCACCATGGCCACTTCAAATCACTGACATGGGCATGGTACTTAGAGTAACCCTTTAAGTTGTTAATTTTCCACTTTGCGGCTACATATAAAGGGTTCTAACTTGGTTACTGCCCACCCTCGGAATGGAGTAAAAAAGTACTTTTACTGGAGTTTACATCATCGTTGCACCTCTCTTTCTGTGGCCAGCCTTGTCTCCATAGCTGAGATCAATTTTGATGATCTCAGCCAAGCCAATGCTTCCCCACAGGAAAGCATTGGGAGGCTAGTGAGCATCTGCAGCAAAACGCTGCACTGCGCCAATTAGCATCTCCTTGTAGAAATGCACTAAACCAATGCACCTCTATGCGGAGTGTTCAGTATCTGAGTGACGGCCACTAGGCAGCAATGTAAACACCACCTTTTCTCTAGGTACTAGAATATCACTTTAATTGTGTTCTCGCAGCAAATTAAATGCAGTCCATGTTCTCAGATTAGGTAAAAAAAAATAATAAAAAAAAAAATAAACCAGACACATCCGAGGAAAGATTTAAATTAAATAGATGAAAATTAAAATAGAGGAAAACAAATTTTCAACTAATATAACCAGCTTGAATTTAAAGTAAAACGTGTAAGAATTTAAAACAAAACAAAAATACATTATGCAATAAACATATAAAAAGCTAAACAATACTTGGAAATACAACTCCAAGCACCATGGCCACTTAAAATCAAGAATTCCATTGCTAAATACCACAACTCAACTTTTCCTCTTGCAACTGTGTTTGCTAGTAGGTTTGTCCATATGAGTTTAGTAAACGTCAACTTTGGACAAAGAGTCTCACTAAAAATTTTTGTGGAAGCTATTAAACTTAAATCGCAAAACAGTGAGATATAGCAAGTTTGAATGAAAAATATAGACCAAAATAAACAGGTTGGATACATTCTTCACCGTAGTTAATATTTCCTACCCAAATGCTTTCATAATTTATTATCAAATAAAAAAAGAAAAAGAAAAATCACATTTCACTGCCTAATGAATAAACGTAAAGGGACACTATAGTCACCAGAACAACTACAGTGTGCAGCACTGCCATTCAGTGTCTTCACGCTAGGCATTGAATCAATGCATCTCTATAAGGATTGGCTAGGGTAGCATTTAGCTCTGCCCTCTGACCCGCTTCCTTGTCTGAGATCACCAGAATTGACAATCTCAGCCAATCCAATGTTTTCCTATAAACATTGCGATTGGCTGAGATCATAAATTCTGATTATGCCAGCCAAGGAGGCGGATCGGGGGGAGGCCAGTGCTGGCAGGCCCATCTGGCGCTGGAAAAAAGGTGATTAAAAAAACAAAACAAAAACAAAAATAAACAACGTATTTAAGAGGGTCTGGGAGGGGGTCAGGGAGGCAGACACCCTACATGTGTTTTTAACACTATAGCGTCAGGGAAACATATATGTATTCTTAACTCTATAGTGTTCCTTAAAGATTTTTTTGTCACTTTTTTGCATGCAATACAACTGATGAAATTATTTGGTTGATCCAAGCACCGTGACCACTTCAGTGTTTTGAAGTGGTGATGATGCTTGGATTATAAACGTGCACTGTTTCAGTTTGAATCATGACTATGATTCATGACCGGCGGACCAGGATAGGACGCATAATGTTGGGAAATATTTTGCCCCATTACTGGAGAAGGGCAACTAGTGGTTATAAAGCTTTGAGAAACCCTTTTTATTGTAAATTTTTGCAATAGACCTAAGTGCAGAAAGAAGCATTAACATTAAAAAAAAAAAAGAAGAAGAAAAATTATTAATTTTTTTTATTTCAAAAATTCAATTCAAATCTACAAAGCCCAAGAAGCGCTTTAATTATTATTTTTTGAAAGTGTTAATTACTTGCGTTTCCATACATAAATAATGGAACAAATTGATCACTGAAAATAAAAAAAATCAAAAAAAAAAAAATCACATTTTGGGCAAATATATATCTAGATTATAGATATGTAAACAGTCAAAAACAAATGAGTAGAACTTTTTTTTAATGCTTTGAAATATAAATGAATATATTTAAATAAAATTTACATGGAATAGAAATATTCAGCCACAAATTGTTTGTACAGCATGACAGTATAGTAAGTGGTTTAACTGGAATTGTGGTATGAAAGATTTTGGAGGTAATTGTAATTCACATACATCTGTACCCCAGCGCCAAATTATTTAAAAAGCTTTTTAGCGAGAACAGCAATCTGTTAATAGAAAAATAATAAACCCCAGATTTCCAAAATTGCAGGAAACAATGTAATATCCAATTCTAAATGAATTGTGTGCATGAAATCTGCTCTCATTTATCCTTATGACATAATGCATTCAACCTACCCTGCACTGCTAACAGCTGTTCTTCTGTGGTCCAACGTGCATTTATTTTCTGATTAGTCTGTAATAAAAGGAGAAAAATACTGAAACCAAACAAATTATAGGAAATTTAACAGGAAATGGACTGTGAGTAGTTTAAATGATATATGAAAACAAACACAGACACATACATATATAGACATATACACACACACACACAATCTGAAGTCAGATTACCTCAGCTGGTTTAAATTCGTCTATCCCTCCATCCAACTTCTGTTTCAGTCCGCTGTTAATCTGCTTCGCATTCTGTACCTGAATACACAAACAATGTATAATGAGTCATTGTACACAGTGTATACGTTACATAGGAAAATAAACAGAACAAATGTTCAAAGAACCTACATAAAACAGTGAAAATTGTGCTCTAAAGACATTTTCATTTTTTTTTTTTTTTAAAGATTTTTCCCTTTGGTGTTAAAATATTGAGAATGCAAAGAGAATTTCAAACTGTAGGACTTTAGCAGCCAACCAGAAATCAAATATCTTAAAGGCATCCTACAGTACCAGGAAAATAAAGCCATTTTCCTGGCACTATAGTTTTAATAGCTCACCCCTCCCCCCCTTTGGGGCTGAAGGGGTTAAAACCCCTTTCGGCCACATACCTCAGTCCAGCACCGATGTCCCTCGGCGCTGGGTCAGGCTCCACCCCAACCCTCCCCCGCTGAAGTCAGCAGGTGGGGGATACCTGGCAATGGCCGCACTGGCATTAGTCCTCACCATAGGAAAGCATTATTTAATGCTTTCCTATGGGCAAAATCTGATGCTGGAGGTCCTCAAGCAAAGGTCCGTTTGGATTCTGGAAGCATCTACAGTGGCTGTCGGGTAGATAGTAACTGTGGGCAGACTTAGAGCTGCAATGTAAACATTGAGATTTCTCTGGAACTGCAATGTAAAACATTGCAGCACTAAGTGCAATAGGCACAGCACCCAGAAAACTTCACTTAGCTGATTCAGGATGGCTACAGCAGCTTACAATTTTAACCTTCACTTTGAATTCCCAACATTTACACACTAGTGAATGACCCTGAATATTATTTACAAATAATTTACCTATGAACAAAAATATTATCTATTTCAGTACCGCAAATAAGTGACAGTTCCGCTCTTCACCACAGTATATGCTGTTGATTTCTTGAAAGTTTTAGAAATAGAAAAATAGGACACCCATTTTTAACTCTTAGTTAGTAAATATCATGTATCTATTCCGCTTCAATTCACATTTAAACATAATTTTAAATAATGCACAATTACTAACATTTTAATATACTCGGTATCCATATGAACTAGCCATGTATACTGATACAATCACTTCCATTTTCTAGGTTCTCCCCCACCATAATGTAACATTACAGAGCTAAACATAAGCACAATACCAAGAAGAAGCCTTAGTTAGTCTGCCATGTGAAAATGCTATGGGTGCACTTTTATACACAGCTGACAACTGATAATATCCAAATGCATTAAACCCCATTCTTGTAATATTAAAGGAGAAATGCTTTACCTGGCGTTTCAATGATATCAATTCCATATCCAATTGTCTGAGAATAGTATTGGCAGCGTTCGGACTACAAGAGACAGCTACGACGTCTTCCTTGGATATGTACATGCCTTTTGGTGGGCGGCATTTTGAACGCTGTGAATGATGCCGATGCTGTAAACTTTGATACTCTCTTCTACCCAGAGCCACTTTGACAGGCTGAATACATGGCTCTGTACTTATCTAAAAAGACAACATGGCGGACATTTGAATGAATTTCATTTAATATTCATTTGTTTTCATTAACACAGACAATTCACATCTGCCTCCACTGAACTGGTTGTTATTCAATTTTTATTGAGTATGCATTAAGCTTATTAACATTATTTTAGATGTGGTACAATAGGCATATACATGCATCTCTGATGGTTGTAAAGCCAATGTTATTGCATAATTTGTTCAAACAAAAGAGGAAGGATAATAGTAAGGGCAGGTCTCTCAACTTTTGCAAAACTCTCAACTTGTACCATTAAGTGCTCTGGACTGCACCTCCCATTATGTGCAGTTGTAGTCCTACCGAATCGCTCAGATGATGCTGGCTGAAACTCCCAAAAGGCTTAGTTACTTACTAAGCATTATGTGATCAGGATTATTCATTAAATTATGCATTTTTGCAAATTAAATCTGAATGGCAAAATTAAACCAAAAATTGCTTATCTGGAAAAATTCTCCAACTCAGCCATAGTCACTCCGTTTTGACATTCAGATTTCATTTGTGAAAGTTAGAAGACAAGTGACTAACCTCAAAGGAATTATCCTGCACATCAACTGCCCAAGATAAGGCACAATAGGCTTATGTAGAGAGAGTTCTGTATGTTGCATGGGCAACGTCAATCAAATGATCATTTCTTTTAGCAAAAGTGTTATTATAAAGGCTTGCTATCTCTCCGCACACAACAGGGCAGGGGAAATACAGGGGCACACCTACTTAAAATTCATACTGATCTGATCACCAGTGAACCAACATGCAGTTAGAGTACATATCCTCCCCCTCCATAACGGATGAACATCCACAAATATGCATTTGCAATTACATTTATTCAATTGTATAATTACAGAATATTTTCATTGTTGTATTTCTATGTATTTATTGTTGTTTTGCACTGTTATAGTTAACCCTAATTTACAAGGCTTTGTGGAAACCACTTTACACCAGCAATGGCTAGCGATGGCACCCCAAATGTTGGTGCGCTAATTTTATCATGATGTTCATGGGAAGCATAACCCACAAACACATGGGGTGCCAGTGTTAGCACCACTGATAATATCAAAGCAGTCATGGCAGGTTACAATGGGGTTAAGACAGATTAGATTTTTTTTGTTTGTAAGGTGATTGAAAATAAAGGAAAGCTGCAATCTAGTCTTTGCCCTACCTCTTTTTTGGTTTCCTTCTTAGGCTCATAATCACTATCATTCCCATCCTTTGGATTTGCTTCTTCCACCTCATCATCACTGAGTATAAACACAACAGATTTTTCAGTTTGCTCCTTTTCTTCTATGACAGGTTTCTAGCAGACCACATTACAACTTGATAAAGTGACGGTTAATCAAACACAGCTTGTTTTCAACTTAGGAAAAAACAATGGAAAAAAATAGAACAATTAAAAATAAAATAGTTATTACTAGTGTGCTTCTATTCCTTGATTTCACGGTTTACAATTTCTATGCAAAACCGTAGGAATATCACTGTAACACTACTTGGAGTGGACATTTTTAGCATTGACCAAAAGCCCCCACCCTCCACTTTTTGGTGGCTTTCTGGGGATAGAACCACATATCAAATATCATATAATGAAAGACTGACATGGGGTGCTGAGATATACAAATAAACCGCTCAAACATCTCAATATTATGGCCAACCAGCATTGGGAGTCAATCTCTTCCTTCATCAGTCGGTAAAGATTTTAAAAAAAATTATATTTGGACAAGAGTACAATGGGAATATCTGGCCCACTAGATTTTAGGAGCAAAGCTTCAATAGGTGTGTGTTTCCTCTCTAGTAATTTGCAATAGTAAGGAATTCTTTGCAAAATACCAATGAAAAAAACGCACTTCATTGTACAATAACTAGTCACATTACCCTTAAATCGAAAAAAGGCTTCACTATTTTAACAATTTAATGTTCTTAAAAAAATGGAAAATATTGGTAAATAAGCATAGAAAGTGTGTTACTTTCCTGCAGACCCAGCATTCACATATGCTTACAATAATATGTAATACGATTAGAAAAGGCAAAGATCACAAACTTTGCAAAGGTGAATAAGAAGTAACCTATTTTGTTCTTGTTAAGAGATTTTGCTAATTTCAACAAATGTATGTGTTTTGGTTGAATGTTTAATAAGTGCATCCAGTGAGTTATGATACCGTAAATGTGTCACAATATTCTCATAATAATTCCAGGAAAATGTTATTCTGATCATTTTCAAAATATTTTAAGGAAATCAGCCTCATACCATGCAGGAGGAGGAAAGCTAGAACAGAATGACAAAAGGAAATTTAGAGGAAAGAGTTGCAGACACAAAAAAAGCCAGCAGTGGTGGTAGTGTATACTTCAGTAAAAAAATTTAAAAAAAGTATAAAAATCTTGAGATTAAAAACCCTACAGTCCAGACCAGGAGATAGTACCGGGTATAAAGGCTAGTCTAGAGAGGGACCAACTGACTTCTGCAGAAAACGTATGTTTCAACGTTTTAATGCTGTGACAAACTATGCAAATAAAATATTTAAGAGCTATCTTGACATTCTTAACTCTTAAAATTAAATGAACAGTACTCTAAAGTTTTAAATGTACAAGTAGTTTAAATAAAAAAAATCTAGGACTCTACTGATCCCCAAAGCCTTACTTGACTCTAAATTCTTGCCATCATAGTACAGAAACTGTGTATAAATGAAATTTTTTATCAATCAATAAAGTTTCCACAAGTCACTGTATAAAAGCAGTCCATTCCTGAATTGCGTCCTATAGGGAGCGACCGATATTGATTTTTTTGAGCAGATACTGATAATCTGTGAACTTTCAGGCCGATAGCCGATAATTTACCAATATACTGTACATTTACCATTTAAAAAAACAAAACTATTTCTACATAAATCTACTGTTAACTGAATTTTTTTTTTTTTTTTTTAAAGGTACATACACAAAATATACATGCCAGTCAGAATTTGTTATGTTTTCAAGAATGTGTGTGTGTGTAATGGATGCAGTGAGAGTATTTGATTAGTGAATGTAGTGTGTGTGTGTGTGTGTAGTGGATGCAGTGTGCTTGTATAGTGTGTGTGTGTGTATATATATATATATACACACATATATATATATATATACACACATATATATATATATATATATATATATACACACATATATATATATATATATAAAATGAATGCAGAGTGTGTTTGTGAAGTGAGTGTATAGTGAATGCAGTGAGTGTGTATATAATGAATGCAGAGTGTGTGTGTTTGTGTAGTGTGTGTATAGTGAATGAAGTGTGTGTAGTGTGTGTGTATATAATGAATGCAGTGTGTGTGTGTGTGTCTGTGTATATAATGCAGTGTGTGTAAAATAGGGGATGGCATTTTTATTTTTGTAACTTAAAAAAAAAAAAAAATATATTAAATTTTTTTAAATTAGTTTTTGTCCCCCCCTCCCTGCTTCTTACCAGGCCAGGGAGGGGGATATAGCATTCCTTGGTGGTACGGTGGCATGGACTGTGCAGAGGGGGCCCAGCAAGCTCTTACTTACCTTCCCAGTAGCTCCCCTGTAACTCATGGCAACTCTCTGATGGCCGTGGGACTCGCAAGATTTAAACAGGGGAGCTGAAGGGAGCTGCTGGGAAGGCAAGTAAGAGCTTGCTGGGCCCCCAGGACTGCCGGGCTTCTCATGGGCCCCGCGGTCCTGATCGGCAATATCGGTATCTTTATTGGCCGATACCGATATTGTCGATAATACCGAATATCGGCTGTACTGCTAATCGGTCGATCCCTAGCGTTCTCCATACTGGTAACATTTTTTTTTTACTTTGTTAATGACTTCTGCCACATGGTCATTCACTGATTGCAAGATAGTTAATAATCTGTGCTCTTTATATAGCCAAACTGACCAGGTTAGGGATGCGGAAGATAAAGAGATAACATGGGCTTTTGCAGACATTCCCTGGTAAACATCATGACTACATATTGCCTATATATAATACAATACACCCACTTAACAATATTGTTTGAAAGTAAAGTATGTACAAGATGTATTCAACTAAATTACACATCTGGAACTTTTTTTTACATTTTTTTTTATTGTGAATGCTGTTAGACCGCAAAAGTTTCATATACTTCATTTCTCATGCCTTGATTTCCATTTTAACCTTCTGAGTTCTATGAGTTGTTGGTTTTGCAGTTACATTTTTTTTATACGATCAGCCATCTTCTTCTATCCACATATCAGCTGAGGATTTTTCCCCCCAATGTAGTAACTAGGTTAAGATTATATGATTCCTGTGTTTATTGTTTAGAAATAAGAAAGTTAGCAATTCCAAACAATTACAGATATTACAAATGATGTGAACTAGTTGAACAATACCTTTCTCCAGGGTTATTTTTGCTTGTTAATTTGCGAGCCTGTCTGTCCATTAAACTTGTACGAGATCGAGTTTTTTTCCAGGAGTAGTAATATTTTACAAGACTTGCTATGGTTTTATCTGGAAGCTAAAGGGAGAGAGAATTTAGTTATATTATGCACATTTCAATGACAGATGCAACTCTAGCACTGATTGGAGCTGAAATAGCAAATGATGCTACTTTACAGTTCAACATAAATCAAAGCAGGTGAAAGGTGGAGAGACTCCTGCCATGTGTGCAGTGTTCATTTTGTTGACTAACAATTTTAGTCGACTAAACTTTTTGAGATTTAGTCTACTAAAACAAACAATTTAGATGACTAAAACTAAAACGGCTTTTTAATCAAAAGACTATAACTAAAACTAAACTGAAATTTGCTGCCAAAATGAACACTGCACAGAGGGGCTGTGGAAGGGGCAAAAGAGACAGACCAGGGCTAGGGAGAGAGACACCTAGAAGGTCTGTGAAAGGGGCAAAAGAGACAGACCAGGGCTAGGGAGAGAGACACATAGAGGGGCTGGAAGGACACAAAGAGGCTGGTGTAACTAATTTAACTAAACCCATTAGATTTTAGTTGTTTCGACTAAAATCTACTGGAGATTTAGTAGACTAAAACTAGACTGTGTAAATTGCATCACTGGGTAACAACCATTGTAACAAAATATAAAGGAAGTGTTATCTGAAACTTTGTGGAATGTAACAGATTAAATCAAAACAAGTTAAAATGGAATGCTTGAAAGTAAATAGCACAGCTTAAAGTTATTATCCTTACATGGACACTATAAGCACCAAAACAATGTCTGCTTTTAATGCAGTGGTTCTGCTGTATAGATCATGCTATATGCAAACTAACTGTTCAATTTGCTGCCATTTAGTAATTAAACCCCTTTGTTTATTCAGCCCTAGTCATGCCTCCCCTGCATGTGACCTGCAAAGTTTCCCTACACATTTCCTGTAAAGAGAGATCTAATCTTTAGGGTTCCTTTATTTCACATTCTGTTTAGTTTAGAATTTCTTATCTACTGCTGTTAAAAGCCTGCTAGATTCTGCAGGAGCCTGTGTGATTGAAATTCAATTAACAGAGATGCTCAGCTTAAACTATTTCATTAAGCTACCGTTGTTGTGGTGCTTAGACTATCCCTTCAATTTAACTATGTCCTAAATGTGACAGTTCCTCCTTAATATTATCACACCAACAATAAACAGCATGTTCGTCAATAGCAGTACCATTTACCATTTGTTGAATTCTATGGAAACTTTTTCCATGGAAACTAAAAGCCTGCTCAAATAGAACTTTATCTTCCACAGTCCACTCGTCAGGGAACGGAGTAAAATTGGGCAAGTCAGCGAGGGACTTTTCAATGTTGTGTTTGTGCCAGAATAACATGCCAAGAGCCTTAAAAGAAGGGAAAAACACACACAATATATATTATATGAGTTAAATAGAAAATGAGTGGAAATCTCTTCCATAAGAATTACTACTCTTATTTTAGAATTCGACTTAAGAATGTCCATGTCTAGAATGGTGTCTTCAAGAACAAATCTATTATTGGTCAAAAGAATACTACAGCAAAAAACGACTAACATACACAATATGTGATGCCAATGACAACACTATGTGTGCTAAGTTATTAATTTTAATGAGATAATTGTGATGTAATAAGTTGTAACACTATTCCCACCCATATTAGTCCTGTATCCCCCCCCCTTACTTGTTTTTTTTTTTGTCCTTGATTTGGACATACATTGTCATCTATTCAAACATGTCTCTCCTATCTCATTCTTGGTTTAGTGGATACTGATGCACAGCTATTGCATATACAATATTGCCATTCACTATACACACATACAGACCAAGAATGTGATGGCACACACTCTCCAATGTATGTATAGTTAGGCAACTTTTAATCCATAGTACCAAGGAAGAAGGCACTCCAGCAGGCACCAGTTTGCAAATTAATATGTGTTTATTCCATATTATCAACAAACAAGCATGTCAACGATTCAACAACTGAATCTTGTGAAAGAACTGTGCGAGATATGAAACATTGGCATGTCTGTTTATTGCTATTCTGGAATAAACACTTCCTTACTCATTCACAAATAAGACCTGTAAGTGCCCACATGTTCTTAGTATCATAGATTAAATACATCAAATACAACATTTAAAGTCATATGCTACTAAAAAGCTACTGCAAGCCAATAGCTAGTGGAAATTTATATTTATCTACACACACTTACATACACAAGGCCTATCATGTTCAGTCCTGCATTACTAGCCAGCTGTTTAAAGTTACTCTTACTCACTACAGCAAGCCTGGAGGGTTCATGGTACACTCAGCCTACACTCAATATCCCATAATAACAAAGCAAAAATAAAAGTAAAAAAAGTATTTAGATCTGTGGCAAATTCAATTGATTGTACATATTTTGGAAAGACATACACTTGTCTATATTAGGTCTGACAGCTGTAAATGCATATCAGAGCAAAAAACAAGCCAAAAAGGTTAAGGAACTGCCTCCAGAGCTTGGAGAAATAATTGTGTCAAGGCACAGTGGCCCTTATCATTCTTTCAATTAAGAAATTTGGAACAACCAGAACTTTTCCTAGAGCTGGCCTCCTAGCCAAATCGAGCATTTGGGAGAGAATGGACTTTGTAAGAGAGGTGACCAAGTGAATAAATAAGTGACCCGGTGGTCAGTCTGAGTGAGCTCCAGATATCATGTGTGGAGATGGGAGAAACCTGCGGAGGGACAACCATCCCTGCAACACTTCACCAATCCTCCCTAAAAGACACTTGAAAGCCCACTTGGAATTTGCAAAAAAGCACCTAAAGGACTCAGACTAAGAGAAACAAGATTCTCTGGACTGATGAAATAAAGATTGAACTGTTTGGCCTCAATTCCAAGTGTAATATTTAGAGAAAACTGGGAGACAGGTCAGGGTTGAGGGAAAGCTGAACACAGCAAGAAACAGGGAAGAAAGGGAATATCGGTGAAGCGCTATTGTGAAACTGATATAGAACAATTCAAAAATGGAAGGATATACCTTTAAGAATAATAATCACTTAATGAGATATCCGTATGTACCTTTAAATACAGAAAAATTACACAACGTAGTGCAAACTGTATAGAAATAGGTGGTAAAAATTAAAATCAAATGCCAAATGTGAACTCACACTTTTATGAGCTAAAAAACTTAGCTCAAATTCTTGTGCCTTAGGGTCCGTTTAGGCGACCCTCTCCCTCCTTTGTCTCCAAATTTTCACAAGGTAGTTTCCTGTGTGTACTGAATTGAAGTTGTATGTATCAGTAATTATTTGAGCACCTTAACTTTGTATCCTGGCAATGCATTAACATCACTGATGTAGATAATCAGAAATGTCTTCGCTATATCAGAGTATATACCTTTGATAAAATACCAATTGAGTGATTTGAAATCACTCAATTGACAGACCTAAAAGTGGTTGTTCAGCAGCCGAGCAAGGAACAAGACGTGCTGGTGTGGAGCTCCTGCAAACCGCACAGCTATCCAGATTTAAAAACCACAGAGAAAAACCTGAAAGACGGCAATATTAATACCTGAGTACTCCTGGAGAAAAATGGGACGCAGAAACTGTAAGCTGACCCACTCGGGAAGCACTAAGCAAGCAGACATCCGCGCGTCCTTTGAAAGGTCGCAGCAGCATGCACTGCCCAAGATGACGCCCATGGGACCACGAGACTCGAGCTCCGTGGAAGACTCTGCAGAGGATGACAGCAGTACACCAGCCTTGAACGGGGTGTACAGGAGCGACGACTCCGACTCCGCACCCTCCACAAAGGGGGATATTAAAAAACTATTGGTGGACTTAAGGGAGGTCTGGAAGGCCGATCTAGCTGGCGTGCACACCGAGGTTGACAGCCTCGCTGCTAGAATCAAAGTGGCTGAAACTAGAGAGGGGAGGAGAGAGCAGGAGCTGTTGGAGACACGGGCCCAAATGAAAACAATGTCCGAGCAAATACAAGGACTCACCCGAGCGGTCACATCAGTAGAGGCCAGACACAGCAGGAAAAATGTGCGGATCCGCGGGGCGCCCGAGAGCGCGGGCCCAGATGCTATCCTCGAATTTGCCAACGCAGCGGTGGCAGCACTAGGAGTGAGACCCGCAGCGGAAGCATCACCCATCATGACCGCTTTTCCTAAAGGCGCTACACCTATTGCAGCAGACTGCCTCCACACAGGCCACAGTTACAACCTCCACATCTGAGGGGTCCAGCCTAGAGAGACGACCAGTCAACGAAGCGGGAACAGCGCACAAAAAAATCACGATTGCTGAACCCGACCAAGACCTAACCAGCCAGGGAACAACCGGCGGCTCCTGGGCCTCCTCAGCCCTGACCCCGCTCCACCGGGACTGTGCCAGCCTCTTTCCCAGTGTAGAAACGTTCACTCCTATGGCTACTGCGGTAACCCTTAGTTATAAGTACTAAGCCTATGGCACGCCAGATGCAATTTTTCTATACATACAAGAGACAAACGGCAAATGTACATGTTTTTGATAATTCTCTGTGTCTTAACTTTTATTATATTTTATATATTCTATATTTTTTGTTAATTTGATTTTTTATTTCTCGTTATTATCACCTCACTGTCTGCTATTAAGATTTACTTAGGGGCGGCAACACCGCAATAAGGTGAAATTTAACTAAGGCACCCCAGCCTGCTAAGTACTAAAATGCACAGCCTTAGACCATATACGATGCACAGGCTTTACTGATATTGACATTAATGACTGTAATTTACTAACTCAAATTGTGCTCATTAAGTGTGGCTCTCGCGGGAGAGGCACTGGCACATAACAGGAAGTTGTACCTGAAATAGTTAATTTGACACAGATTGAGACAACATGCATATTTTTTATACCTAAGACATCATTTTTTGCATAGCCCTAAGCTGAAGGGTTGCCACAAGCATAATTGTCCCACGGGGGCCACCTTACTCGTATAAGATGGGCCTATGACCCATGCGTGGCGTTGCTATCAAGACATGTAACCAAAGATTGTTTGTTGGCGCCATCACTATGAGATCACCAGGTCCGAGCATGGTTTGTACAACGAAGGGTGGGTCAGATGTCAGTTTTTAAACCCACAGACCCCTACCATAAAAAGTACCTGAGCCCCCTGGAGACTACCGCTCCAATTTCAGTGTATATTGGGAGGGTATGCAGCAGCACAGTCTTAAGGGTAATGTTTGTGTATCCTATTATTTCTTTGGGTATTTTCTCATACTCAAAAACACATACTTTTTTTACTTTTTTTATTCATACCTATTGTTAATGACCATACGTTTACACCCTGTAACACCAAAATGTGCGACTGTATTCTGCCATGATAAAGCATTGCTTAACTGCGCCTGTGCCTGCTGTTGGGGCACCACAGGCTTGTCTGTACATCTTGTTGCACAAAATAAAATAAAGAATTTAAAAAAAAAAGTGGTTGTTCAGCAATGGCCCCCATCCAACCTGACATAGCTTGAGAGGATCAGCAGAGATGAATGGCTTAATGGTTTAATACATTTGCAAGGGTGTCAAATCTGTACATTGATGTGAACAAAAATAATTTCAAACAATTTCATAATGCACTGTGTGTGTGTGTGGGTGTATATATATATATATATATATATATACACACACATAGAGAGAGAGAGATTTATCTGCTGCCTTATCCTTATTTAATATGTTACATTACCTCTATTGTGAGTAACCATTTCTGTACTGAAAACATTTACTTCTACTACTATTGCAATTGTACATTAGTATCCCTGTAGGTAAGAAATAAAAGGTGTATTTTTATTAAAGGAACACTCCAAGTACCATATCCATTACAGCATGCTATGGTGGCTATGGTGCTAGGCGTGTTCTGCCCCACTGTAATTAGTCAAATATTTTTAGAACAGTTTGACTTCTTACTTTGGGTACCTGCCTCCCCTATTTCCAAAGTAGAGCCAGAGGCTCCTAATCAGAAGCACCAGTTAGCTCTCCCTAGTAAAACCCTTGCAACGCAAGGTTAACTTGTTGGCTGAGAGCGTGAGACGATGAGCTTAGCCTTGCACTGCTAAGCATAGATTCGACAGAGAGCTTACATCTAGAAGTAGAGGAGGCAAACCTTTCTTAAAGTGCCTATTAATATTTATGGTACAACTTACTCCTATATTGAAGAATAAATGCTACAGAATAAAAAAAAAGTGCCATCGCTCATTAATATTTAAAAGCCTTATACTCCAAGATACCTGTTCCACGTTGTAGCCATGCCTCTCCTTTGCTATTGCAATATATTCATCCACTGTAAAAAATATACATTGAGATTAGTATTTATTCTTAATACTATGCATTGATACATTTTAAAACATTTTTATATTTGAACCATTTGCCATAGGAAAATACATTAGAAAAACTTCTGAGGGTGCCAAAACTGTACAGACATGGCTCCTATTAAAAAAAAAAAAAAAAACTAAAATCTGTTGCCCGAATTAAGAAGGCCCGCGTCAAATGTTAAAGGACCACTATAGTGCCAGGGGAGATTAAATGGGTTAAACTTACCTTTTCTCCAGCGCCGGGCGGGGAACTCTCCTCCTCCTCTCCGCCTCCGATCCTCCCATTCGGCTGGCTGCGAGCGCATTCAGCCGGTCTCATAGGAAAGCATTCATAATGCTTTCCTATGGACGCTTGCGTGTTCTCACTGTGATTTTCACAGTGAGAATCATGCAAGCGCCTCTAGTGGCTGTCAATGAGACAGCCGCTAGAGGATTTGGAGGATGGATTAACCCATTTATAAACATAGTAGTTTCTCTGAAATTGCTATGTTTATAAAAAAAATGTGTTAATCCTAGAGGGACCTGGCACCCAGACCACTTAATTAAGCTGAAGTGGTCTGGGTGCCTAGAGTGGTCCTTTAAGGAACCAGGGCAAGTTGACGACAAATGGGACATTGAAACAAACCATTGCTGGACATGAGCACTTGGGAGTGGCTTCAGCATATTCCAGATGGGACATCTGAGATTGCTGTCCAGAACGGCAGTTCTAGGAACAGCTACTAAGATACAGAACCCTCAGACTCCCAGGCCTCTAGAAGAGGACCTGAGAATGAGGAATACACAATATACTACCCAGAGGGGTGACAAAGTATATTTATACATCATTAAAAAAAAGATACTCGTATTTAATATAAAAGTTTACCAATAAATTCTAACATTCCATTGTGTCAAAGAGAATACAACTGCTTTGACACATTGTGCTAGCTAGACTGATTGCAAATCTACCTAACTAACATGACTTGGTGTTTTATTACAATGACCTTCCTTGGTTATTGGTATGCTATCAGCATAGCATAAAGCACTGCATGTAAAGCTGCCATGAATGCAGTTATAGGCAGACTTTCTGCAGTCATCTCTCAAATCTCCTAGCACATACCTGTACTCTAATTGTAGGATAAAGAAAGCAATTTGTAGGGGTGGCAAACTGCGCCAACCAATCCAGGTTGCTCTTAGTGGTGGAATAAGTCTGCAAAAAGACACATTTGCTGGAGATTTTGACTGCACCTTGTATAGTTTAGATTTACCTACCTGAATGAGGATATGTCATCCAGACAGATTGCACATGACAGATGAATTAGTAATTATTACACATGCATATTCATAATTATAAGGAAATACAACTTACATTTCAGATCTGGTACACTATGGCACGGAGACCACACCAACATCCCTCCATTGTCTTTATCGGTGTACTTTGTGGCACCTTTAATATAATATGCATTGTTAGGGAAAATCCTGATACATGGTTATCATGTTGGAAAGAAATATATAGATACATAATCTGTTTCTAAAAATTGAGGAAATTCATAAATTATTTTTGAAACATGGCGCTTCTCAAAGCAATATTTGTATTGTATCATAAGAAAGTATCACTGCAATAAAGCTCACATTAAAGGGTTACCTCAACAGTAAAAGCGTGCTGGTTTTGATTATAGTAACCCCTTTCTCTGTTGATGTCATGGAGTAGGGACTAATGTAAGGACAGTGGCTGGCTAATGACATTGAGGTGGAGATATACCTCCAGTACCGAAGGGATTCATCTCTAGCCGTTTTACATTTTTCAGCACTTTTTGGTATTCATTGCTTTACTTACTGGTAATAGTTGGGTTGGTATATTATGGATTTTTATTTGACATGTTTTGCTTCTGAGAAAAGAAGAATATAAAAGAAAAGGGAATTCTGAAGTTAAGTATGATTTTATTTTTTGCAAGTATTAGGTTTATCGCCCCTACCCCCACTATTATTAGAGTGAGAGGGTAGAAAGGAACTTATTTAATGGTACAGGCTTTGGAACCCATAACCACCCAGGAGGCCAGGAACAGTTAAATGAGGGCCACATTGATCCAAATAGGCTTTTTAAAAACTCTTTACTGTGGTGGCTGGCTAGCCTTCCCACACTTAGTTTTTTTTTTGTCTTTTTATAAACTGCACTAGCAGACATCACCAAAGTAGGTCGGACTTTTAAAATACATCGCCCAAGTAGGTCGGACTTTACAAATCCAGATTTTATCATTCTGGCCCTGTATTTAAACATTTGGACCTGGGTTTTCAGCTGTACGATCATGCTAAAATCTATGTCTAAGTCAGGCTCTTTAGGAACCTGTTTAACAAAGTCCAACAACATTTCCACATTTTTTCCTGGCTATCCACAGCAGTATTACCTGTGAAAATTTACAGAGCTACGGACTAAGAGGATGGGTGTCCCATTATACATTTTAGTTACTATTGTGAATAACTACCAGTATATCCAAACTAATTAGTTGATAACGATATAAAAGACTGATTTGCCAACTGGCAAATGTTCTTGGTGCAAACACAAGACATAGCCAGAGAAGTATTCAGTCTTGGGGAAATGGGGAGAACATGCTATACTCTGTAGGCATTGAAGAAGACAGCAGTCATACTTCTACTCAGCAATCAGAGTTATTCACTAAAGTAAGAATTAAAAGTAAATTCAAAGAGAATTTCAAGTTTCATAACAAAGTAGTCGACTTGGAAGCAAAGCTGAATTAAGAAGTTTTCCAATTTGGATATTTTGGCCACTTCGAATTCATTAGTGAGCCTTCGAGTCTTGACAATGAGCCTGTCGGTGGAATAAAGTCTCTCCAACGTCCTCAATGCTCTGATCTGTTAATTTATGGTACCAAAGAATAACAACCAGATTATAGCACAATCATTTCTCCGTACAGAGAAGGCAGAACGAGTTATCTCCCGGGACATAGAAAGGCTAACACAACCTTCTAACTTGCTTCTGGGAAGTCAGTTGCAAGAAACGGGTACTTTACAGGAAACAGGCCAGTCAGTAAGACAATTTGCTAGCACAAGTAATCATGGCTGCAAACAGAATCGTCTGGGATAGCAATATCCAAGATGTCTCCAGAAGCTTCAAAGCTTGTATGACCATGGAGACTTGAAGGGACACTCCACTAGCCAAATACAATGAAATCACTTTTCAGTACATATACTTCCAATGAAAACATGCATGAATTTATTTATTTTCATTGCTGGTATATCTCAAAAAGGCTTGCAAAAGCAGTAGCCTTTTGCATTTCCTCCCTCCCCCCCCATTTTAACCCAGTTCAGACTTTCTGCTGCTCTTTATTAGCATACTTCACCAATGAAGCTCAATGTGAAGTCTCTGAGCAATCACATGACTCTGCAATCTAGAGCTGCTCACACCTCCAAGCTTGCCCATAGGAAAGCATTGTATTCAATGCTTTCCTATTAGCTTCTGTGTCACATGACCGAGTTTTACTTGCTCAGTGCAGAGGAAGCACCTCTACTTGCTCTCAGAATGAGAAGTGTCTGGGTGACTAGTCTCTATTTAAAACCAAATTTGATTAAATAGTGATTAAAAGTTTGCAGAACTAATGACTAAATCCAAAAAAAGACAGAATATTGCTCATTTTCAAAACCTTTAGGCATGGAGTTTGAAGGGATATAAAGAACAGTAGTAATATAGTAATATGATCTATAAAGAGCAGTAGTATTATCTAATTCAAGAGGTCTGTGTTAAAGGTTTTCCAACTAAAGTCTTTGCTACCAAAAGAAAACCACATCTCCATGACTAAAAGGGTAGACTAGCTATTAGTTCTGTAAAGCAGCTTAAAGGAACACTCCACTACCCCCCCCCCTCCCCCCAACTGATTAAATTAGATATACCCAAATAAAAACATGCCTTTAATTATGCCCCTTTTTGCATTGAGTTTATAACTAATCACTTGCAAAAGTTGTACTTCTATTTGCTGCTGCTTTTGCAAGCCTCGCCCTTCTTCCACAGGTCTGTGACTGTCTAGTTACAGACTATTCAACGTAGCTCAATGAGATGTCTCTCGCAAGGCAGGTGCTCTAGGAAATTGCCTGCCTCTTGAGTTTAGCTCCACTAAATAGGGCCTGTTAACCACTTAAAAGGTGTGAGAGGGGGGCGGAGCTTGACTGCCATGCGGATCGGACGTGTTCAGCAACAGCTACCACATATGTACTTGATTATTGGGGACTATTCCCGGTCCACTTACCTATAATGCCCACTGCCAGCAATAATCTTGTCCGCGACGCGATGCTGCACCTGGGGGTACCGGTCCCGAGTGCCTCCGTTGCTGAAATTATCCCGGTCCCCACTGATTCACTCCTTGTGCCCTGCTCGGCTACCAGCAGCCTGCTCGATACGAGTCCCGACAGCAGCATAAGCTTCCAAAATGGCGACCAAGCACACGGAGCGCGAGCTCCCACAGCCTGCACCAGCCCACAACAGACAGCCTCACGCAACACATCGATGAAGCCATTCGACCGCTTCTGGGCTCAACTAAAGGCTCATTTTCTAGCGGAGCCGGCTCGAAGCAGGGGGAAAGAGCATGGTGGAGGAGAACAGGTTGTGAGCAGACCCCTTCCGGGCACACCGAATAAGCACAAGCACACAACAACCTTCAAATGCCCATCCAGGCTGAGAGCCAAACGGGGAACACTCTCTCTGCGCCTGTGTGGCAACACTCCATGGGTGTCCCTACCGACCTCAGAGTACTGGCATAGGCTGAGGATGGACTCACTGTGCAGGACTTAGACAACGGAGTCCTGCATTCTGCTAAAAGACGATTACCATCACCTTATAACCCTGTACCATTATTCCTAGTTATGTGCTTAGCTACATACTAAGTCGCAGCCATGATTTTTTTTATTTTTCTCTCGATATACCATTGGAAGTGCTGAGGGGGACGGGACGACACAAAGGGGGCTACCCTTGCAGGTGAAAATAAAGGCTCTAAAAAGGGGTGACACAGTGGCAAACCTAACTCGTATATATCATACCTAGCAGGTTATGCCATGACATTTCTAGCGACAGATAAGCCTATCCTAGCATGTTATTTCATTACGTCTCTAGCTACACAGCAGTCTATTTAGCTTGTTATGTTATGACAGTTTTAGTGACACACAAGCCTAACCTAGCATGTTATTTCATTATGTTTCTAGCTACACATCAGTATATTAACAGAATGTACCCATGAGGAATGTCCTGTTTTTCTTGTGTTTTCCCAATTCTTGTTCCTATTATAAAATTGTGCGTGTCCGCTCTACTACCCCAAGGGAAATGTGTGATACTATGCCTGAGGATTGCCGTTGGGGTACCTCAAGCCTTCCTGTTATAATCTAATGCACTGCAAAAAAAAAAGTGTGATAGATTAATTTATAAAACTAAATCTGCACTTTTTGTAAAACGAAGAAGAAAAAATAAAAAGACAACACAATCTTCACACATAATGCACTTGACCAAGCTCAGAGTGTCTCTTTAACATGAGACAGAGAGCGAGTGTATGTAACTCCTTGCAATGGGGAGGGATGACCAAGGATGTTTAAGGGGACATTAGTCACCAGGAAAACTACAGATTAATGTAGTAGTTCTGGTGTCTATATCCTGCCCCTGCCGGCATTTTAATGTAAACACTGCATTTTAAGACAGCCACTAGAGGGGCTTCCTGGGTCAGTGCTGTAGTGAGACGAATGTTCCCTATAGAGAAGCACGAATATGATGCATCTCTATTAGGAGATGCTGATTGGCACAGCAGAGCTTTTTGCCTCACATGTGCATTAGCCTTCCAGTGCTTTCTAATGGGAAAGCACTGGATTGGCTGAGATAATCAAATCTGATCCCAGCCAAAGAGGCTGAGAAAGGGTGCTGAAATAAAGGTAAGTTTTACCCTTTTTAAAAGGGGCGGGGTTGGCCACCTAACATGGAGGATTTTTAACAACATAGGACAGGAATACAGGTTTATATTCCTGACACAAAACAGTTAGATATAGAGATATATAGAAATATATATATCTCTCTATCTATCGTTAGATAAAAAAAAAATTTTTTTAAACGGGGGTTGTAGTTAATACTGCTAAGTAGGGCAGTGTAAACTGAATAAAGCCAGTTTATACAAAGGGCTAGAATAAATTAAACACTGCACTAGTGTATTATTATTTGTCCAACATTATATAGTGGGGCTGGTTACCATCTCCTACTATTTTCCTGAGTTGGGTATTCTTCCCACTAAGCAACTACTGAAGAATAACACTACTTGATTGGACTCTGTCTGCACTATAGCTGCTTCATGTCATTAAGTGTTCATGGAACCCTCTGGCACTGTCCTTCCATTTAGCATTAAACCATTTTTTTTTAAAGGGACACTATAGTCACCAGAGCAAATACAGCTTAACCCCTTAGTGACCAAGGACGTATCAGGAACGTCTGACAAAAAAAAAAAAAAAGGGTCATTAACGACCTCGGACGTACCTTGTACATTCCCCACCCCGCGGCTCTCAGTATTTATTTATACCTCCCCAGTACGTCTGTGGTAATCCTAAATTACTTACCCGATCACTGCCGTTCCCCTGGTCTTCTTCTCCACTGGGGGAGGGGGGGGGAACTGTGTGACAGCCCAGCCCTCTGGAAAATAGGACCCCATGGGTCCTCTGAAAGAGCGATTACATGGCCGCAATAGGCGTGCATAGAGTTGCCTGCTGGGGGACTGCCTGCACTGATAGGCAGTCCCCCTGCTGGTGAAAAAAGTAAAAAAAAAAAAGTTTTAAAAGAAAAAAGTTAAAAGGATCACTATAGGGTCAGGAACACAAACATGTATTCCAGAGCCTATAGTGCTAATCCCACCATTTAGGTGGCTTGCCACCCACCCCCATAAAAGTTTAAAACTCACCTTAATTCCAGCGCCGTGCGGGTCTGCACCCTTTGTGACATCAAAATGGCCAATTTTTTGCCAATCCAATGCTTTCCCATGGAGAAAGCCTTGGATTGGCTAAAATCGTCACGGGAGCGGGGCCAAATGCAGTTTTGGCCAATCAAGACCTCCTCAGAGATGCATTGAATCAATGCATCTCTATAAGGAAAATTCTGCGTCTCTATGCAGAGCGTGGGGATGCTGAACAGCAGGGCTGCTTACTGTGCAGCCCTAAGCCTGGAAGCCCCTCCAGTGGCCATCTAAGGAGTGGCCACTTGGAGGTGTCCCTAAGGGCAATGTAAAACACTGCCTTTTCTATGAAAAGGCAGTGTTTACATGAAAATGCCTGAAGGGAGCTATTACACTCACCAGAACAACTACATTAAATTTAAAAAAAAAAAATATATATATATATATATATATATATATATATATATAATATTTTATTTTTAAAAAAAATTTATTAAAAGGGGGGACACTATAGTCACCAGAACAACTAATGTAGAACAGCTTAATGTAGTTGTTCTGGTGAGTGTAATAGCTCCCTTCAGGCATTTTCATGTAAACACTGCCTTTTCAGAGAAAAGGCAGTGTTTTACATTGCCCTTAGACAATGTAAAATACACTTAGAGTAAAATTACACACATATATAAATTAAATATATATTTATATGTAATTTTATTCTAACTTAATTCTGATTGATATATATATATATGAAAATACACTTAGAATGAAAAAAATAAAAATAAATATATATATATTACTAAATATACATATGTCCATGTACATAATTACATAAATAATTTCACAAATATACACATAGACTTCAAATATAAAAACATGTATATATATTTAAATTCTACGTATATATTTATGTAATCGTTTAACATCATTTGGTAATTTTATTGATTGCAATTTGAGGGACCTGCCTGACAACCCAGGCCAAAAGTCCAATAATTTAATTTGCTAGTACTGTATTTAACCCTGTAACTTTCCATGACACCCTAAAACCTGTACATGGGGGTACTGTTTTACTCGAGAGACTTCGCTTAACACAAATATTAGTGTTTCAAAACCGTAAAACACATCAAAGCGATGATATTGTCAGTGAAAGTGACGGTTTTTGCATTTTTCCACACACAAAAGGAACTTTCACTGATGATATTGTTGTGATACATTTTACTGTTTTGAAACACCAATATTTGTGTTCAGGTTCTCTATTTCGGTTACTATTCATTTTATTGTGAGCTTGTTTTTTTTTAATGTCCTATGCTTTACTTTTCAGCTGACCAGACATGGTTAAAAAAAAAACAAAAACAAAAAACCACAGACATGTTTTAATAATATTAAACTATTTACAGGAAAATTAACATTGAAAAGTGCATCACATTTAGATTGTTCAACTCGTGACCGTTGCATTGCTCTAACCTGTTCCTGAGACGTTTCCAGGACTGTTCTGATATAGGATATGCCTAGTTCTTTTCCATAAAAGGTTAAAATAGGAAGAATCGACAAAGAGTCATTCCCTTCGGGCTCCATTAGTATCAAAGAGCATTTCTGCAAGAAACTTCATTCATTTTTGCCAGGCTGCAGCAAGTGTTTTTTCCCCCCTTCAGCTTTTAGACCATACAGTGAAATATTAAAGCCACATTTGCAGCTTATCTTCTCGACCTGCAGAAATTGCACGATAGTCCTAAACAAGAGCTTATTGCTGGCACCCTGAAGAATAAGACTTAAAACAAGTGACAAGAGGCTAACTATATACATCTATGATAACTAGAAGATCTGCCAGGAAAAATAAGCATCTCGCAGATTATTATTTTTAAATACAAAATATGGCAAGGATAAGGCTGCCCTCATCATGTTTGCAGACTATGCGCCTTTCATTAAACTCAATATGTTACTGAATTAAACTGTTATAAAATAAAAATAATGTAGGCAGAGATTTTCAAATTAAAAAAAACTTTTTATTCATTGTTTTACGTAGGAGAACACACAAACAAACCATAACAATACATTCTAATTCTAGCTTGCATTAGGAAAATGTTCATCATTTGTGCATTGTGCTGGCCAAATAGAGAGAAAAATAAGAAGAGAAATATATATACGCAATATAAACTATAAATGACAATAGTGGATGCACAGCTATGCATAGAGGTAATGTATACTACAACCTCATGTGAAACACAAATTAGATTTAACATTCTATGTTTCATAACATGGGCTGCAGGCTTCTTGAAAGAAGGAAAAAGAGGTTCCAAAATTTGCTTACTTAATCGCTGGATGGCACTGGTCAGGAAGAAGTTTTGGAGGACTTTTAATAATACACCAAAACAAATAACTGTTTTGGTTTATCTGAAAAAGATATGCTTTCGCTCAAATTATGTACACAGATTTACACCGAACAGTCACTCAAAAAATATCTGCACAGACGTTTAATTATTTCCTTGTTGCCCGCTGCTTGGGTTAGGAAAATAACACGATTGGACTTACCAACATGAGTATTGGACTCAAGAAAAAGAACCAGATATCCATAAATATGTCAATGACAAGTCCACTTCAATAAAGTATTTGTATATATTATATATATGCGTTGTTTACAACAGCCAGCAAATACTTGCTTGAAATTTGCTTCCACATCTCATGTTCAGTGTGATATACACAGCCTCCGTGCAAATGACAATGCTAGCAGCCAAATCCCAGAATGCTATTTGTGCACAGTATTCTGGGATTGAACAGCTGGCATTGTGGAATGTGCACATCTTGCACAGTGGTAGTGTATGCCTCTCTATTGAAGGCATGCAAAAAGTGTATGGTGGAATGATTATTAAATAACATTTCCAGGTAATTTGGACAGCACAAGGTACAGAAGAAATTGTGTGTCTGTCTACCATGTCATATTTCCATGGCTGGTTTCTTGTGAATTCTCCCCACACTGCATTTGAAAGCATGTTGGCTCATGGAAGGCCTCTGTGGATTTCAATGACATGCAGTTCATTAATTAATTAAGTATATGACAAACTATGTAATTGCATCTACTTCAGGCCTCAATTAGCAAAGAGTGCTGAATTCTCCTTCAGTAAGAAATCTTAATTACTGGCATCTTTTGCGAATTACAATTTGCAAATTGTTTAGGTAAAATCCAAATAAGATATGGGAAATAAGCAGGGTATTTCTAAATATAATGCACTCGTTTTCATTGTAAATGAAAACACTTCACTAATATTACCATCATTTCTGACCACCTCATTTCAACAAAATTAAAAATTAAATAAAACAACTTGCTGAAGTATGGCAAAATAACTTCCATAGTGCCCAATGATGTTAATAGTAATGGGACACTGTAAGCACTATAACCATTCATTTAATTGGATAAGACCACTGGTGTGGGCTCTCCATTAAGTATTTACCAGTAATTTTAAATAATCTTCCCTGGCCACCCACAGCCCAGCTCCAGGAGATATAGCTAGGATGAGATTACACACCTATTTCTAACTGTATGAATTCACTGGAGGTAAGCCCTGGAGATGAGCCCTAAATTGATAGCCTTTGGACACTCAAGCTGTTGTGGACCGCCAAATATAATCTTTGAAAATAAGTAAATAAATAAATAAATAAATAAATAAATAAAATGAAGGCATGAAAAAGATGCCTTTCATTCATGACTAATTAGATCTAATGTACCAGTAAAAATATGAAATAAGGTGACATTTATGGCATATCATTGACTACTTGGCACTCGTGGTGTTGTACCATATATAATCAATTTCCCTAGCTTACTCAGGCAGAGAATCATGCAAACCCTAGTCCACAAGAGCTTATGTGCCAAAGGCCATCCTGGCTTACAAGCATGGGTAACATACCAGGTTAATTATCTATTAAATTGTAAATTGTCAGGAATTCAAAGTTAAGGCCAAACCTGCAAAACTGAAAACACAGCTGAATTTGATATTTTTCTCCCTATAAAACAGCTAGTGTAGCTAAAATTTTAAAGGAACACTATAACATCAATAATACTAACATGCATTTCTAACCATATAATGTCCTAGAACCTATTTAGGCTTCTCCTTTAATCAAATGCTTCTCCACGATTAATGTCAATAGTCACAGAACTCTGCTCTGCACATAGAAGCACCAACTAGAGGCTGTCATGAGGATAGCTAGTAGTAGTGAGTTTAGAGATGCTGAATGCTAGTCTGAGTGACTGCCACTAGAGGTGTTACTAGGCAGCAATGTAAACACTGCCGTTTCTCTGAAAAGGCAATGTTTAAATTAAACAGCATGCAAGGGCACTCTACTGACACCAGAACAACTACATTTAATCCGTAGCGGTTCTGGTGTCTATAGTGTCCCTTTAAAGCCATCCATTTCTATTTAAATTCGCTATGGCTAATTGTTGCGTGAATAAACTCCATTTGAAGTCACAAATTCAAACATTCGTAATAAACCCTGCAATTTACAAATCACTTACAAGCCAGACACCAGCTATGTCCGTCATTCTGTTGAGATATAAGGGAGATCCCACTAACCTGGTTGCATGGGGTATTACGCTTATTATCACACCAAACGTGAATTATTATTAGTTCATTTCATAAAATAAATTAAACAACTCTAACTGCAAAACAAATTGCATTAAATAAGCATGGTGTATAGCAGTAACGGCCAACCTCAGCACTCCAAATGCTTATGGACTACCCCCCCCACAATGCTCTTGGGTAATATAGTCCATAGATATTGTGTGGGCTGAGAAGGTTTGAGGATCCTCTCACAGACCTGGTCTCCATGTTACCCCCAGACCGGGTCCCTGGTCTCCATGTTAGCCCCAGACCGGGTCCCAGGTCTCCATGTTACCCCCCCCCCAGACCGGGTCCCTGGTCTCCATGTTACCCCCCCTCCGTGACCCGACCGGTCTCTCCAGTCTCCATGTTACCCCCAGACCTGATCCCTGGTCTCCATGTTACCCCCAGACCTGGTCCCTGGTCTCCACGTTACCCCCAGACCTGGTCCCCGGTCTCCACGTTACTCACAGCCCCCGGCCTCCATGTTACCCACAGTCCCCCGGTCTCCATGTTACTCACAGTCCCCCGGTCTCCATGTTACTCACAGTCCCCCGGTCTCCATGTTACTCACAGTCCCCCGGTCTCCATGTTACTCACAGTCCCAGGTCTCCATGTTACTCACAGTCCCAGGTCTCCATGTTACTCACAGTCCCAGGTCTCCATGTTACTCACAGTCCCAGGTCTCCATGTTACTCACAGTCTCCATGTTACTCACAGTCCCCGGTCTCCATGTTACTCACAGTCCCGGTTACTCCCAGTCCCCGGTCTCCATGTTACTCACACAGTCCCCCGGTCTCCATGTTACTCACAGTCTCCATGTTACTCACAGTCTCCATGTTACTCACAGTCCCCCGGTCTCCATGTTACTCACAGTCTCCATGTTACTCACAGTCTCCATGTTACTCACAGTCCCCCGGTCTCCGTGTTACTCACAGTCCCCCGGTCTCCGTGTTACTCACAGTCCCCCGGTCTCCATGTTACTCACAGTCTCCATGTTACTCACAGTCCCCCGGTCTCCATGTTACTCACAGTCTCCATGTTACTCACAGTCCCCCGGTCTCCATGTTACTCACAGTCTCCATGTTACTCACAGTCTCCATGTTACTCACAGTCCCCCGGTCTCCGTGTTACTCACAGTCCCCGGTCTCCGTGTTACTCACAGTCCCCCGGTCTCCTTGTTACTCACAGTCCCTGGTTACTCACAGTCCCCCGGTCTCCTTGTTACTCACAGTCCCTGGTTACTCACAGTCCCTGGTTACTCACAGTCCCTGGTTACTCACAGTCCCCCGGTCTCCGTGTTACTCACAGTCCCTGGTTACTCACAGTCCTCCCTCTGTACCGAGGCTACCACCCTCCCCCAGCCCCAGCCCCAGCCCGTGTCAGAGTGCAGCAGGGGGTTAATTACCGGGCTCGTAGTCCGGGATCCGGGCCTGGAAGTCGGCTCCCACCCTCATGCCGATATCTGTAAGAGAAAGCAGAGAGCTCTAGCCGGGCCGCCGGGGGGGGACACACACAGCACACACACAGTTCGAGGCTACCACCGTGATCGTCGTCGCTGCCGCTCTCCTCCGAGTAATGGCCGTTGGAGGCGCTGGCCGGGCTCTTGGTGCCGTTGTGGCGGCTCTTGCCGAGGAAGTCGGTGGGTTTGTCCATCATGCCGGGCATGGCGGCTGGCTCGGTCCCCCGCTCGGTGCTGGCTCGGGGTGGGTCGGAGGGACTCGTTGATCCGGGGCTGCCAGCGGCGCACTCTCACGCAGCCTCACCACCTCCCCCTGACGCAGCTCCCGCCGCCTGCCTGACTGACTGACTGCCTGCCGGGGAGATACCTGCGCCGGCCCCCGGCTGGCCCCCCCTGGGCAGGGGCTGCGGGCAGTGCGGTCACTGGGTGCCGGGAGGGCGGCTGGGGCCCCGCGGGGAGGCAGGAGCCCGGGATCGGGGCGGGCAGGCCGTGTCCCCCGCTGAACTCTTTGACCTGGTGGAAGCGGCCGCCGTGAGCCGTGTGTCCTGCTGCCAGTGACGTGCGGCTCCAGTGACGGCTGCTCTGTGACGGACTGCCGCTCCCAGCACGCTCAGCCAGCAGCCAGTCCGACACGATTATCGCAGGGTGAATGGCGTTAATACAGAGCGCTGCCTGATATTACAACCCGGGATATAGGCTGTATTATAGCAATTACACCACCTAATCCCACTATCCCACAGCTAGCACACTACCATAACCACCTACACTGTGCTAATACACTCACCCTTAACCTCCCACACCAACCCTCACCCTAAACCTCCACACTAACCCTTAACCCCCCACACTAACCCTCACCCTAAACCTCCACACTAACCCTTAACCCCCCACACTAACCCTCACCCTTAACCTTAACCTCCCACACTAACCCTTAACCCCCCACACTAACCCTCACCCTTAACTTCCACACCTCCAACCTCTAACCCTCTACATCAACTCCTCACCTCTAACTCCCACACTAACCTCACTCCCAACTCTCCTCCCCACACTAACCCTTAAACCCCCACACTAACCTCCTCACTCCTAACCTCCCACACTAACCTCACCTCTAACTCCCCCACACTAACCCTCACCCTTAACCTCCCACACTAACCCTTAACCTCCCACACTAACCCTCACCCTTAACCTCCCACACTAACCCTCACCCTTAACCTCCCACACTAACCCTCACCCTTAACCTCCCACACTAACCCTCACCCTTAACCCCCCACACTAACCCTCACCCTTAACCTTCCACACTAACCCTCACTCTTAACCTCCACACTAACCCTTAACCCCCCACACTAACCCTCACCCTTAACCTCCCACACTAACCCTTAACCTCCCACACTAACCCTCACCCTTAACCTCCCACACTAACCCTCACCCTTAACCTCCCACACTAATACTACTCAACTACCTACACTAACCCTCACCCTTAACCTCCCACACTAACCCTCACCCTTAACCTCCCACACTAATACTTCACTTCAACTACCTGCTACCCAACCTCGCCTTAACCTCACTAACCTCACCCTTAACCTCCCACACCTAATACTACCAACTCCATACAATACCTCACACTTGACCTCCCACACCAATACTACTCAACTACCTCTTCACTAACCCTCACCCCTTGGGCCCACCACCAATACTACTCAACTCCCACACTAACCCTCACCCTTAACCCCCCACACTAACCCTCTCCCTTCCACACTAACCCTCACCCTTAACCCCCCACACTAACCCTCACCCTTAACCTCCAACACTAATACTACTCAACTCCATACAATACCCTCACACTTGACCTCCCACACTAATACTACTCAACTACCTTCACTAACCCTCACCCTTAACCTCCCACACTAATACTACTCAACTCCCTACACTAACCCTCACCCTTAACCTCCCACACTAACCCTCTGTAGCGGTACTTACCCTTTCCAGGGGCCGGCCGGGGTCCTCTGTTCGAGCCGCGCGCGGTCCTGCTGCTGCACGAGCCGCGCGCGGCTCATCCGACGGCTGTAACAGGAAGGAGGGCAGTGACAGTGAGAAGCGGACACGTGTCCCGCCTAACTCTAAGAGCACGCCGCGGGTCTCGGGCGCGCTCTTAAAGGGACAGTGGGAGCCTAAATTGGAAAAGGCATCCCATTGGTCCCTGTCATGGCACACTCCCCATACACTTACCTTTTGGGGGCGTGGATGTGACAGGGACCAATCAAATGAGATGTTTAGGTATATATACTCACCTTTTTCCCTTAGTTCCTTGCCCTATCGTGGTTTCTGTTTCAGTTCCCTTTAGCGCTTGTTGTGTTCAGTTGTGTTCCTTCGTACTTGACCTTGGCTTTGTTTCTGACTACGTTATCTCTTTATCCTTATCTGTTCTGTTTGCCGGCTTGCTGTTTTTCTGTGTACCAGACCCCGGCTAGTCCAAGTTTACGCTGTCTCTTTGTGCCCTTGACCTCGGATCGCTCCTGACTCTGTATCTCTCTTCTTTACGTCGAGTCCGGCCACTCTAAGGTCCGGTAGACGTACCTTCCCTCTGTGCTGACATTTGTTTAGCTTAAATTCTGCGTGTTGGGGTATATTTTCGTTACATTACGATAGGGCCATGGACCCCACAGATTTAGCTCAGCAGATGGCTTCTCATGAGGCTAGATTTGTAGAGCAGGATCACTGTATGGATCAGCTAGCCCAGGCTCTCCAGACGCTCTTATCTAGAACTATTCCAGCAACCACACCTAACCCTCCTACACCTCTTCTTCCTGAAGTGTCTACTTTGCCTAATGCTTCGGCCCATTTAACACCTCCTCCTAGGTATGGAGGGGACTCTAAGACATGCAGAGGTTTCATTAATCAAATAGAATTCCACTTTGAGATGTATCCACCTTCCTTTCCCACAGATAGGTCTAAAGTTGGGTTCCTTATGCACCAACTTACCGATAAAGCACTTGAGTGGGCAAATCCTATTTGGGAGGCTAATGGACCTATGGTGCATAATTTCAATAGTTTCCTTACGGCTTTTTGTAGGACTTTTGACACAACTAAAAGGTCAAAGAATGCCGCCAGAACATTAATGAGAATTAAACAGGGTTCTTGGTCTGTTGCTGACTATGCCATTCAGTTTCGTACCCTTGCTTCACAGGTAGATTGGACCAACAATGGGCTAACAACTGCATTCATGGAAGGTTTATCTCACACTATATTGGATGAGGTAGCGGCTAGGGAGCTTCCTATTGCATTAGAGGACCTTATTGACTACCTCATTGATATTGATAACAGGATTCGTGACAGACTCTATACTAAAAACCGGAATAGACGTTTGGTTACATCTATTAACCCCAGAGTTGATAATCCTGAGACTGTCAAAGTATCAGAGGAGGAACCCATGCAATTAGGGGTTGCCAAACTCTCTGAAACTGAAAAATTACATAGGAGAAGGGGCGGACTCTGCCTATACTGTGGTAGGAGAGACCATATGATAAAAGAATGTCCCGTGCTTCTGGGAAACTCTCGCACCTAGGGCCTTATAGGGGACTGGCCTTGGGTGTGATATCTAAGTCTCCTAAATTGCCTCCTAACCGTTTGCTTCTTCCTGTTTCTTTGTATATGGGAGAGGGTTGCATAGCTGAGCACATACAAGCCTTGGTTGACTCCGGGGCAGCTGATAATTTCATGGACTCTGGTTTTGTTAAGAAAAACAACATTCCCATCAGAGAGAAGGAGATACCCTTGGCCGTTGAGGCCATAGATGGTAGACCATTAAGTTCTCCAGTTGTTACTCATGAAACTGTACCATTACACATGTATACAGGGGTTTTACACTTTGAAACCATTCGGTTCCAGGTCATCACATCTCCCTCTTCTCACATCGTGTTAGGGTACCCATGGTTACGTACTCACAATCCCATTTTCGATTGGGAGTCAGGGCAAATAATATCATGGAGTGATGCCTGCCATGAGTCTTGTACTATTGAAGTCACCCCTTTGAATTCTATTAATGTTCCTACTACTCCTCCTTTGTCTACTGTTATACCCCGTCAGTACTTATTTCTCAAAACTGTCTTCGATAAAAGGGAGGCTGACAAACTACCGCCTCACAGACCCTCCGATTGTGCTATCGATTTATTGCCTGGCACAATACCTCCAAAGGGCAGGGTGTACCCTTTATCTGTTCAAGAAAACGTGTCATGGAGGAGTATATTAAGGAATCATTAGAAAAGGGATTTATTAGGAGATCCTCTTCTCCGGCTGGAGCGGGGTTCTTCTTTGTATCAAAGAAAGAAGGTGATTTAAGACCGTGTATCGATTATAGGGGACTTAATAACCATCAAAAATGCATACCCTATACCTTTAATCACGGAATTATTTGACAGGCTCAAACATGCTACTGTATTCACTAAATTGGATCTTAGAGGTGCATACAATTTAATATGTATTAAGAAAGACCACGAATGGAAAACGGCATTCAACACTACATCTGGCCATTACGAGTATACTGTTATGCCATTTGGTCTATGTAATGCCCCAGCAGTATTTCAAGAATTTATCAATGACGTTTTAAGAGACTTTATTCACACATTTGTAATTGTGTACTTGGACGACATATTAATATACTCCACAGATTTACACACTCATCACAGGCATGTTACGACAGTTCTGAAGACCCTTCTTTCTAATGGTCTTTATTGTAAACTGGAAAAATGTCTATTTGACCAATCCAAAGTCCAGTTTTTGGGGTATTTGATTTCCGCTAAAGGTTTTCGTATGGATCCCCAGAAGCTTTCTGCTGTCATGGAATGGCCTCAACCACAAGGTTTGAAAGCCATTCAGCATTTTCTTGGTTTCTCTAACTATTATAGACGCTTTATTAAAGGTTTTTCCTCTATTGTAGCGCCTATCACCTGTATGACAAAAAAGGATGGCAATACTCGTGTCTGGTCTCCCGAGGCACTTCAGGCTTTTGAATTTCTTAAAACTACGTTCGCTTCTGCACCTATTTTACAGCATCCTGTCCCCACACTGCCCTATATTCTTGAAGTTGATGCTTCTGATATCGGGGTAGGTGCTGTCTTATCCCAAAGAGAGTCGCCTGAAAAGCCATTGCATCCTTGTGGCTTCTTTTCCAAACAAATGTCCAAAGCAGAAAAGAATTATGATGTGGGTAATCGCGAACTCCTTGCTATTATTTTAGCACTGAAAGAATGGAGACATTTGTTAGAAGAACTAAGGATCCTATCCTCATATTTACGGATCACAAGAACCTATCCTACCTTAGTGAGGCTAAAAGATTGTCTTCTAGGCAGGCTAG